GTACTATCAACAAAGTAGCCTTTGCTGAGAGTGACACATAAACAGGAAACAGGTTGGATGCTAAGTCAGTCTATGAGAAACAAACACGCCATTGTTTGAGTGTTTACAACTCAAATATCAATAATTAACGTATGTAACGTTAGGTCCTGAGACTAGGCTATAATACTGGGTACTTAAGAGTTAGGCCTGTATTTTAGGATATACCGGTACTGATGCATGGACCGGTTTGGGTTTTTACTTTACCTTCCATAACGGTATTTGAATGTTTGTTTTGTTAAATGTTATACGCCGTGTGTAACGTCCATTTTCATTGTTTACTTCGCTACTCGAGTCATCGCTCTCCCTCTCTCTTCATGCCGCTTTCCACACACACCTAACCCCGCCCCCTGTCACTCAACAAGCGCATTTGTTGTTCCTCGACCACGAGACAGTTGCGTTCAGTCTGCATGGTCAACGCAGCACATGCAACAATGTTGATGACAACAATGATGTTTTCACTTTGCTTCTTAATATAAATCCACTAGCGTTCTATAATTACACTATTAGTTTGTGTTTCTTACATCTGCAAAAGGCTAGTTTGTATTCTCTTCGCAAGTTGGGCCTAAATCTTATTAGCCGCTAATGCTAATCGCTAGCTAGCTATTAAATGTACTCTAAGTAGATGCCAGAGCAAATGTAATTAGCTATACAGCCTGATAATATCAGTGATGGTGTAGACCTAAATCAGCATGTTGTTTGTGCCACAGTTTCTTCTAAATCAAAGAGGAATAACCGAAGCAAGAATATGTTAGCTACATGAAGTATCTAAGAGAAAAGTTAAATGTAGCCAAAGATTATAGGGTCCCCTAGGAAACACTTATTAACAATTTGGTTCCTACCCTGTCACAATAACTTCTCCCTGGGATTTTCATTCGTTGTCATGTCAAACAACACTGTATTCAAAGTGCCCACTATTATATTCTAACTATAGAATTAGAATAATCATTCTATTTCCATGATTCCAACAGTTCACCCAAGTGTTTTGCTCTAAATCACAAGTCAAATTGCAATTGCAACATTTGGTTAAAAATAAGGCCTAGATTGTTTGCCCATATCGTTCAGCCCTACATGGCAGTGTGGAAATGATCTGAAATGAGTGCAAATGCAGACATTTATGAAAATGCTGAAAATTATTTTTGGTTTAAGGTGAAATGTAGAACTTGTATTATTCAAAAACATAAAATACTTTTTTTTTTATACTGTGATATGATATTTTGGCCCATATCACCCAGCCCTACTTAGAGTCTATTATAAAAAAGGATGTACAATGCTACCAGCTGCTATTGCTTAGCTATGAAAACGAAGGAACTGGGTTTCGTTTGATGGCTTATAGAGCTTGCCAGCTTGTAGTCCTAAAAAAAACGGAAATTAGTTACCTCTGGTTAGTTCAGCCATTCCTATGGGGGAAATTAATGGGGAAAGAATGGCGTTTGGGGATAAACACAGAAAATAAGGTCTGAGGTTAACAGGCTTACGAGACCTTATATGTTTTAATCTATGAGATAATATCAGTCAGTTAACCAGACCTTTATGAATTATGAAGCCTCTGTGCTTGTTTTGATTACATAAATGCTTCATAATTCACAAAATGTGATTATCTCAGCTTATCCAAAAACCCTCCAAAAAAAACATGAATTTCCCCATAGGCTTTGGCCAACGAGCCATGGCGGAGTTGGTGCCTACAAAAAGACGCCACTACTATTGCTTTATATAAGAAGCTACAATAGAAATAGGTCTGATTTGGTCTTTATCGTTATCAGCAGATGTATATCAATAACGTGTGTCACCAAGGAGATACATTTCAAACAACCATGGAAAGTAACAATGTGTCAAATGGCACCATGTGCCATATTTGACAATGTTAGAATGTAACAATGTGGCATTGTGGCTCTAACTTTGGATGTGATGGCTAAGCTACATTGCAACAACATGCATTCGGCAATGATGGACGAAATTCCAATAAGAAAAAAATCCTCTTGGAATAAAATATACATACAATGACAAACAGGAACAATATATACAAGCTATAAACAAGCAATGGCAAGTTACAGAGATGACACAGAAGGAACAATGCAGTTCATTCTGCCTGACGGGCAAGGCCGGATTACCGAACGGGCACGCAGGAGGTCTGCCCCCCACCATATAGCACATTAACAGGTTATAAGCAATGGCAAAAAGTGTATAATTGTAGTAAATTTGATTTAAAACTGCAACATTTTCTCTCAGACTCATGGCACAATGCAGAAAAGTCACTGGAAAATGTCATCCTCGTGGCAAAATGTGAAGCACAGCATGAGATGAGCTATAAAACAGCAAAACAAAATATATCTGCCTTATGACAAAATGTGTTGCATAGCATTATGTGGTCCTCTGTAGCTCAGCTGGTAGAGCACAGTGCTTGAAACGCAAAGGTAGTGGGTTCGATCCCCGGGACCACCCATACACAAAAATGTATGCACGCATGACTGTAAGTCGCTTTGGATAAAAGCGTCTGCTAAATGGCATATTATTATTATTATTATTATAAAACTAAAATGTGTTAGGGGGGGGGCACTGGGGTAGATGTCCCGGGGCCCCAAATGCGGTAGTCCGGCCCTGCTGATGGGCTCGCTGACTAAAGTGATATAAGTTGCCAACGTTTGTTTCCTCAAAAGTTTTCCATTTGAACATGTTTTGTGGATCGTCAGATGTTGCTCGAGCTGGTCAACTCATGTCGGCAAACTAGGCCAGGTTGGTTGTCAGAAGGTTTTCAATAGTTAGCTACGTCACAAACAATAGTGACAAAATATAACTGTTCCCTCCATAATATTTACAGACGTTCTACTGTAGTTCAGGGCAAGAGTGAACACTGACCAGGCACAATCTGTTCTGGTAAACCAAGGAAAACAAAACAACTGCGACAACAATTTCTGAGTGATTTGATGGCCATCTTGTTAAATATTCACCAATTTAATACTCACCTTAAAATAACCTCCCTCATAGTGCGTATTTGGGGGTCCAAATATTGCAACTTCCCAGTTGTACAAGTCCGACTCGTCCACTAAAGTTATCCTGAACCCTTCAACTGGCTCCTCTTGAAGACTTTTCATCTCTAACATTAGTGCTTTTTGGGAACTGGCTACATGATGATGTCCATGAGCCATATTCCGCGACGATCTGTATAAACAAAAACCTATCTAGACCTTTTTAGAGAAGAAAGCTAGCTATCCAATTCAACCACAACCACCCTCACACGTTTCCTCTCACAAGATCTACGAAAATATCGTCTGTTATTACGTTCGCGTTCGGTTCTCTTCCACTGTGATCGAACAAACCAACCCGTAAATCTCTCACTGACAACCAACCAACCCACAAACCCAAAGCTAGCTTGATATAGTATTTCCTCTCTCGCCAATCTGTTGTTGATCCTCACTGACTGCAAGACATAATTGTTCGAAGGAAATTGTAGTAGTCAAAGCAAACCAGGAATCACAAACAAATAAATTAACGGCTGTCTGAGAGTAGAGATCTCCCCCTTCTCAATTTAATACAGCAGCTGCTTCACGGTGTCTCCACTAAAGTCGCTCAAGCTGGTCCCACAAAGCTTGATGCCCTGAGCAGTGAAGTGCTCGCAAAGCTTTCTGGGAATTGAAGTTATTGAAAAGGCGCAATTATTAGTTTTTATTAAGCAAGGTTAAAAGATTAACGTTTCGATCTGCAATTGAATTATTCAGAATCATGAAGGCCGAAACGTTAATCTTTTAATATCGCTTAAAAAAATATAATAAAACATATCGTGAGAGAGTTGCGCCTTTTCCTTTTCAATTATTTAGTTTTTTGGTTGCACCTAGACTCACGTTGGTTGAGCGCCTCCACTCCTTTCCCTATGCGAATTGAAGTTAGACAGAACCTACCCACAGCCTCCAAATTACTTAAATTATAAATGGCAATATAGCCTAAAGGGACTTGCACACAAAGAAAATGCAGTTTCACAGGGTGTAGTAGTAATTGGGAAAAGCAGGTTTTTGGGAAAGGCAAAGGCCACTAGTGCATGCTGAAGTGAGATAGGCCAACTAAATATCCTTGATAAGGTATTATTTTTGCATATCCTTTGAATATACAGCATGTTTGATAATCATAGACATCGTACATAGTGATGAAATAAGATGAATAAAAAGCCTGAAATAATTATATAATATGTGGGAGTTTATTGGTTCACCTTAACACAGTGACTACAGCAGCTCAGCCTTTATTTCAATTTGGGTAAACTTCTCCGTTCTAAAGGGAATGTTGATAGTAGATTACAAATGTTGTCTTGCTCATGTAGTCCCCTCTTAAAACATATTACATCATACAGCTGGAGAATAGAGAATGAAGGAGTTGGACAAGACCTTCAAACAAGGAGCGATGAGAATATATTTTAATGTCACAAGCCAAACTCAGCAAGATAATCACTACAATTTACCAGAGAAAAGTATTAAGACAAAGTGGGTAGTTTCTCTGAACTGTACCACCAAGAGCTTTTCTCCTCTACTCCTCTCAGCGCCATGACACCAAATAGAACCTCCTTCCCCAATGTTAAATCATTTAAAACATTAAAATATATCATTTTTGAATTGTATGAACTTAATAGATACAAATACAACACCATCAAAAACTGTAGCATGATTAATTAAACTTTCACTTCATATAAAAAAACTATGAAAGAAAAAGACAATCATGAAATGACAAGGGAGTTTTGTATGCGTGTGTCCTTGGATAGGGACAAAATATATTTTTAAGTATACATTTCCTAATCATGCAAGATACAAATTTTAATGATGAAATACTCTGCACAGAAATGTTTATTAGTACAATGTATGATTACAAGTGCTTTTTTCCATTGCCATTCTGTAACTCAAATCAAAGCACTTTTCCAGGAAGGATATGTTCTTCACTTTGTACTCACACTAACATGGTTCAGAAGAAGCTAATGGAATGGCTCATCTACACTTGCAAGACAGGAATGCGGGTTAGTTGGGATACAAACAAAAAAATGATGGGATCAGTTTAAAGTTGCTACTACATCGTGCTGGACCAGGCAGTGAGACGTGTTGAGAGTAACTAGACAGCAAGTACTTTGAGCAAGTCATGAAAGGAAGAAGCCATTTAAATGATGACCATTCATGTTTATCATAGTGTCAATGCACAGGATGTGGCAAGGCAGTTCTGAGAGAAGATAACACTGGAGTAAGATCGGTTTATGACTGTATATCAGTGACATGTAGGATGTGTTGTGGAGTGTGAGAGTCAAAGTGGCACAGGTGCAAGAGGTTTGGATGATATGAAAGACAAACGTCTTGACTGACGACTTGTTTGCTGTCTCAAGAAAGGAGTAGTAAACAAGAAGCCATATTGGCTAATACTGATTAAAAATAAAATATATCAACTAAGTACCATTGCTCTGGCAGAATGAAATTACGACTAGAATAGCCTTCCATCCCCATAGGAGATCCCAAACGAAGTCTATCAACATATAGGAGAACTTGAACAGTTAAGTATGGAGAGCCTGCTATTATAGCAAAGCCACGTGAGAGGCGCTATCTGCTCTCTAGCTGCAATATGTGATAGCTGGCCTTCATTTGCCACAAGTTCTATATTATTCTGTCACTCACTTCAGATACTGTAGACATGGCAGAGGCAAGAGAGAGAAGTCCAGAACAGCACTGCAGATGAGCCGTAAAATATCCTTCATTACAGCATAATCAAAGCGTTAAATCATTCAATTGTAAAAAGACACCATTCTACCCATGTCTATAATAAGAGACAGAGCAAGGGAACCGGACAAAGAAACATACTTTTTTTCAAGGAGTCTACGTTCTGACATGGTCCCAGTGGAACCGCCTGCATTCTCCTTTTCCAATACACTCTTAGTGTAACTTTCCAGCTCAGGCATTTACAATTCTTATAGGGATTGATATGTTACCGTGACACGGGTCAAACTGAAGCTTAGCATAGTTGAAGCATAGAGCAGTGACACCAGAGGGGAGGTCAGTTTCTCCAGACAGGAGGTCAGGTCAATGAGCAGTTTAGAGTTGACATGATGTTTCCAGCTAGGGCCAGTCAGAGGAAGTCACACATTCTACGGGACTATAGAGGAGATTAGTAGTAACACGCTGATGTTTAATGCAACAAGGGGGAAAGGCGCAGACGGACGTCAAACATCAACAAACAAACAAAAACAATTCAAAACAGTAAAAACACAATTCAACCAACAACAAAAAAAAAAGTCCAGTTGTCAGCATGACTGTCACAGATTGTAATGCCAATGAGAGAGATAGAAGGGAGGAAGCAGGGAAAACCAGTATTCTGACAGTGGAACTAAGTGGAGAGGAAGAGTGGTTCGAAACGAGGAAGTGAAACTAAAAGTGCACAGAGGGGGTGAGCATAGACCAAATCAGTTAAACAGTGAAGGAGAAAGAGCAGTTCTGAGTGTAAGAGGGGAGTCAAGGAAATGTGTGATTCTGAGGACTAATTAATAGGGTGAAACAGAGTGCCAGCCACAGTGTTTGTAACATGATTATATGTGTTTTTCAGTGAAGGAGGGGTTGAGAAGAGGGTAGGGGGGCACCAAGGGGCTGTCAGACACACAATCAGCACTGAGAGAAGGTCAGCTTGATCTCATCCAGCACATTCCCAAGCAGCCCCGGCTCGTCACATTTAGCATCGATGGACACTGTCTGATCAGCCTGCGATGGACAGGGACACAGACAGACAGAGAGGGCAAAGGTTACAAGGATGTCTGAGAAGAAGATCTCATTTGAGTTAAATGGAGACCAATATTTGAATGTCTGGCCCCCTGATTAACGAGGAGGAAGGGAGCTACTTACAGTTTTGACCAGCAGACACACGTGGTGACCCTGGATTGACCTGCTGTACATGGAGGCACAGGAAGCAATCCTCTCCACCACTGGTTAAGAGACAGGAACACAACCGTAAGCTCATTAAACATTTCAAAATCTAAGGTCTTTATCTACCACATTATCATCATCTTAATGTTCATTCAAAGAGGGAGATTTCTGCAAGAGGACACAGTGAACTACAAAAACACCTCAATAAATATGTCCATTCTTCACCTAATACCTCCCCATGCCCCACCCTCTCCCCTGTATTCCCCAGTCCCTATCCTATCCCCCACCCTCTCCCCGTCTCCCTCTGCCTCTGCCTCCCCTTCACCTTCCCCCTGTATGCCCCAGTCCCAGTGTACCCACCAGAGAAGTGGTGGTGGAAGCAGATCCTGGCCAGTAGATGGTGGAAAGGCTGGTTGACTCCCTCCAGCTTCAGAGAGCTTCCCTTGAGGTCCCCTGACTCCAACAGCTTAGCATATGCGTCACTGCAAACAACAACAGCAATCACATTCACTACGCATCACATAGCAAGCAGTTCACCAGCAGTTTAATCTTAAATTCAGATCAGGGCACAATACACTAAGCCAATAGCTCCAAATATTCAGTTAGGTAACGTTAATTATTATTAAAACAGCAGAATGAGGTTCTTTGGGGACAGCTAGCTCCACTGACCTGTAGCAGGGAGTGGTGATCAGGTATGAGGTGCAGGTAAAGTGCAGTTTAAAGTCTAGTTTCTCGTGAGTGGAGGAATCATCAGTCTGTGGGAGAACATAACAATACGCTTTTACATATGAGGAAAAAAGTCAGTAGAACCCTGAGCAGTGAAATAGAGTGTACCCAGAATCAAAGTCACAGGGAGAGTGGGGAATGTGGGGGCTTTGTGGTGAGCAAGACTAACTCACCTTGACTATGAAGGTGAGGGTTCCCTTCAGTTTCTGGGGCATCACAATGCTCTGCACTGAGAAGATGAACTGTGCCTCGTTAGAGATCCCTGAGGAACAAGAGAGAGAGAAAAAACAGATTAATTTGGATGTAAACTGGGAATATGAATATTTGGATGTGAATTTAGCTCTTTTATTTCAACAACAAGCTCCATAGCTTTTTCCTCCTCCCAGACTCTCCCGCTTCCTCACCGGGGGGCAGTTGGAAGGGCACGGTGAGGCTGTCATGTGGGACCGGCTCCCTCAGGCCGCTGCAGCTTGGAGTTGAGAGAGTCCAGCACGTTCAACTCCATGGACTTGATGAAGCTGTCACACTTATTCTCAAAGATAACAGAGACCACCACCTGGCTACCATCATGCAGGTTCCCCTGGATGTCACACACCTAGAGAGGGAAAGAGAGAGAGATTAAGCTGAGGTCGATCCCCTCCGTAGCCAGCAGTGTTCACACAAGGAGCCCAGCAGATTGACTTGCATGCATAACCACAGCAAACCAGCAAATCCATTCAACCATTCCAATCCCAACATGAATCCCATGTGATTTTTCTGAAGCACCCTGGAAACAGCACTGATAGGACAGTAGAATCGTAACATCACACACTCAAGGGGATGCCCCTGGCTTATGGTGTTCTGAATAACAGGGTCACATTTTCCAATATACACGTCTCTGCATAACAGCTTGGTTATCACAGGGTGATTAAGCCAGGGGGCACAGTCTGAGAAAAAGCACAACCACACAGCACATCTAGAAGATTCTCCTGTAAAACCCATAGCCTGCAGTTCACAGAACCTCAGCCAATACCTCATCAGTATCCTGCTTCATCTTGACAGAAAGAAAAAGCAAGAGCATAAGGGGGGTCCACTTACAGTACATACACTGCATTTGGAAAGTATTCAGACCCCTTGACTTTTTCCACATTTTGTTACGTTACAGCCTTATTCTAAAATTGATTCAATTGTTTTTTCCCCCTCATCAATCTACACACAATACCCATTAATGACAAAGCAAAAACAGGTTTTTAGAAATATCACATTTATATAAGTATTCATACCCTTTACTCAGTACTGAAAAACATCCCCACAGCATGATGCTGCCATCACCATGCTTCACCGTAAGGATGGTGCCAGGTTTCCTCCAGACGTGATGCTTGGCATTCAGGCCAAAGAGTTCAATCTTGGTTTCATCAGACCAGAGAATCTTGTTTCTCATGGTCAGAGTCCTTTAGGTGCCTTTTGGCAAACTCCAAGCAGACTGTCACGTGCTTTTTACTGAGGAGTGGCTTCCATCTGGCACTCTACCATAAAGGCCTGATTGGTGGAGTGCTGCAGAGATGTTTGTCCTTCTGGAAGGTTCTCCCATTTCCACAGAGGAACTCTGGAGCTCTGTCAGAGCGACCATCAGGTTCTTGGTCACCTCCCTGACCAAGACCCTTCTCCCCCGATTGCTCAGTTTGGCCGGGCGGCCAGCTCAGCGAAGAGTCTTGGTGGTTCCAAACTTCTTCCATTTAAGAATGATGGAGCCCACTGTGTTCTTGGGGACATTCAATGCTGCAGACATTTTTTCGTACCATTCCCCAGATCTGTGTCTCGACACAATCCTGTCTCGGAGCTGTACGGATAATTTATTTGACCTCATAGCTTGGTTTTTGCTCTGACATGCACTGTCAACTGTGGGACCGTATATAGACAGGTGTGTGCCTTTCCAAATCATGTCCAATTAATTGAATTTACCACAGGTGGACTCCAATCAAGTTGTAGAAACATCAAGGATTATCAATGGAAACAGGATGCACCTGAGCTCAATTTCGAGTCTCATAGCAAAGGGACTGAATACTTATGTAAATAAGGTATCTGTTTTTAATATTTAATACATTTGCAAATATTTCTAAAAACCTGTTTTCACTTTGTCATTATGGGGTATTGTGTGTAGATTGATGAGGGGAAACAATTATTTAATCAATTTTAGAATAAGGCTGTAACATAACAAAACGTGGAAAAAGGGAAGGGGTCTGAATACTTTCCGAATGGACTGTATTATATACAGTGGGGGAAAAAAGTATTTAGTCAGCCACCAATTGTGCAAGTTCTCCCACTTAAAAAGATGAGAGAGGCCTGTAATTTTCATCATAGGTACACGTCAACTATGACAGACAAATTGAGATTTTTTCCCCAGAAAATCACATTGTAGGATTTTTTATGAATTTATTTGCAAATTATGGTGGAAAATAAGTATTTGGTCAATAACAAAAGTTTCTCAATACTTTGTTATATACCCTTTGTTGGCAATGACACAGGTCAAACGTTTTCTGTAAGTCTTCACAAGGTTTTCACACACTGTTGCTGGTATTTTGGCCCATTCCTCCATGCAGATCTCCTCTAGAGCAGTGATGTTTTGGGGCTGTCGCTGGGCAACACGGACTTTCAACTCCCTCCAAAGATTTTCTATGGGGTTGATATCTGGAGACTGGCTAGGCCACTCCAGGACCTTGAAATGCTTCTTACGAAGCCACTCCTTCGTTGCCCGGGCGGTGTGTTTGGGATCATTGTCATGCTGAAAGACCCAGCCACGTTTCATCTTCAATGCCCTTGCTGATGGAAGGAGGTTTTCACTCAAAATCTCACGATACATGGCCCCATTCATTCTTTCCTTTACACGGATCAGTCGTCCTGGTCCCTTTGCAGAAAAACAGCCCCAAAGCATGATGTTTCCACCCCCATGCTTCACAGTAGGTATGGTGTTCTTTGGATGCAACTCAGCATTCTTTGTCCTCCAAACACGACGAGTTGAGTTTTTACCAAAAAGTTCTATTTTGGTTTCATCTGACCATATGACATTCTCCCAATCCTCTTCTGGATCATCCAAATGCACTCTAGCAAACTTCAGACGGGCCTGGACATTTACTGGCTTAAGCAGGGGGACACTGCAGGATTTGAGTCCCTGGCAGCATAGTGCGTTACTGATGGTAGGCTTTGTTACTTTGGTCCCAGCTCTCTGCAGGTCATTCACTAGGTCCCCCCGTGTGGTTCTGGGATTTTTGCTCACCGTTCTTGTGATCATTTTGACCCCACGGGGTGAGATCTTGCGTGGAGCCCCAGATCGAGGGAGATTATCAGTGGTCTTGTATGTCTTCCATTTCCTAATAATTGCTCCCACAGTTGATTTCTTCAAACCAAGCTGCTTACCTATTGCAGATTCAGTCTTCCCAGCCTGGTGCAGGTCTACAATTTTGTTTCTGGTGTCCTTTGACAGCTCTTTGGTCTTGGCCATAGTGGAGTTTGGAGTGTGACTGTTTGAGGTTGTGGACAGGTGTCTTTTATACTGATAACAAGTTCAAACAGGTGCCATTAATACAGGTAACGAGTGGAGGACAGAGGAGCCTCTTAAAGAAGAAGTTACAGGTCTGTGAGAGCCAGAAATCTTGCTTGTTTGTAGGTGACCAAATACTTATTTTCCACCATAATTTGCAAATAAATTCATTAAAAATCCTACAATGTGATTTTCTGGATTTTTTCTCTCTCAATTTGTCTGTCATAGTTGACGTGTACCTATGATGAAAATTACAGGCCTCTCTCATCTTTTTAAGTGGGAGAACTTGCACAATTGGTGGCTGACTAAATACTTTTTTCCCCCACTGTATATATATATGTTACAATGACTCCTCCCAGTTCACAACAATAGTATACTTCTCCAGTGGACCCAAGCGTCTCCCTCCATCACACTCACCATCTTGATGTAGGAGTTCTCAGCCAGCAGGGCGTAATTGGACATGGGCTTTAACGAGAGAAGAGTCTGGTCAGTTCTCGCTTGTCACTCAATATGCAAACAAGGGAACCAGTCCCAGGTCTGGATTCTGTATATATGCTATTTGAGATAGGGAGTGTATAAACACTTCATACTTGACATACTTGTGTCAAATCAATGGGTGAAGGTTGGGAAGTTTTGACAAAACCATACAATGAAAGGGTAGATTTATACGGACAGTACTGCATTTATGACTTGAACGTCCAGTGGACAGGGATTGGACTGCGTGGACAGAATGAAAGGTGATTGGTTACTGACCGGCAGAGGCTCCTCCTCCTCCACCGTGCCGTTCTGCACAGACTCGTCTCCGGATCCATCACTATGGTGATGATGATGGTGGTGCTTCTTCTTCTTTTTCTTGTCCTTCTCCTCCTTTTTCTGCTTCTTCTTCTTGTGCTTGGAGGATTTCTGAGAGGGAAACAAGCAGGGGATGATGTAGAGGGCAGTCTATTCAGAAAGAGGGAGGGAGAGTTTCCAAAGGTGAAGTGCTCAGACAAGATCTGTCAAAATACAGTATCCTGTTGCGCTAGTCTTTAATGTAGAATCCTTAGAAATGAATGATGCTTTCGTTTGTATGTTTTGTATTGTTTATAAAATATCAAATAAAATCTTACACACACAAAATAAAAATTATCCTTAGTAACAGCTAAGGTTTCTGTCTCGTGATTATGACATCATCAGCAGAGTGGAGTGACTCACAGTCTCTTCAGGTTCAGAGTCTGGTGCCATCGCAGCCACACTAGAAGCCACCTCAGGGGTGGAGGCAGGGGGAGCGTCCGTTACTGCTGCTGCCTCCTGTCACCACATACATAGTATGGACACATTTAGGATGATTATTGACATACAACACACATTGTCATTTATTGATCATATACAAGTACAGGTAGTAGTAGTTTGGGTTAGTTGTAGTCATTTGTTTGTTGTTAAGAAGTTCTCAAAATGCTGACATTGTTCCAATGGACCCATTGTCGATAGGATCCCTTCACATCTGTGCTTTAGTGGAACAATAAATAGACTCAAACCAGTTCAAAAAACAGAAATACAGAAACATGTTCTAACAGGATGTGTGAACTGTGAAGTCATGTTTGGGTGACTGCTAGACGTAGCTTATTTCCTGAGGGCAGACAGTTGGTGTGGTGTAAACAAAGTTCCTGATACATTTCTCAACATGCAGAGCCCCAAAACAATGTATATCTAATGATCAGATTCTGCTTGAAACAGTCCCATACAGTAGTTCATAACAGAGGACAGAGAGTGTGTGGTCACAGAGCTAAACTTTATGACCTAGTCTAACTTTAAACTGAATACTGTACCATTGTCATTAGTCTTCCACCTGGTCTGACAGCTGCTCTGGGCTAGAGCGGTTGTCTGCAGTTACACGCACTCAGTCAGTATGTAGTCAAAAACACTGTCTATACGTAGTCATACTACACACGAAGAGCTATGCTACTGCTGCATTGGTTTGACTGGAACAACAAGAACTGTCAGCAAGATTCCAGACCCTGAGGCCCCTGAACTTGACAACAACACTGACGAGAAACAGACACACAGAGCAAAACCAAAAGAGAGAACCAACACTAAGAAACACACAGGCAGAAGAACAGACAACGAAAGTAGGGTTACATGACCTGTGAAAGAGAGGGTGAAAGAAGAGAAGAGTGGATGGTAGGAAAGAAAGAACCACGCATGGCGAGGAGGATCAGACGAGAGCAGAGAATAGATGGAGAGGTACTGTTAGAACACAAATAAATGACAACAAGGACAAGGAGCGACTAAGAGAGAGAGAGGGGAACTCAACCTGAGGGTTAGAGGGCACTGGAGCATTTGAGAGCCAGAAATCCAGATCCGAAGCCTAGAACAGTGGGAGAGGGAGAGGGAGCGAGAGTGATGGGGGAGGGGGTAGAGGATAAACATTTTAGTGCTACCTCTTCATGAAAATGGATACAGAGATTACACGGTTATTTTCATGAATAAATCAAGTATTTCAAGAGAGAGACTACACATACTACAATCTTAGAACAAATACTGATTGATACTTGATTTAATCTTTATTGCTGATAGGATGGTGAGGGGGCTTGAAAGAAGCAATGACAATGTTTGATAAATGAAAATGATCAAAGAAATGTGTTTGCTTGACAGATTATCTAAACTTGACATTTTTGGGAAATCAAAATATTTAAGCTTATATAAATGTAATTCAATCAAATTCTTAGTTTAGTTTAAAATGATTTAGTGTCAGTCTTCATTCTTCAATAGATGTTGATGAATAACAGGAGTGTCAAAATACCCTACACAGAATGACATTGTGCAAATCTTGTCCCTGTAAAAAAGGTAGTCCCTCCCTTTGTGATGTCATACCTCTGGTGTGGAGGCAGGAGGCTGGGCTGCCACATCGTTGGTCACTTCTGATTGGACAGGTTCCTCTGACCCAGCCTCCATAAGATCCTCCCCTTCCTCTTGTTTGTGTTTCTTCTTCTTCTTATTCTTCTTCATCTCTTTACCCTTCTACAATGACAACAAAAACACTCCTCAAGACAATAAGGTCACAAATAACAGAGACGTCAAAAATATGAAAAATATTCTAAAGAAATAAAGAACAGGGCCTCACCTTCCTCTCCTTGTCCTTATCCTTCTTCTCCTTCCCGCTCTTCTTCTTGGGCTCTGAAGCGACCTCCAACCCCTCCCCGTCCTCTACGGGGCTCTTGAGGACCTCATCGGGACGGTGTGTCCTGACTGGCAGCTTCTTCTCACTGTCTGCCAGGGGCCTGAGAGCACAGAGGAAACGCATAAAACCACAGCCCTGGGTGTACATGGTGATTCTGGTCAAACTATAGCCATTGGCTGTCTCAATAGTCTTAACTAGCCTCCTTTCCTCTATGACCACTGATCTGGGAGGAAAATACAAGTTAAAAGCAGCATGGTGAGAACCTATCCAGTCTATTCACTTATCAATGCCAGTGAAGGAAAGGAGATTATGAAAGGAAGCTAGTTGAGACAAACCCATCCACTCCACTCAGGTGCATGATATCTCAAACACAAACTTCCTCAGCATAAACCTTCAAAGCCATTCCTCAGGCAGAGCTGGGAGGTCTGGAGGGAGACCCCCATTAACAGGTTTATCCAATATCAGAATTGGATTGATGCCTCTGTAACTGAGTACGTTTACATGCACAGTAATAATTCTATATTAAACTGATTATGGCAGTAGGCAGATTATGCAATAGTCATGTAAACACCCTACCCTGCTTATCTTAAAATCGGTGTAAGGTCAAAATCAAAGTAAGCATACGCCGATTAAAAACACCTGGTTTTCTGAGGAATCTTTCGAATTATTAGGACATGTAAACACCGTAATCGGCGTTCTAGCAGTGTATTTGATCTGCTCATGTGCTAGCACCAGCTGAGCGAGCCTCCCTCTTTAGCGCGAGTGAAGTGAGTTCGGAACAACTGAATGTATGTGTCTTAGAAGTAGTTTTCACATACAAACTTTATATGTCCGAACTCAGAACGGTCGCTGTGGTAGAACATTTATTTTGACTGGAGATTTTCTGCATTTATCAGCGTGCCATCAGGTAGCCTGATATCAGATGTGTCCATGTAAACAGGATTATTAGTGAAATTGTTCTCCTTGCAAAGCATGTAAACGTTTTAATCAAACTATTATATTAACCTGACTATCCACAACAATCGCATTGTAACCATACTCAGACATGGATTGGGTGAGGATTTGACTAGTAAAAACAGTAGTCGTCCATGAGCAGTAATGGTGATTGAGTCATGACTTGAGAAAATCAGCAGTTCCACTGAGAAATCTAGAAACTCTCATCTTATCACATCAATCTGTTTATGTTCGTGAGAAGTGAGAGCGCTTTTCTTCGTCTCCAGCCACAATGTGGGCACATTAACAGAGTTTTGTATGGAGGGAATGCTGATATTCTGAAATGAGCTTGTAGAAGGTTTCAAATGGAGTAGGGGTGAGCAAGAGGAGAGTGTTGTTGAAAAGAAGGATCAAACTTCAAACTGTAAAGTCACATCATGCCGAGAGAGATAGAGAGAGAGAGGAGAGAGAGAGAGGAGAGAGACACAGAGAGAGAGAGACAGAGACAGAGAGCTAGAGAGAGAGAGAGAGAGAGAGAGACAGAGACAGAGAGCTAGAGAGAGAGAGAGAGAGAGCGAGAGAGAGAGCTAGAGTGAGTGAGTGAGTGAGTGAGTGAGTGAGTGAGTGAGTGAGTGAGTGAGTGAGTGAGTGAGTGAGTGAGTGAGTGAGTGAGTGAGTGAGTGAGTGTGAGTGTGAGTGTGAGTGTGAGTGTGAGAGAGAGAGAGAGAGAGAGAGAGAGAGAGAGAGAGAGAGAGAGAGAGAGAGACTAGAGTCCAGCCCAGACGGGGCTTCTCCTGAGGCTGAGAAGGTACTCACCTGCGAGATGCCACCAGCAAACTGCGCAGTCAAGGGGATAGAGGTGTGTGTGTGTGCATAAGAGAGAGACACCGAGGGAAAGAACCACAGAGCAGAGCACAACACAGTGAGAGGGAGTGTGTGAGGATGAAGAGGGCCAGTCCAGCACAGCACCAGCCTCTCATCAGTGGAGCCAGGAAGAGATTATACACCCCCACAGAATAGATAATAGCACAGCCAGGTTATATAGCCTTCGCTTTCATACTAATCCATTAGTGGACATCTGTAATACAGAGAGAGGTCAGTGATGATGAGTGAACTCACTTGTCCAGGTCGATGTTCAAAGCTTTGTGGGGGTCGTTAGGATCTTTGTCATCGTCATCACTGGGCAAGGCATTCTGAGACAGCAAGAGAATGGAGTTAGTGACAGAGCAAAATAACATCCTTGCATATGCAATTATTATCAAAGGTATGCCACATTTCTATTATCTGCAACACTCTGAACCACCTATGAAAGTTCCTGGCCTCTACCCCATGACTCTACCCCCTGGCATCTCTGCCTGGCTTACTGTACCCCTGGCATCCCTGCCTGGCATCTCAGCCTGGCCTACTGTACCTCTGGCATCTCCTCAGTGACGATGTCCACCATGTGTGCAGGGGTGATGTCCTCCTCGCTCTCTGGGCCCGAGTCCCCCCTCCTCCGGCGGCCCTTCTCCCTCCTCTTCTTCTTGTCCTTCTTCTTCCTGTCTGCCTTGTTTTTCTCCCGACGCTCCTCTTCCAGCTTCACATACTGGTCTGACATTGGCATCCCTAAACCCAACGGGAGGGAGAAAGGAAGAAAGAGAAAGAAAGAGGAAGTGGGGTCAAGTTATTACACAGAAAGAGGAAGTGGGGTCAAGTTATTACACAGAAAGAGGCGAGAGAGAAAGATGTACAGAAGAGGGGATTAGTTATGACAGAGGTGAAGAGAGAAAGAGGGAGATGGGTTAGGTTTGGATACAGAGTCCTGTTTGCAGAACCACTGACTGATACACTGTACATTGAAATCAGTAGTTTATAGTGTAGTGGCCAGAGGAACTGACCTGGGACTTTGAGAGGCACACTGAGGTCAATCTGCACCACTGGAATGTGCTCCACACCAACAGCATCCTGGTACACCTGCACACACACACACACACACACACATCTTAAAACACAGGAACTATAACATAGGGATGTGAATGGCATATAACATAAAAGAACAAAGGCTTCTAGTCAATATAATGATTTAGTCTAAGACCTTCGGAGAGGGGGGTGCTAAGCAGACATGGAATTGTTTTTAAGTTGGTCATACTATTGATCATTTAGCTATTTGATATTGAATTTTAGGACCCCTTTAGATATGTTTTTTTATAACAAAAAATGGTTGATCAAATATTGATTTTGGCCTTTACTACTAAAGACCATAGAAACGCATTGAATAACATTCATAAATGGCTAAAAGAACAGTCAAAAAATGAATAATAAGAAACAAGGTTTTGAAGTGTCTGTCCTAAATCTAGGATATTTATAAAAATATAAAAAATAATAATCCGTAAATATATATATATTATTATAAATTTTTTGTACACATATTTAACCATTTATTTTGGGTAGGCACAAAACTACCTTCATACTTCCATTTGTTTATTTAAACTGGTACCGATTACCTCCAGACGAGTCCCGTGACACTTGTGTTCGTGAGAGTCTCCCCTTTCCATAGTGGGGGTCCCTTTAGTTTGTAGCCCAAACTGTTCGGACGCTACCAAACAGAAGTTGGCACATCGACGGTACCGACTTCAGACGAGTCTCCTGACACTTGTGGGGGTCGTAGACAAAAACCATCGTGTTCATGAGAGTCTCCCCTTTCCATAGAGTGGTCATAACATGAGAAGACCGATTTTCTGGATGTCTCATGGTCTGACAAACACCGCTCTAGCTCTGCCATCTTTCACAGCAGATGCGGAAGTGTGACGTAGGTGGATTGAGACGCATCCAATGCAAAAAAACATATCTCTAGCTTAAACTGATGGATTTTGATGGGGATTTTTTTGTTATGTAACTTAGATTGACGCACTGGTTAAATTATCATATTTAGATGGAAGTATATTCAAGTGGTTTGAAATGTGTAATTAATTACATTTCTGTAAGAGTCAGGTTAACAAATAAGACTAGCTGCCGATTGGGTGATGATGCAGGGCGTACCTTCTGAGAGGACAGGGAGGCCTTGATGTAGAAGGGGTTGTTGGCCTGCTCGGCCTTCCTTACTTCTCTCCTCTGGAGGGAGAAACAGTATCAAGTCAGTCATATGAAAATGATGTGGTGTGTACCTGTGTACCTCTTCAGTGTCTGATTGTTTTAGCATCACCAAAGATTTAACATCAGCAACAGATCAACTGTTGAAAGAATTGAGGAGCTTGTATCTCAATGCGTATACAGCAGCGATTATTGGCTTGTAAATTCCCATCTTACCTTGGCCAGTTCCTTCTCGTCCACCTCAGTGTAGCGTGGCTTGGTGTGTCTGGACTCCTCCTTGGCAAATACAGCCTTGCCCTTGGACTTCCTGCCCTCATCCTCAGACTCACTCCCAGACGGAGGCTCATTGATCCACGCATCCAGGTCCAGACTGGGGACAAAACCAAGACAATACATTCTCTGTTTATAAAATTGTACTGAATCATCCAGTTTTTTTAATTTGTATATACGGTATGACTTAACTCGCATAAAAACTGTGGATGGAAACTTGGTTACAGACAGTGTATACAACAAAGCTACCTTGCATTATCTAAAATTGTCTAATGGGCTGCATAAAGTACATTGAAAAAATATATAAACGCAAAATGCAACAATTTCAAAGATTTTACTGAATTACAGTTCATATAAAGGAAATCAATCAATTGAAATCAATTAATTAGGCCCTAATCTATGGATTGCACATGACTGGGAATACAGATATGCATCTGTTGGTCACAGACACCTTTTTTTTTTTTATGTAGGGGCGTGGATCAGAAAACCAGTCAGCATCTGGTGTGACCACCATTTGCCTCATTCAGCGCGACACATCTCCTTCGCATAGAGTCGCATAGAGTTGTTGATTGTGGCCTGTGGAATGTTATCCCACTCCTCTTCAATGGCTGTGTGAAGTTGCTGGATATTGGCAGGAACTGGAACAAGCTGTCGTACCAGTCGATCCACAGCATCCCAAACATGCTCAATGGGTGACAAGTCTGGTGAGTATGGAAGAACTGGGACATTTTCAGCTTCCAGGAATTGTGTACATATCCTTGCGACATGGGTCCGTGCACTATCATGCTGAAACATGAGATGATGAAAGTGGTTTAATGACAATGGGCCTCAGGATCTCGTCACTGTATCTCTGTGCATTCAAATTGCCATCGACACAATGCAATTGAGAATGCTATTCATTGACTACAGCTCAGCATTCAACACCATAGTGCCCTCAAAGCTCATCACTAAGCTAAGGATCCTGGGACTAAACACCTCCCTCTGCAACTGGATCCTGGACTTCCTGACGGGCCGCCCCCAGGTGGTAAGGGTAGGTAACAACACATCTGCCACGCTGATCCTCAACACGGGGGCCCCTCAGTGGTGCGTACTCAGTCCCCTCCTGTACACCATGTTCACCCATGACTGCATGGCCAGGCATGACTCCAACACCATCATTAAGTTTGCCGACGACACAACAGTGGTAGGCCTGATCACCGACAACGATGAGACAGCCTATAGGGAGGAGGTCAGAGACCTGGCCGTGTGGTGCCAGGATAACAACCTCTCCCTCAATGTGACCAAGGCAAAGGAGATGATTGTGGACTCTGCACCGGTACCCCCCTGTATATAGCCACCCTACTGTTATTTTATTTGACTTCTGCTCTTTTTTTCTCAACACTTTTTTGTTGTTGTTGTTTTATTTTACTTTATTAAAAAATAAATGCATTTTTGGTTAAGGGCTGTAAGTAAGCATTTCACGGTAATGTCTACACCTGTTGTATTCAGCGCATGTGGCAAATAAAATTTGATTTGATTTGATATGATATGAAGTCGGTTATGACGCCGAACTGCAGTCAGGTCAAAACCCTGGTGAGGACGACGAGCACGCAGATGAGATTCACTGAGGTTGTTTCTAACAGTTTGTGCAGAAATTATACGGTTGGGCAAACCCACAGTTTCATCAGCTGTCCGGGTGGCTGGTCTCAGACGATCCCCCAGGTGAAGAAGCCAGATGTGGAGGTCCTGGGTTGGCGTGGTTACACATGGTCTGCGGTTGTTAGGCCGGTTGGATGTGAACATTAAATTACTGGCAACAGCTCTGGTGGACATTCCTGCAGTCAGCCTGCCAATTGCACGCTCCCTCAAAACTTAGACATCTGTGGCATTGTGTGACAAAACTGCACATTTTAGAGTGGCCTTTTATTGTCCCCAGCACAAGGTGCACCTGTGTAATGATCATGCTGTTTAATCAGCTTCTTGATATGCCACAACTGTTAGGTGGATGGATTATCTTGGCAAAGGAGAAATGCTCACTAACAGGGATTTAAACAAATTTGAGAGAAATAAGCTTTTTGTGCATCTGGAAAATGTCTGGGTTATTTTATTTCAGCTCATGAAACATTAGACCAACACTTTATATGTTGTGTTTATATTTTTGTTCAGTGTAATACTATAAAATATATTTCTGATGTTGTGTATCACTATAAGCTTAAATTGTGAGTAGGGGAGAGCGGCAGGCAGACTGACCCTTCAGGAACCGGCACTTTCTTCTGTGCCTTGGGGGCCACAGGGTTGAGCTCTCCAGCAAACAGAGCAGTCACCTCCTCAGCCACCTCCACGTCCTTCTGCTGCAGCTTCTGGATGTACTTCACCAGCTGCAGGATGCAGGAGGCCTGGGGAGGGGAGCACAGAGAGAGAAGCATACTGGAAAAGGTATTCTCCTTTCAAACGGCCAATAGCCCCCTGAGGTTAACCGAGGTTAGCTGTGTGACTCACCCTCTCCTGCACCTCCAGGTTGGCGCTCTGGACAAACACAGGCAGCCTGTCAATGAGCAGCTGGCTGGTCTCCTGGGTCACCTTGCTGTCCGCTGGCGCCCCCTCCTGGCCGCGCAGCACCGTAGCAAACAGCTTGGCAGCGTTCTGCACGTACACAGCCTGGATGTGGCCCGGCAGGGTGGCCACCTTGGGCCGCAGCATGGCTTCCAGGGTCGCCATGGGATCCTCCAGGTGTCTGGGGGGAGATAGGATGGTACAGGATGAGGGATAAGCCAATGATACAGGGCTGAACTGGCCTGATTTGAGCTAGTTTGACTTAGTGTAAAACAGTCTTGCTAAAAAGTGTATGTGTGCGCACGTGTTCTTGTAGAAGAGGAATGGATGAATACATACTCTGAGAACTCTCCACAGATCCAGGCGGCGGCGTACAGCACCTCACAGATGCCGTTGTGCTGTGTGTTGCCGGTCAGCAGGTGGGCGTTGTCCAGCAGAGCAGCCATCTGGGCCACAGCGAAGGCTCGGATGGCCTTCACCCGGATGGCTACGTCCAGCATCTGGGAGGCGATGAGGTGGCCGTGCCGCGTGCCCTCTAGACGGGTCAACTCCACCAGGATACTGATGTACCTGAGAGATGGACACAGAGACAGACGGTTAGACTGATGTACCTGAGAGACAGGTGAGAAAGTAAGTGGAAGGTAGGCCCCTAAATGGCAGGTAATCCCCCAAAAAATAAGACAAGTAGGGGGCCAGAACGATGCAAAAACTTCAGTGAAATGTTGATAATTGACAGCAAGAAGCATTACTGCAATGCGTTTTGACTCGGTGAGCCTTTCAACGCTACTTGAGACACATGGAAACTCAAACTCACAGAAAGTATGAGTTTAAAAGTGTGTAATGAAAGTATGAATCTAAAATATATTGGCCCTGCCAGTAAGTTGTGCTGACCATTCAAAGTTGGTGATGTACTGGTAGTTGCTCTGGCTGCAGATGTCGATGATCTTGGTGAGCAGCTCGTCTCTGTAAGTGGTTCCCTCTGCTTTGTCCACGTGCAGCATCAGCTTCTTCACTATCTCCATCAGGTTCTTCTTGGACACCTGGGACCACACCAATAAATAGTCAATGAGAAACAGAGCCATGGGGAGATCAGAAACTGTACTGTGATCAGGGAGGCATTAGGCTATACATGAAAATTAGGTTTTTGAGCTTAAGGCATTTCCCCATGAGTAGATATAGGTGGTGAAGACATGGGGTTAGGGTCATTGTGTATTCGATGACTATGTGTTATGACAGTGACAAGCACCATGCCGTAGAGCAGGTCTAGAGCCCTCAGGCGGATGGACTCGTCCTTGTCATCCAGACACTGAAGGATGAGGTCCTTGTGGGATTGGACAGACTTGGGATGAGTCTTCAGTATCTTGGACATGGCCAGCAGGCCCAGGTACTTCACTATGAACAGAGACAACACACTCAGTGGCCTGGGCACTATACACAGGGCCTTCTACTATACTTCCCCATGCACTAGATTAGCCGTTCTGCACTATGGAGACTGGTCTACGAGCCATACATCATGCCTTTACACTCCGTAGTATACATTATCTTAGCCTGCCTCCCAGTCTTAGGGAACAATAGGTATATTTGTCACCCTAAATCGCTTGAATGTCTACAGCACATTCGGAAAGTATTCAGACCCCTTGACTTTTTCCACATTGTTACGTTACAGCCTTATTCTAAAATGGATTAAATAATAAAAATGTCCTCATCAATCTACACACAATACCCCATAATGACAAAGTAAAAAGAGGATTTTAGAAATGTTTGCACATTTATTAAATATAAAAAACAGAAATACCTTATTTACATAAGTATTCAGACCCTTTGCTATGAGACTCAAAATTGAGCTCAGGTACATCCTGTTTCCATTGATCATCCTTGAAATGTTTCTACAACTTGATTGGAGTCCACCTTTGGAAAATGTAATTGATTGGACATAAGGTCCCACAGTTGACAGTGCTTGTCAGAGCAAAAACCAAGCTATGAGGTCGAAGGAATTGTCTGTTGAGCTCCGAGACAGTATTGTGTCAGGCACAGATCTGGGGAATGGTACCAAAACATTCTGCAGCATTGAAGGTCCCCAAGAACACAGTGGGCTCCATCATTCTTAAATGGAAGAAGTTTGGAACCACCAAGACTCTTCCTAGAGCTGGCTGCCCGGCCAAACTGAGAAATCGGGGGAGAAGGGCCTTGGTCAGGGAGATGACCAAGAACCCGATGGTCACTCTGACAGAGCTCCAGAAGGACAACCATCTCTGCAGCACTCCACCAATCAGGTCTTTATGGTAGTGGCCAGACAGAAGCCACTCCTCACTAAAAGGCACATGACAGCCCGCTTGGAGTTTGCCAAAAGGCACCTAAAGACTCTCAGACCATGAGAAACAAGAATCTCTGGTCTGATGAAACCAGGATTGAACTCTTTGGCCTGAATGCCAAGCGTCACGTCTGGAGGAAACCTAGCACCATCCCTACGGTGAAGCATGGTGGTGGCAGCATCATGCTGTGGGGATGTTTTTCAGCGGCAGGGACTGGGAGACTAGTCAGGATCGAGGGAAAGATTAATAGAGCAAAGTACAGAGAGATCCTTGATGAAAATCTGCTCCAGAGCACTCAGGACCTCAGACTGGGGCAAAGGTTCACCATCCAACAGGACAATGACCCTAAGCACACAGCCAAGACAACTCAGGAGTGGCTTCGGGACAAGTCTCTGAATGTCCTTGAGTGGCCCAGCCAGAGCCCGGACTTGAACCCGATCGAACATCTCTGGAAAGACCTGAAAATAGCTGTGCAGTGACGCTCCCCATCCAACCTGACAGAGCTTGAGAGGATCTGCAGAGAAGAATGGGAGAAACTCCCCAAATACAGGTGTGCTAAACTTGTAGCGTCATACCCAAGAAGACTCAAGGCTGTAATCACTGCCAAAGGAGCATTTTTTTCCTATTTTCTTTCATACTGGCCCCCCGTGGGAATCGAACCCACAACCCTGGCGTTGCAAACGCCATGCTCTACCAACTGAGCTACACAGGGCCCAAAGTACTGAGTAAAGGGTCTGAATACTTATGTAACAAAATGTGGAAAAAGTCAAGCGGTCGGAATACTTTCCGAATGCACTGCATCTCTCTTTGACGGTCCACTATCTGCTCTTATCCACTGAAACCTCACTTACTGATTACATTACAGAGTAATTACTGTAGGCCATTATCACTATTCTGAATGCCTGTTTTATATATTTATTATATAATTACGTTGAGAATCAGATTTTTCCCTTTGAAGGCAATAAACAACTTCTCTGGTAGGAAACGGCCTATGTGGCATCGATATTAGTCCGAAATATTTATGTTACTGTCAAAATTGACTACAAAGTGTAAATAGGATACATTTTGGTCATAAAGACAGTCTCGTCCTAAAACAGAGATTTGCGAGATAATTACGAATGCTAAATCCCGGAATTAAGGGTACCGTAACAGTATTCCTCGGGTTGGGTTTATTTCAATCCTGCCGACATGCCCACAGCACCCAAGTAATCATCAATTCCGAGCGCAGCTGCACGCGTCCCGATCGTAATGCCAATGGTCAATTTGGTTTGACATTCGATATCCCTATGCGGCTAACCATCAGTAAATTACACAACGTACATGGGACAATATATATATTTAAATTCTATAGCTCCAAATTTCAATGACTTAAAAACCTCAAACCAACTACAAATTGTAGAAATTCAAATACAAATATTGAAAGCAATTAATGAGACAACAAAGATGTGCAACATGAAAATATTGTCCCATAGATTGTGTAATTTATTGACAGTCCCCAACTAGCCCCAGAGATAGGCTATCCAAAGTCAAACCAATTTTGACACGGTCGCACACCGGCCAGCTGAAGCTAATTGGCGAAAGAAGTTGGCTACCTAGTGTAGGCTACTTCCAGACACAAGACCTGCGTAGACCGTTTCAAGTTATCTAGAAGGGTGAGTGACTCGCTGTGTACTGTTTTGGCAGAGTGAAAGTACAAACGCTTCCCAAGTTTGAACACACACACGACACCCAAAGCACGCCTCCAAGACCAAAATCTCTAAGTTCAGCCCCCCTTTCAAATATATACCAAACAAAAAACATTGATTTCAACATTTAACAAACTATAGAACTCTATGCACAAGGACTACTTTTAACAATCCCACTGAACATTTTACAAAAACACATTTATAGGAAGAACTGTGCAGGTACAAAGTTTGGTAACAGAATAAAACAAAGGAATATTCTGCCGCAATTCTGTTACCAGTATATTTTTATTTGTATTTACTGTGTAAATTGTTCAAAGTAGTCATTGTGCATAGAGTTGTATGGTTTGTTAAACTTTGAAACCAATGTTTTTTGTTTGGCATACATTCTAAAGTGAAAAATCAGAGTCTCCTCGCAATTCTGTTAGCATGGAACATACTGACTGACAACCTGATATTTTCACATCTATATGATTTTCTCTACAAAACATGAAATAAAAAAAAAAAAAAAAAAGGGAAAATACAAACAAACAGAACGATGGCGAGAACACAGACATTCACACGAGACAACATATACACATGGAAGTTTTGTTTTTTTGCCACCAACTTGAGTCATAGGTAGATGTAACTATAGTGCACTAATCCGATAACAGACACCTTTTTTTTTGTTGCTGAATCAGGCAAACATACACTAAACAGATTATTATCGGAGCGGTTGATACCTCCGGCACAGATAGCTGCATATCAGGTTTATGGATCAATATGTGTGAATGCGACCTTGATGTAAAGTGCTGTCGCTGTGCAGATACAGGCTTGGTTTCATCAGAGCAGGTCAGGAGAAGCCCTGTAAACAGTACTATGTTTGAGACTAATAGTTTAAAAGGTGTCGATGGGAGCAAGAGAAGGCAAGAGCCTGTTGAAGTTATGATCCTAACTAGCGAAACGGATCAGTATAGAGAACTCCAATTAAAAACAAAACATAGCTGCCCACATATGTCTAATCTACACACAACACAACCTACTAAGGTGCCCAGATAATTCGAATCACCAGCTGCATCATAATGATCGTAGATGGTTTAACTTACTGTTAGCTGTAAGCTGTTAGACTGATGAATTACTGCTCAAATATACTGAATGTTTAGAAACTAAATAGCCTGTTGAAGTAGAGGTGTATAATAAATGGATGTGAAGACAAAACCCTACCTTTTGACATAGTCACAATTGCAACTATGCACAGTGAAATATTAACCGGCCCGCATTTGGGGCAGTGGTCAAAATGTCGAGTTATCCAGAGTTTGGGATCTAGATGTCTGTAAGCTAGATGGGTGGCTACTCAGAAACACGCAGACAATGAGAGAATGACACACTGCAGGCATTGACAGAGGGCTCACAGTTCTGGTCCGAGTCTTCAATTAGGATTCGCAGTTTCTGGACACAGAGCTGAGAGAGAGAGAGAGAGAGAGAGAGAGAGAGAGAGAGAGCGAGAGAGAGGAGGAAGAGAGGGGAACATGCCATTACTATCAATATAAACCTTTCCAAACAAGCTCCATTATTGGCATTTGTGCACAGCAATTTTGTACATTCACAGAAAGTGGGTGAAACCAATAACCATAAAACCCAGCTAAAGTCATTTGAACAGTTTATGAATTTCTATACATTTTAGGAGATCAGAAACTGATGCACTTTAAATCACAATTTCACTAGCCTGCGCAATCTGTTGGTGTTCATCTACTGAGAGACTTGTGATGATAAAACAAAGAAGATTTAAACATGCATTGATATCAAACTAGAGTGGAAAGTGGACCTGGTGTCTGGGACTTACCTGAATACTAGCACTGTGATTGGGCATCCCAGAGGACAGGGAAATCAACACTGCAACAGAGGACAAACACAATCAAATCCTGCTGTGCCAACAACTTCTCATACTTGTCAAAAACAAATGTTCACAGTTAGAGCTGTGATCTTGAAAGCTCAGTGATGTTTTCACTTAACATAAAACAAACTGCATTGAGTCAACACAACCTCCTCAGTAGCACATCAAAGGCCCAAACAAAACAACTGCCCCCACTGGAGATTATAGACATGGCAAGGAGTATATCTTTTTTTTTAAATGAGAAAATAGCTTGGTTCCACTGCCCATGTCTTCTGTTTATACACAAGCTTCACGAAGATGGACGGCTATCCAGCACACAGATAACCAGACAACTAAATATAGCTACAAGAAGAACAAGTGAAAAGTGGAATACTGACCTGCTATCACAGTGTTGACACATTCATATAGAAGTGACATAGCCGAGGTACTGTGAGAGGAAGAAAGGGTAAGGAAAGGAGTAGAGATAGACAGAAGGTCAATATTTTCATCAGACAACTTTTTGTGATAGGGATTCAACAAAACCCATATTGGTTGTTGGATCTCTGTGTGTGTCTCACCTGTGGATGAGGTTTGTTAGGGGCTCAATCAGCTTCTTCCCCAAGCGAGGCTCCAGGGGTGTGAGGGCACCAAACTGAAAAACACACACGTCGCCATTACACACACTAAAGGAACAACACCTCTCCATGTTGTGATACTGGGCAATCATTTGTAACTTCCACTGACTCACTAACCAGGTTTCCATCCAACCTTGATGCGTCTTTCCAATTAAATATTGAGGGTCTTATTCTGGTGACATGATGATTGATCCCTGGCTGCCGTTTGACAAATACAAATAATCTTGCTCTAATCCATAATAATCTCATCATGTAGGCTAGCCTACCCACAATGTATCTGCCAGCTGTTGGCTAGAGCACACATGCCAAGACACAAGTTGGCACATTAACAATTTAAGGCAATAGTTTGTGACAAAACTATCGGTAGAGTTGAAAATGCAATGGCAACACATGGAACTTTCAATGTGTATTCGGTACATGTAAACTTAAGGGGAAAAGTACCTTTTAAAGCACGCCGGATAAGAAATATCACGACAGGCCTGATGGAAACAGCAAATTTGTTGGTAAGCTTTCCAAATAGACAAAAAAAATATGCTAGACAAGGTGAGATCTTTGTTTGTCGGTAAAATTAATAATGCGCAAATATTGATATAATAACTATCCTATCCAAGTAAACGTTTAGTCACGCGATGATGTTGTGTGGTCCTCCCACTATGACGGGAAAGCATGCAGTTTATTAGGCTACAGATGAATACACAGTGAGCTCCAAAAGTATTGGGACAGTGACACATTTGTTGTTGTTTTGGCTCTGTACTCCAGCACTTTGGATTTAATAGAAATGAATGGTAAATAATGTAGTGTCATTTTGGAGACACTTTTATTGCAAATAAGAATATAATATTTTTCTAAACACTTCTACACTAATGTGGATGCTACCATGATCACGGATAATCCTGAATGAATCGTAAATAATGATGAGTGAGAAAGTTAGTGACATAAATATCATATCTTCCAAAAAATGCTAACCCCTGTTATTGTAATGGTGAGAGGTTAGCATGTCTTGGGGGTAATCATTGCGTGCTAGGAATATGGGATTAAATACTAAACTTTTGACTACTTTAATACATATAAGTGAATTTGTATACTTTTGGTCCCCTAAAATGGGGGGTCTATGTACAAAAAGTGCTGTAATTTCTAAACGGTTTGCCCAATATAGATGAAAATACTCTCACATTAAAGCTGACAGTCTGCACTTCAACCATATACAGTGAGGGAAAAAAGTATTTGATCCCCTGCTGATTTTGTACATTTGCCCACTGACAAAGACATGATCAGTCTATCATTTTAATGGTAGGTTTATTTGAACAGTGAGTGACAGAATAACAACAACAAAATCCAGAAAAACGCATGTCAAAAATGTTATAAATTGATTTGCATTTTAATGAGGGAAATAAGTATTTGACCCCCTCTGAATCAGAAAGATTTCTGGCTCCCAGGTGTCTTTTATACAGGTAACAAGCGGAGATTAGGAGCACACTCTTAAAGGGAGTGCTCCTAATCTCACCTTGTTACCTGTATAAAAGACACCTGTCCACAGAAGCAATCAGATTCCAAACTCTCCACCATGGCCAAGACCAAAGAGCTCTCCAAGGATGTCAGGGACAAGATTGTAGACCTACACAAGGCTGGAATGGGCTACAAGACCATCGCCAAGCAGCTTGATGAGAAGGTGACAACAGTTGGTGCGATTATTCGCAAATGGAAGAAACACAAAATAACTGTCAATCTCCCTCAGCCTGGGGCTTCATGCAAGATCTCAACTCGTGGAGTTGCAATGATCATGAGAACAGTGAGGAATCAGCCCAGAATTACACGGTAGGATCTTGTCAATGATCTCAAGGCAGCTGGGACCATAGTCACTGTTGAGACTTCTAGCTCACTCAGGAAAATAAAAATAAAAAACATATATATAAATAGATAAAAGAGAAGCAAATGGGTCTGATGTGTTCAATTAAATGGGGAACGAGTGATTTCTTTAAGTTTCTTAGATGCTCGGATATGTTACGTTATGTGCGCATGTGCAGCTTCACTAGAGACTTAAATTATGGCAGCTGGTAATCATTTCACCGCAGACAATCATCAGGAGCACACAGCCCGTTGGTATGTAACTGCGAACTACTCACAGTCTAGCATTAATGTTTAAGTCACTTATATGTATGAGCACTGAACGTTTACCTCACTGTGTCGGTGTTAGTTGGCCGAGAGTAACTTGTGGCTCGCTGGGTGCGGTAGCTCAGCGACCCAGATGCTGTATAGCATTAGGCTATCATTATCAGCCATTGGCGTTGTGCTGATTGTTCGGAGCACTCTGCTGGTTTCTGGTGGCGATGGTGATAGCGGTGGTTTGGTTCGGTGATCCATGGTGGAGTGCCGCGTTGTTGCGTTTGTAAATCCTTTGGACGAGGCATGTGGTGGCATGGGTTCTATGTCCTGTGACAGCGTCCATAGAAACCAGTGACGGCAGAGTCACTGTGCGCATGCTCCTCTGGCGCTAGGCATTCTGGGTGATGTAGTCAATGTTGTTTTAAGCCAGATTTGCCACATTTTTGATGGTGTTGCAGGCTTATTTGATTTTCATTATTTACATTATATTATTTGAATAATATATTTACATTATATATTTTAATAATATATTGTCATTATTTGTTTGTTGTATTTCAGGTTTATGACCTGTGGTCATTTAATTTAAAATAAAATTAAGGACAAAACACGAGTCATGACATTGTGTGCTTCCTGGTGAGCATTTTCGGGGGGCTAAATAACGAAAAATCAGAACAGTCACCAAGAAAACAATTGGTAACACACTATGCCGTGAAGGACTGAAATCCTGCAGCGCCTGCAAGTGTTGTGGTCAGATGAGACCAAAATCGAGCTCTTTGGCATCAACTCAACTCGCCGTGTTTGGAGGAGGAGGAATGCTGCCTATGACCCCAAGAACACCATCCCCACCGTCAAACATGGAGGTGGAAACATGCTTTGGGGGTGTTTTTCTGCTAAGGGGACAGGACAACTTCACCGCATCAAAGGGACGATGAAAGGGGCCATGTACCGTCAAATCTTGGGTGAGAACCTCCTTCCCTCAGCCAGGGCATTGAAAATGGGTCGTGGATGGGTATTCCAGCATGACAATGACTCAAAACACACGGCCAAGGCAACAAAGGAGTGGCTCAAGAAGAAGCACATTAAGATCCTGGAGTGGCCTAGCCAGTCTCCAGACCTTAATCCCATAGAAAATCTGTGGAGGGAGCTGAAGGTTCGAGTTGCTAAACGTCAGCCTCGAAACCTTAATGACTTGGAGAAGATCTGCAAAGAGGAGTGGGACAAAATCCCTCCTGAGATGTGTGCAAACCTGGTGGCCAACTACAAGAAACTTCTGACCTCTGTGATTGCCAACAAGGGTTTTGCCACCAAGTACTAAGTCATGTTTTGCAGAGGAGTCAAATACTTATTTCCCTCATTAAAATGCAAATCAATTAAAAAAAATTTGACATGCGTTTTTCTGGATTTCTTTGTTGTTATTCTGTCTCTCACTGTTCAAATAAACCTACCATTAAAATTATAGACTGATCATTTCTTTGTCAGTGGGAAAACGTACAAAATCAGCAGGGGATCAAATACTTTTTTCCCTCACTGTAGTCATTGTCTAATTTCAAATCCGAAGTGCTGGAGTACAGAGGCAAAACAGATTTTCAGTTATGATGAACTTCACAGGGTGGTGAAAGTGCACGGTGATGAGATTGATGCGTCTTTCCAATTAAATATTGAGGGTCTTATTCTGGTGACATGATGATTGATCCCTGGCTGCCGTTTGACAAATACAAATAATCTTGCTCTAATCCATAATAATCTCATCATGTAGGCTAGCCTACCCACAATGTATCTGCCAGCTGTTGGCTAGAGCACACATGCCAAGACACAAGTTGGCACATTAACAATTTAAGGCAATAGTTTGTGACAAAACTATCGGTAGAGTTGAAAATGCAATGGCAACACATGGAACTTTTAATGTGTATTCGGTACATGTAAATTTAAGGGGAAAAGTACCTTTTAAATCATCACGCACAGCTTTTTAACCACAAAATCAGTTTGGTGGAAACACACCACTGGTGGGAAAATGTGCATATTTGCTCCCCAATTTCGGGATTACGATCTTGTCTCATCGCTGCAACTCCCCAATGGGCTCGGGAGAGAAGAAGGTTGAGTCATGCGTCCTCCGAAACATGAGCTGCCAAACCGCGCTTCTTAACACCCGCCCGGTTAACCCAGAAGCCAGCCGCACCAATGTGTCGGAGGAAACACCGTTCAACTGACGACCGAAGTTAGCCTGGGTGCATATTTTTTTGGCTGATTTTAGAATACTTGCATGAAAATCTTTCATCAATTGGATGGAAACCTAGCTACTGACACAGTGATTTCCACAGCTCCCTTCCTGTTCACTCACCAGCTTGATGATCTTGATGAGGACCCAGTTGTTGGTGGAGGAGGTCATGAGTTTGAAGAAAAGCGGCGCCAGAGACAGGTAGTTCTTAGGGTTTCTCCTGGCCAGCTCACAGATGACATTAACAGCCGCTGACTGGACCCCTGCAGGAAAGAGGCATCACACAGGAGGAGAAGAGTGTTCAGATGAGATCAACAACATCCATGCTGAAAGAATCATTAGGACACAAATTAGGTAAAATACATCCAAATTACTTAAAATAGCTTCCATCCAGTTAAGACACTCATTTCCTTAGTTACTGCATACTTTATGATTCTAGGTGATAAAATGTATCTGACCCCAACCAACAGAGTAGGCAGATAGGTACTAGTCTCTCTCACCAGGGTCTGGGTCTTCCAGTTTCTCCTTCAGCCTGGGGAAAGCTGGGCGCAGAGACTCAGGGTACTTCAGGAACACCTTGTACATGATCAGGACTGCCTTCTTCCTGATGTACGGCTTTGTGTGGGACATCTGCAGCAGAGACAGAGAGAGGTCTGAGAAGCATGAAACACAGACAAAAACGTGCAGCAAGAACTCTTGAGATGGAGAATGTAACTCACCAGAGTCATGATGTCATTGGCCAGGTCCCGAGCCAGGTCAGGGGTCACGAAGCAGGAGAGGCCAGTGAGAGCCACGCCTGTGTCGTACTGGTTAGGACTGCTCAGATCCTGAAAGAAGAAAATTGATGTAAAAGAGAGAAAGAAAGAGGTAGAGAAAAAGAGAAGGACAGGGGAGGGGAGGACATACACTACATGACCAAAAGTATGTAACATCTCATTCCAAAATCATGGACATTAATATGGAGTTGGTCCCCCCTTTGCTGCTATAACAGCCTCCACTCTAGATGTTGTAACATTGCTGCGGGACTTGCTTCCATTCAGCCACAACAGCATTTGTGAGGTCAGGCACTAATGTTGGCTGATTAGGCCTGGCTCGCAGTCGGCGTTCCAATTCATCCCAAAGGTGTTCGATGGGGTTGAAGTCAGGGCTCTGTGCAGGCCAGTCAAGTTCTTCCACACCGATCTCGACAAACCATTTCTGTATGGACCTTGCCTTGTGCATTGTCATGCTGAATCAGGAAAGGGCCTTCCCCAAACTGTTGCCACAAAGTTAGAAGCACAGAATTGTCTAGAATGTCATTGTATGCTGTAGCGTTAAGATTTCCCTTCACTGGAACTAAGGAGCCCGAACCATGAAAAACAGCCCCAGACCATTATTCCTCCTCCACCAAACTTTACAGTTGGCACTATGCATTCGGGCAGATAGCGTTCTCCTGGCATCAGCCAAACCCAGATTCATCCGTCGGACTGCCAGATGGTGAAGCGTGATTCGTCACGCCAGAGAAAGCGTTTCCACTGCTCCAGAGTCCAATGGCGGCGAGCTTTACACCACTCCAGCAGACTCTTGGCATTGCGCATGGTGATCTTAGGCTTGTGTGCGGCTGCTCGCCCATGGAAACCCATTACATGAAGCCCCGACGAACAGTTATTGTGCTGATGTTGCTTTCAGAGGCAGTTTGGAACTCGGTAGTGAGTGTTGCAACCGAGGACAGATGATTTTTACGCGCTTCAGCACTCGGCGGTCCCGTTCTGTGAGCTTGTGTGGCCTAACACTTCGTGGTTGAGCCGTTGTTGCTCCTAGATGTTTCCACTTCACAATAACAGCACTTACAGTTGACCGCCGCAGCTCTAGCAGGGCAGAAATTTGATGAACTGACTTGTTGGAAAGGTGGCATCCTATGACGGTGCCACGTTGAAAGTCACTGAGCTCTTCAGTATGGGCCATTCTACTGCCAATGTTTGTCTATGGAGATTGCATGGCTGTGTGCTCGATATTATACAACTGTCAGCAACGGGTGTGGCTGAAGTAGCCTAATCCACTCATTTGAAGGGGTGTCCACATACTTTTGTATATATAGTGTAGCAGGTATCAGAGCTGGTCTTTAATACATCAGACAGGCAGGCCAAAAGTGTAAGACAAAAAAGCATTACTGACCTTTCGGATCTGATTGGTTGTCAGCATGATTACATCAGTGCTCTCATGAAAGCACTGGGAGGCGGCCAGGTAACCAATTCTCTGAAGAAGAAAGGAAGCACCACATTTAACCTCAAACGCTCTCGAATATCCAAATATGTTTCAAATATACCACATACACATTATCTTGCAGTTTTATTTCCACTTCTCTCACCTTGTATGTGAATTTGGAGGAGCTCATGACTTCCACGATGTTGAATGCAGCCCAGCTGACGTCATAGCCCAGCATCTGCAACTGTTAACGCACAAGGGGAGAGAGAGGGAGTCAGGGCATGGACATCCACTACATTGTCCCTGTGGACAGTGAGAGCTCACAGGCTAAATGCATTCTCAAATAGCTTTTACTGAATATGGGCAGTATTCAAAGTAGCTGCTATCTAGCGAAAAATAACACATAGCAGGCCTAGGATATAGCTGAAGTGTTTTTGGTTGTGCATCACTGTTTGTGTATCTCTGTGTTATTGTTCACAGTGAGGGCAGTTTCAGTGAGGGGTGCTGATCTGTGGTCTTACGTAGGTGAGCTTGCACACAGCATTGGCCTTGACAGCAATGTTGTCCTGCTTGAGCTCCTGCTTGATCTCATCGATGCAGGTAGAGATGTACTTAGCCTGAGCGGAGACACAGAAACCAGACAGGACATCAGACGGAGAGCAATGACAACCTCCACATGATACTCACGGATTACTTTTCACCACTGGTTGACCTCAGTGAACCAGCTAAAATACAGGCTAAGGGGAGGAGTCTTACAGCATATGAAATGTCATTAATTTTACACAGCTATAAAATAAAAGGTAATCAAACCAAGCTTCTGATCAGATATGTTTTAGGCTTGTGAGGGTTTTCAGTCTATGAATGAATGGGTTTTATTCTGGACTTGGAGTAGTAAGTAGTAGCCTTTTAATCTAAGGTTTTACACTACATTTATCTGGTTACACTTTCTGAGTAAAACATTGGTGAGACAGAACCTTGGAACACACCAGCACACACAGCTCTATAATGCAAATGTGCTGGTCATATGTCTGCAATCATGAGACGGTGACAGTGGGAGATGGAGGGGGGATTGGATTTTGCACTTAGACTTGCAATCAGGCTGCAGGGCAGAGATGAAGACCAACAATTTACATTGGTCACGTACACAGTTTAGCAGATGTTATAGCGGGTGTAGCGAAATGCTTATGTTACTAGCTCCTAACAATGCAGTAAAATGTCAAACAGGTAGACAAATAATCAATTTAAAAACCAAAAAACAGAAAGAACAAGAAACCAAGGAATGTCGGAACAAATCCAATTAACAACCCAAATAGTAATACAAATGCAATCTATACGCATCTACACTGGATGAATTTACACAAGATACAGTGCATTCGGAGAGTATTCAGACCCCTTGACTTTTTCCACATTTTGTTACGTTAAAAGTATTCAGACCCTTTACTCAGTACTTTGTTGAAGCACTTTTGGCAGCGATTACAGCCTCAAGTCTTCTTGGGTATGACGCTACAAGCTTGGCACACATGTATTTGGGGAGTTTCTCCCATTCTTCTCTACAGATCCTCTCAAGCTCTGTCAGGTTGGATGGGGAGCGTCGCTGCACAGCTATTTTCAGGTCTCTCCAGAGATGTTCGATCTCGTTCAAGTCCGGGCTCTGGCTGGGCCACTCAAGATTTTGTGCGACTTCATTCATAGGAAAATACTTTTTTCCGGGGCAAACTTCAGAACAATCTTTCAAAAGATATTAGAGCAATGCATGATGGGCAATGGTGTTCTACACTGCCTTTCTTTGTGTCCCACATTTATTTATATAAAGAAATGAACGTGTTAACAACCCAATATTGTTAACCAACCAGGTTGTCACCGAAATAATAGTAGCCTTACGTTGTTTTTTAAATGAATACCAATACTGTTTTCTATGCTTGTTTTCACTTAATACTTTGGGATACTGGTGCACTTGTAGTCAGAAAGGCAATTTTTTCGTGTAGGCCTACTACACGATTTTCTTCATAACTCATTTCATATTTCGTGGAGCCTAGATTACACTATTTTCTTCATAATGCATTTAATACAAGGCTCCACTTTTCGTGTACATTACACCATTTCTTTCATAATGCCTTTTATACAAGGCTATGTCGAATTTTATGAGGGTTGCCAAATTGGATATTTTTTATATATTTTTTGTGGTATCGATGAAGGTATTTGATTGGGGAATGGGGATACATTTTTATGATGGGAAATTCTAATATATACACACACACACACACACAGTTTGTAATCATGTTATAGCCAACGTCACTTTTGTATGATTTTTATCTAGTTGTCATGTATTCATTATCTTTAACTGGTTAAATGTTTGTAGTTTGCATGTTTCAGTAATGATTAACATGGTTAAATAGTCGTAAATCTCTGCTCGATTTAGCTTTTGGTATATTTGGTATTTTTATACATATTTTGTATTTTCACTGAATAAATAAATAATTTATCAACACACTACTGTAATTAAATACAACGGAAAATGCTCTCCGTAAATAAATGGTGAAAAATGCTCAGTCTGAAGCCATTCAGCTTTGGGTTTCACAGCCCTATAATAATGATACAAGTTATATCACCTTAAAAAAGGGTTTATTTACATCCTCTGGGGTATAACATGTTGGGCAAAGTGGTACAGGAGAGTCTGACATATAACCCCTAACTTGAGTTCAGTCTTCGCCAATGAGAACCAAGAGGGGACTAGCTTCGTCCTTCATGACTGGGAAAGGCCTTGATTCTAGGCCGTAGAAAATCCTACATCCATCTCATTAAATCAGAACAAAAAAATTATAGTTGTGTTTTGTTACATAACACACACACCGTCTACCCATATGATGTGGATCATAGTCAGGTTATTTGATATATCGTGCATTTGGAAAGTATTCAGACCCCTTGACTTTTTCCACTTTTGTTACGTTACAGCCTTATTCTAAAATTGATTAAATAAAAACTGTTCCTCATCAATACCCCATAATGACAAAGCGAAAACAGGTTTTAATACAATTTTGCAAATGTATTACAAATGCAAAACAGTATTCAGACCCTTTGCTATGAGACTCAAAATTGAGCTCAGGTGCATCCTGTTTCCATTGACCATCCTTGAGATGTTTCTACAACTTGATTGGAGTCCACCTGTGGTAAATTCAATTGATTGGACATTATTTGGAAAGGCACACACCTGTCTATAGAAGGTCCCACAGTTGACAGTGCATGTCAAAGCAAAAACCAAGCCATGAGGTCGAAGGAATTGTCTGTAGAGCTCCGAGACAGGATTGTGTCGACGCACAGATCTGGGGAAGGGTACCAAAAAATGTCTGCAGCCTTGAAGGTCCCCAAGAACACAGTGGCCTCCATCATTCTTAAATGGAAGAAGTTTGGAACCACCAAGACTCTTTCTAGAGCTGGCCGCCTGGCCAAACTGAGCAATCGGGGGAGAAGAGCCTTGGTCAAGGAGGTGACCAAGAACCTGATGGTCACTGACAGAGCTCAAGAGTTCCTCTGTGGAGATGGGAGAACCTTCCAGAAGGACAACCATCTCTGCAGCAATCCACCAATCAGGCCTTTATGGTAGAGTGGCCAGACGGAAGCCACTCCTCAGTAAAAGGCACGACAGCTCGCTTGGAGTTTGCCAAAAGGCACCTAAAGGTCTCTCAGACCATGAGCAACAAGATTCTCTGGTATGATAAAACCAAAACTCTTTGGCCTGAATGCTAAGCTTCACGTCTGGAGGATACCTGGCACCATCCCTACGGCGAAGCATGGTGGTGGCAGCATCATGCTGTGGGGATGTTTTTCAGCGGCAGGGACTGGGACACTAGTCAGGAACGAGGGAAAGATGAACGGAGAAAAGTACAGAGAGATCCTTGATGAAAACCTGCTCCAGAGCGCTCAGGACCTCAGACTGGGGCGAAGGTTCACCTTCCAACAGGACAACAACCCTAAGCACACAGCCAAGACAATGCAGGAGTGGCTTCGGGACAAGTCTCTGAATGTCCTTGAGTGGCCCAGCCAGAGCCCGGACTTGAACCCGATCTAACATCTCTGGAGATACCTGAAAATAGCGGTGCAGCGACGCTCCCCAACCAACCTGACAGAGCTCGAGAGGATCTGCAGAGAAGAATGGGAGAAACTCCCCAAAAACAGGTGTGCCAAGCTGTAATCGCTGCCAAAGGTGCTTCAACAAAGTACTGAGTAAAGGGTCAGAATACTTATGTAAATGTGATCTTTTTTTATTTGTAATAAATTAGCACAAGTCTAAAAACCTGTTTTTGCTTTGTCATTATGGGGTATTGTGCGTAGATTGATGAGGGATAAAAAAAAGTGTTATCCATTTTAGAATAAGTCTAACGTAACAAAATGTGGATAAATGGAAGGGGTCTGAATACTTTCCGAATGCACTGTATAAGCTTCAGTAACAAAATAACACCATGGTTGTAATAACACTTTAAAAGGGTAGTTTGTAAATGTGTATAATGTGTTTGTTTTGGGTCCACACTGGTAAATTTACTTATTTAAATTAGACAGTCAGAGGAGTTTCTTCTGAATAACTCGTCAGGGCATAGCACTTTCCATTCAGCTTCAGGCAACTTTGATGTAAGGCTTGATCACACCTGTAGTGACTACTTGTATCCGTCACACCCATTGTATCTTATACATTGTTCACTAGACATATCAATGTAATTAATTCCCCAATCAAATACCTTCATCGATACCACAAAAAAAGACAAATACAGCTTTTTACTGCAATCTGGCAACCCTCATAAAATCTGACCAGTATCCCAAGAAAACAGCATTGGCATTAATAAAAAAAAATGTTTTAATGTAAGGCTACTATTATATTATAACTATTTCGGTGACAACCTGGTTGATTAACAATATTTGGTTGTTAACACATTTTATATTTTATATAAATACTTGTGGGACACAAAAGGCAGTGTAGAACACCATTGCCCAAAATGCATTGCTCCAATAACTTTCAAAAGACTGTTCCGAAGTTTGCCCCCCACAAATGTATTTTCCTACGAATTAAGTCGTACAAAAACACACAAAATCTGGTGAAATACTTTTTGTACGTATTTGCACAAAATGAGTGCGAGATTGTGTTGGCTATGAAACAAAACTGCAGAAATACTTTGAAAACAGCTACTGCAGCATTTGACTATAAATGTGATCATACTTGACTATTTTTAGTCACAAATGCCAGTGAAATGTTCGCACTGTGGAGCCCTGACCACCCGCCAACGTGGCTGGTGAAATAGACATCTTACCTGCCAATGCCAAAATCTACCCGCATTTGGCAGGTGGCGGGTGTACATTTTAGGCCCTGATTTAGATCCAATTGAAATATTTGTAGTAGCTGTTTTAGAGCCAAGGCCTACATTTTTCCAGCACATCAGGTTCTCCAGGAGGTACGGGGAGACAGTGGAGAGACCTTCTCAGACACTATTTTACCTCAGGGGACATGAATAGGCCAATAAAATACCTGCCATACTTGTTAGTGTTACATATTATGGTCTTCTACAATCTGGGATTTAATGTCAATTGCATTCAGTGTGCCTTCACCCTTCCTAGATCTGCTTGCCTTCTAAATGAGGGAGTGACAGAATAGATGTATCTGTGTAATATCCCTCAGCATATATGCGTAAAGTAAATAGATAGTGTCCATGAGAAACCTTGGGCAGGCCAGGAGAGAACACACAGAATTAATATTTCAGTGAGTTGTCCACTGTTGGCTGGGTAACCAACACCTTAAGCAGGGTTGGGTTACACAAAGGGGAATGCATTAGGACCCGAATCAAAAGATCATGGTTTAGTACAGTGGTCAAATACAGTCAAAGCTATTATGCTTTGTATGTCTGGTTAAGCAATGGACAAATTCATGACAAAACATTAACTTTCTTTTGCCAGATAACTGCCAGGGCAAATTAGCGCTCAGTGGCCACCACAACTCTGCTGAAACCAGCAGCAGTGATCAATCAAGGTGTGTATAAAAAGAACCCAAGATAGACAACTTGAAATGTTGGAGCAGGTAAACTCTAGATTTCACACCTAGATCTACATCCCATTCCAAATTCAACATTTCTTAGTAGGCCTGGTCATGCTCGCTCTGCTGCTTAAGAGCATTCAGCAATAAAATACTCCCCATGTCGCAGCATAATTTTATTGAATGGTGGCAATATATCCAGCCTAACAGCATAATTTCTTAAACCTAAAGTGGTTTAAAACTAAGGAATTTATTCTGTAGCAACTTCCTCCTCCAAAGCTCATCCTAACAACAGTGCCCTCTATTGGACTACATGGTAAAACACTGTCGACCCCCTCTGTGATGATGTTGATTCTGTGATGATCTAGCCTAATTAGCCGAACACACAGTCACTGACATCATTCTGAAAACACTGGTGCAACACCCATGAAGACAGGAGCACTTCGACCTACCATAAAAGCTGTCAGTATGTCACAGTGAACTATAATCAACCGTTATTGAGGCTGTGCCCCGTTATCGAAATATTTGTGTAAACCTTTTCTTGTATGAATATTTATGTTTTCCACACCACATTGAATGTCCTCTGACGTTGCTGTTCTTGTAAACTCAGTATACATAACTAGTATAGTCTACAACCATATTACTAAAGCATGATTATGACATTACTGTGTGTGAACTTATATAAGCCCATCATCTGGTGATCTGCTGTCTGACATCTTGAATATCAGTTCACTTTATCTGCATACTTGTACAAACAAAATTAATTAAAGGTGGAGAAAGTGTGGTTGCTTAAGGGTAAATTAAATGGGACTGTTTTTCAGTCTAGGCTGTCTGAGAAGGCGTGTGGCAGAAGCATCCTTTCTTCCACCTATGCAACGTTGTCACTGATAGACGCTGTAGAGGCATACAAAATAAAAATCACCTTCTAGATCTTGTTTGCATGTCTGTGTTTTTGTATTAATGCAATAGATGGACATTATACGCAAAAATAACTATTTTTTACTACTGTCCGTTAGCAAATAAATGAAGAGAAAATAGTGCTGAACAAGACAGATGCGTTATCCATTCCGCGCATCATCCTCAATCATCACCAGCTGAGGTGTATAAGCTTGGCTAGTTAGTTTCCTAGATGTCACTTGCTAGCTAGTTAACTAAAGTTTGAATGGTTACACGGCATCTTATCGGTCAAGGTGATCACCTGAAACCAGCTGCCACGAGGCGTAACAAGGTAGCGTTTCACGATCAGTAAAAAGTAGCTCGTGCAAGACCGGCAACGAAACATACCGTTATCAAGCTAGTTAGCCATATGACGATTATTATTGAGTAATGACAGTTATCGAGTTGACTAATTAGACAGCTAGTTAGTATTAGTGCATTTACTCAGTCCTGGTTAACTTGGTATATAACGTTACATATTTTCATTGCAGTTTATCTGCATATGCGGATAGCAGCTAGCTAGCTAACATTAGAAATAGCATATTACCGCCAGCCAGAAAGCTAACGTTGCGTTGGCAATGCCATCATATAGTACATTAGGTTATCTGGCTAGCTAGCTATTTTGCAATGAGATGTGTTACACGAATGTTGACTTACTGACAGTGGAAATCAGACATGAACGAAAACTCAGCTAATCGTTTTACCTCATCTTCCTTGTGATTCCTAATGCCACGTACTAAATCTTGAAGGTTTTTATCGAACATCCGATCGATGCTCCCTTTAACAATCTTCAACGCCATGGCTGTTGGCTAACTTTTGTCGCTTCTGTCCTCGGGGACAAAGCGCCTGGTAGACGTATTTTGGGTGCAAACCGGCCCGCTGGACAGTCTCTCATCCACCCGGGTACCGTCTTTACGCGATTCGTAAATGTTTACTAATCCCGGCCAGAGAAGGCGAGGCCAGATGGGGCGTCCTGTACTGTGCTGACAAAATGGCGTCTAAAGTCAGCTGACTGGTTGTGTTCATGTGGAATTCTTGTTATGGAAATCAATTAAATTAAAGATATACGCCTAGTACGCAGTTCGCAATGTGAATGGATGAGAATCATTTTCCAGTCATATTCTGTATGCAAAATGCAATTATTCACCAAGTCTGCCAGTGTGTCAATGTCACATTTTTGCACAGTAGGTTGCCTTTGACCTACCTGACTTTTGCCACAGCCAACTCAATGAACATTATGCATGACAGCATAAACATTTGCATGTAAAAAATATGACAATTAATTTGCTATATAACTTGCATAAATATATATTAGGTCATTTTTAAAAATAATTTCACACCGCTGACCAGTCTAAAGTTGCACTTGAGTGCATAGGCCCATCTCTCTTATTCACTGCAATTCCTCATCCCAAGGTTGGTTACAAGGGTTGTAATGTGTCATTATTACACCAGTCACACCCCAACCCAACTGAATTTTCATTATGGGAATTCCATTAAGTACCATGTGATGACATGGTGCCTTCAATAACAGAAGTGTTCAGATTAGGACCACCATGCTGAGATTTTTATTCAACTCAACTAAATGATACAAATGATTTGACCAATTTACATAGCACTAAAAACAGTTCCAAAGTATGTATGACAAGCAAATGCCAAATGGGCTCCAGCTACATGGGCTATGGACAACTTGTGATTAAGATCATATTGTTCACTCTGTACACAATGTATATTATCCCATTCAATAGGCAAGTTATTGAAAGCAGATGGGGAAGACAAGATGACAGGGCGAATAATTCCACAAGTCAAAAGTTGTTGCAATATCAGAAAACATACTTGTTATAAAAAAAGTAGGTGGACCTTAGTTGGAAAACATGTGATGTGATTTTGTTCAATGGCTTAAGATTTTCATGGTGAGACTGGATTAATAAGAAATGACCAGATAAAAAAACGAAAAACAAAACACATAACCTAGAAATGGCTAATGTGTGTTGGACAAGTATGGGTGTCTTGACTGTTGGTTTTCTATAAACTCCAATATCTTTCTCAAAGCAAAGCCAACAGATGCCTTGAATCACGTGACGTACAATTACTGCAGAACATTCATCACAAGGCTCCTCTTTCCCCCCTAGATTTCCTGTTAGAAGTGCTAAAAATGGAATCTCTCAATATACATACAATATGAAAGACCAAAGTTAGAGTTCATGTGGGAGAATAATAAAGCAAAGTAGCTTTGTGGGGGATTGGGGACGGGCCAAGGTGTCCTATAAAAGGAAAAATACAACGGCGAACAACAAAGGGGTCAGCACAGCGCCATGTATCTGGGACGAGACTAGTGAGCTTTCCTTTTAGCTGTGGTAAACAATTGTGCTCCATTTTCTTCCAAATTCTTCAGCTCTCTATCGCTGGCGGTTCTGTCTCTGCAGAGAGAGCGTGGTGCGTTTCATCATCAGTGTGCGTCTGCTGCTCAGCAGGACTATCAGGACTGGGCCTACCATGGAGAAGAGACAAGACTTCAGAACTAGAGCCACATACCTTCGTGATGGTAGCATGGTACCAATTAGCAGAGCAATATATTACCATGGACACCTTAAACAAATATTAGCATAAATAAAGGAAGTACACAAAGATGTGACATAGGAGAATAGTATTTACCTGTTGGGGCTTGAAGCCATATGCTCATCATTCCCTTCCTGGACCGGTGACTTTGGGGTATCCTCTAATTCAGTACATTCCTTTTTCTGGACTTCTGATTCCCCATTCACAGGCATTACATCTGATAACAAGTAATGCAAAATCAATTGACTGGCTACAAATGATGGACCTTTCATTTCATTGTTAGCTACACACAGCAAAATAAAAGTATTTGAATTAATATCATTATTAAGAGTAATATCCTGATGAGGAAAAATAAGGGGAATGTGAGAACAGTAAATAAGTCCATCAGTTGTGATCGTAAAAGTATGGGCTGAGAGAATGACCTGCATTTTGTGTCTCCTTCCCATCCTCTTCCTGCTCCTTTCCCTCAGCTTTGGGTTTACTTGGCATTTCAGACTTGACCACAAACTGACCCTTTAACTTGTTGTAGACCTGGCTGGCCTTTTCCATAACGGCACTGCTTGCCTTGTATCGACGGATCTTCAGTAAGACAAACATCAATCAGAACACCATCAGCGAAGTTCACAGGGGCCAGAAAAACAAGAGAGATTACGAAATGTACACAGCGGCTCTATAAAGTTCACTTTCATTAAGGGGTTCAGAGAGAAAGCCACCTTTTTAAGCGTGGCGATAACATCAGAGTTCTTCTGCAGGATGTGGCTGGTGACCGGCACAGCCTCGAGCTCCGCCAGGGCCTGTAGACAGCGCTCTATGTCCTGCAGAGCAGACACAACATGATAGAATACAACAATGTGCAAGGAACCCTTAATTGGTAAACAAAAAAATTATATACCTCATGCCACTTGTCATGCTGCTTGTAAAATCCCAACTATGTGATAATAACTTTTCTGTTGACAATGAATGGAGCCCCTTATGTTTACTCACTGGGTTATCCACTTTCAGTGCAAACTTGATATCAGTGTGGAGCTTCTGCAGCTTTTCGTCTGGGGTTGGCTCTGTGTGCAGACACAAAAAGACAAGGAGTGAGGACAAGAAAAGTTGATATTATCTGGCTCTGGCACTGTATCGGACCAACCGTTTGTCACACAATATGAGACTATGCAAATGAGTTTCCCATATGCATGCTTTCCAAATGGACAAACAGTGGATTGGGAGTAACATTGAGCTCAGACCTTTTTTCTTCTCTACTTTCCTCTCCTGAGGTCTCTCTGGTTTGCGTTTGGGCTTGTCAGGCTTGGACCTGAGGGAGAGAGCTCAGTGATCTGTGTGCATTTATATTTAATGAAGATAACATCTAATGAGATCTGTGCTCTAATCTTTTGTCTGGTTCAGCCATGTGCATTTACCTCCCTCTGGGCCTCTCTTCTGACCGCTGGGCTCGCTTTTCCTTTTTGCCTTTACCATGATCCCTCTCTTTCTTTGTTCTCCCTTTCTTCTGGTTGTCTGAACGCATTGCAGATTTTTTCACCTGATTGGGGGAAATATGCAATGTTCAACAAATCTATTCTAGATGATACTACAACAAAAACAAACAAATGTCCCCTCTTTACACAGTCTTCAATGCTAAATACCTCAGGTCCAGAGTCAGAGTCAGAGGGGGCGGGGATGGGGGGCGGTGGGGGTTTCTTGGACTTCTTCAGTGGGTGATCATCTACGCCCTCATCTGAGCTGCTTTCACCACTGCTCTTTCCCTTCTCCTTGTCCTTCTTTCTCTGCTCATCTTCTTCCTTCTCCCTCTCCCGATACTTGAGGATCTCATCTGCCTGCTCCTTCTTCCGGCGTTCCTCCAGCTCTTTCCGACGCTCCTCATCTCTCTTTTTCCAGTCGCTGACGCGGTCCGGCTCACTGTCGCTACAGTACACAGTATAGGATCATTCATAATGTACTTATTTATTGATACAAGTCATTTATAATGTATTAACATAGAGCACAACCAATGTGGAACAGACTTGAGCCGTGCTGACCTGTCACTGTCAGAGGAAGACGCCGGTGCTCTGGCCTGGGCAGCTTTGGGTTTCCGTCCACCCCGAGGTTTTGGCAGAGGCTTCTCTGATTGGGACAAATGGCAGAGAACAGGGTTATGCAGTGACAAATACAGTTATCATACACTGTGTGTAATACCAGACATTATAGCCCTCACCTTTCTTGCGCGCTTGAGGGGCCTTCCGTGGAGGTGGCTGTGGCTCTGAGTCAGAGTCGGATTTGGAGCCAGACTGAGATTCTGATCCAGACAGAGCAGGCCGTGGCTTCTCATCCTCTGAATCACTGCCCCCTTTCTTCTTGTCCAACTGAGACCCAGAGTCAGAGTCAGACAACGCCTTCTACAGCAGCCCACAGAGAGAGAGAGAGAGAGAGAGAGAGAGAGAGAGAGAGAGAGAGAGAGAGAGAGAGAGAAAACCACAATGAGAGAGAGCCAGCAGTCACTGTGAAACCACAAACAGTGCTTTATCTACTCAGCTCCCAGGGCTGGTTGACACCTGAAGGGCATCCTTTCCTCACCTTCTTCCCTTTGCCACCTCCAGCCTTCTTCCCACTGCCACGGCCTGCTGCCGCCTTCTTCTCTGGGGTGAAGTCCTACAGGGGCAAACAAACAAGACATCAATTAATGTTCTCATGCTAGTGTACAACATGTGTGCACGTGTCAACTGACCTGGTCACTGTTCTTTCCAGAGTCCGAGTCAGAAGGGGAAGGGTCTGGCTCAGAGGGTGAGCCACTCTCCTCTCCAGCCCTGTCACTGGACGAACCCCGGGCCTTCTTCACAGGGGGGCGCTGAATGAGAGATAGAACAGAGAGATTTAATATTATAACAGAGGCACATCTAAGCAACAATAGTTTTGTTCGGTGGGCATTAAAATCCTGAAACACTAAAATTATAATTTCGCAATCACCTTGGCAGCAGGGGCCTTCCGCTTGACCCCTCCTCCACCACCACTGCCGCCACCTCCTCCTCCTCGATCCTCACTTCCTGAGTCAGAATCTACCTCACTTCCTGAATCTGCCTTACTGGGCACCACTGCTTCCTTGTCATCCTCTGCATCACTTCCTGCTGCATCGTCATTAGCTTCACTGCCAGACGAGCTGGCAGGCTAGGGTGTGAATGGAGAGATAAATCAAATCAATGTTTGTCACATGCACAGGATACAGCAGGTGTAAACAGGATGGTGAAAGGCTTAATTGCAAGCCCTCCTCATCAATGCAGAAATACTAAGTCATATAAAAGAAATGTGGTTCGGCAGGTAGCTTAGTGGGTAAGAGCGTTGTGCCAGTAACAGAAAGGTCGCTGGTTCTAATCCCCGAGCCGACTAGGTGAAAAATCTGTTGATGTGCCCTTAAGCAAGGCACTAACCCTAATTGCTCCTGTAAGTCGCTCTGGATAAGAGCGTCTGCTAAATGACTAAAATGTAAATGTAAATAAACCATTATCAATAAGATTGAAAGAAATACACTTGAATATACACAAGGTCGGTACCAGTACCGATATCAATGTCAGGGGTTACTGGTGACAGTTGAGGTAAATCTATATAATGAGGTAAAGAATAAAAATGGTATACATGTAAACGGGTTAAAGTGACTGAGCAGAAGGATATAATATAAAAGAATAGTAGCAGCGAGTATGGTGACTATGTGTGGTTGTGTGTAGTGTGCGAGTGCGAGTGCCAGTCAGGGATGCAAACTGGTGAGGGCCCAAAAAGGTCACAAATAGTGTTTGCACGGAAACGCACAAAAAAATCCATGTGAAGTGCAAGAACATTTGCTTATTTTCAGAGAATAACAATTACATAATAAACATTTGAAAATAGTGTCCTGGGGTAGAGTTGGGCTCTTTGGTCTGGGTTTAAGGTTTATCACGACATGTAATGATAATCTCAGTCTCCCCAATCTGGAATACATCAGTCTTCAATGCACCCGACCTGAATCTGACAAGTTGTTCTATAGAGGTGCATAAAGAAAAGTAAAACACAAATCCTGTCTCATCTCTAATACATTGCAAGGTGCTTTCAGTGTTAACAGTGTTAAAATACAATAACTCATGTACATAAACACTATTACACAGGGCTCTACGCTGACATTGTTTACAAGGAGTACATGAGCACAATGAAAGTATTTGAGGAAGAGTATTTTAATGATAAGAAATGACTAAAAGGTCATGAATAAAAAGGTTTTTGGAATGTTCTATGCTCAATCAGGCATAATGTACACTCAAATATGAGTCACTTAGGTGAGACAAAAAATTTCAGCTGCCCCTTTAAGGGTGGGAGGTTGTCGTGGTAACAGCAGAGAATCTCAGACATCTCGCAGTTGCATCAAATACAAACTAACATTGAAAAATAACCTAGCCTGTGAACAAAATGCTGTAAATAGGCAAGAAACAAGGTCAGTCACACTTTAGTAGACTTTCTGCTAAATCCGATCAACTTTATGCCTGTACGCTTCTAAAATGTTTATCTTTCAGCACTTCACTCAGTGAGCACAGCCCCCAGTTTGTGGCGTGGAGAGATGACAGTATGCCCACTCTAAAATGACATATCTGACATCACGCTCTGAACTCTTATTATTTTCGCAGGACACATAGGGATCCTGTGCTCAGTCAATGATTTGGATATGAGAAACAACCTTTAGATCTACATGATTCACGTGGATGGCCAATTTTGAGATCAAAACGGCGAATATCGCCGAAAAGCGATGAATTTGCTACCCTGGTCAGTGTATGTGTGGATAGAGTCTTAGGAGTGTGTATAGAGTCAGTGCAGGTATAGTCAGTGCAGATAGTCCATGGGTGATTAGTTGTTCATCAGTCTTATTGCTTGGAGGTAGAAGCTGTCTCAGAGCCTGTTGGTCTGAGCCCTAATGCTCTGTTACCGCTTAATGCCCCAACATAAGTGATTTTTGATACACACGTGATATCGAGTGCTGACCGAGAAGATAATACCACCAACACAGAGCCGCATAGTACTGTAACTTGGGCAATCTATCACATCTTAAACTGAGGGCTGAGGGCTGAGGCACTGATCTAAATGGATCCAAAGTGCACAGCAAAAGAGATACCAGGGATAACAGCACTCAGTTGTTGCTGGTCAGTATTAGAGAAACGGTATTGAGTTGGACTTCTGATGATAAGATGTACTTACTGCAGGAGCACTGTAGGAGGCGTGAGGGTTGTTCTGGATTTCCCACAAGCCCTCGTTGAAGCCCTTTCTTTTATTTGGTTTCCCAAAGCGCTCGCTGTGCTTCTCATAGGCAAAAAGGTCCTTTGGCGCAAGGAATGCTCTGAGGAAGAGAGAGCATGATTTGATAACACATTGCTATATATTGTGACCATATTTACGAGACTTAAATTCTAAAAGCCACTAAATTAAAAAGCCGATACTTGGCACAGACAAACTCCCTGCTTACCGGGTAGATGACACTGAGTTTCTGCATGATGTAAAAGGCATGAACTGGCAACGAACTACAGCACTGACAGAGTTATTTTGCCACCTAGTGGTGGTTTAAGAATAGTGTATCTGCCATCTTGCAAAACTACTGCTGTACGACCAAAACAAAATACTAAACTTTTCACACACACAAATAGACCTAGATAACTTAAGACATAAACCAGTAATGAAAAACGAATGAATGGGTTTCAAAAGTTTAAAATAAGTTAAAGAAAATATAGTGCATCAACAAACATGGAGGATACATCTCCACAGAAATATGAGTGGCGATACTTCAAATAAAAACATAAACAACACATAAGGTACAGTTGAAGTCAGAAGTTTACATACACTTAGGTTGGAGTCATTAAAACTCGTTTTTCAACCACTCCACAAATGTATTGCTAACAAACTATAGTTTTGGCAAGTCGGTTAGGACATCTACTTTGTGCATGACACAAGTAATTTTTCCAACAATTGTTTACAGACAGATTATTTCACTTTTAATTCACTGTATCACAATTCCAGTGGGTCAGAAGTTTACATACACTAAGTTGACTGTGCCTTTAAACAGCTTGGAAAATTCCAGAAAATGATGTCATGGCTTTAGAAGTTTCTGATAGGCTAATTGACATCATTTGAGTCAATTGGAGGTGTACCTGTGGATGTATTTCAAGGCCTACCTTCAAACTCAGTGCCTCTTTGCTTGACATCATGGGAAAATCAAAAGAAATCAGCCAAGACCTCAGAAACAAAATGGTAGACCTTCACAAGTCTGGTTCATCCTTGGGAGCAATTTCCAAACGCCTGAAGGTACCACGTTCATCTGTACAAACAATAGTACGCAAGTATAAACACCATGGGACCACGCAGCTGTCATACCGCTCAGGAAGGAGACGCGTTCTGTCTCCTAGAGATTAACGTACTTTGGTGCGAAAAGTGCAAATCAATCCCAGAACAACAGCAAAGGGCCTTGTGAAGATGGCTTGCAAGCCGAAGAACACCATCCCAACCGTGAAGCACGGGGTGGCAGCATCATGCTGTGGGGGTGCTTTGCTGCAGGAGGGACTGGTGCACTTCACAAAATAGATGGCATCATGAGGAAGGAAAATTATGTGGATATATTGAAGCAACATCTCAAGACATCAGTCAGGAAGTTAAAGCTTGGTCGCAAATGGGTCTTCCAAATGGACAATGATCCCAAACATACTTCCAAAGTTGTGGCAAAATGGCTTAAGGACAACAAAGTCAAGGTATTGGAGTGGCCATCACAAAGGCCTGACCTCATTCCTATAGAACATTTGTGGGCAGAACTGAAAAAGCGTGTGCGAGCAAGGAGGCCTCCAAACCTGACTCAATTACACCAGCTCTGTCAGGAGGAATGGGCCAAAATTCACCCAACTTATTGTGAGAAGCTTTTGGAAGGTTACCCAAAACGTTCGACCCAAGTTAAACAATTTAAAGGCAATGCTACCAAATACTAATTGAGTGTATGTAAACTTCTGACCCACTGGGAATGTGATTTAAGAAATAAAAGCTGAAATAAATAATTATCTACTATTATTCTGACATTTCACATTCTTAAAATAAAGTGGTGACCCTAACTGACCTAAGACAGGGAATTTTTACTAGGATTAAATGTCAGGAATTGTGAAAAACTGAGTTTACATACACCTTGTAAACTGAGTTTACATACACCTTTGGCTAAGGTGTATGTAAACTTCCGACCTCCACTGTAGCTGGGGACAACAAAAACAGAACCAGCTACAAAATAAATGCAAATCAACAAAATTAATTTTTGCCTCAGTCTCAATATAAAAAACAGACTGATCTAATAAAGGATGACGGTGAACATAGTATACCACAGTTTCAAGTCCATCCAGAGATTCCCCTCCTGCTATTCTATATCAAAGAGACACAGCACTTACGTTTCATGGGTCCCAAAGAAGAAGATAGGGATTTTATTGGGTGGGGGTTTCACTGCCCCATCTGCCACATCCTCAATCTAGAAGAATGAGAACCACACAACAAAAACACATGAGAGATCCAAATGCGGTACAGGAGAGAATATATTCACTGCTCTTTGTAGTCTGATCCTTAAGTCAAGTTGGGCAAATAAGGAAAGGAAGGTTGTAAATAAGTAGACAATAATATTGTGGCCTTGTCTGGACCCTTCACTCCAGACAGACACCTTGATTGAATCTGAAGAATTTTCAAATCACAGTCGAAAATCCTGGGAAGAAGTGTACACATCACATCAAAGTCATTTCCAGAAAACTAAATAGTTGTGTTTACTGTACCAAAAACACCTGATTAGTTAACTATAGCTAGGATCTTATTTTACAGGGCAGCAAGTCTGCAAATCAAACATATTTCTCCTTCAATCAACGCACACCAAAAAGTACAGTACAGCTAGCTACTTAGCACTGCCTGGTTGGACAAAATACATGTACACAACACAATCGCCATTCACCAAGTAGGCTGGTTAAACTTTTGCATAAAAGATCCAGCAACTAACATCTTGTAAACAGATTGGTAGGACAATAAAGCAGCTATATATTTCCAAGCACGAGGCAAGGCTAGCTGGCTATAATATTAGCTATGTCAGTCATTGCCAAGGATGCACAGCGAAACTCCAGCGTCCCCTCCGCCCACCCCATTCTCTCTCTGGCTGCTGCTAGTTTACCCTGGCTGGCCAGTGGGGGTACCCCTTCATTTTGGCGAAGACCAAGTCTCCGGGTTGGAAATTGTGCGGCATTGTTCTGCTCCTCTGTGCAGCTTTTTCTTTCTTCTTTAGCTAACACTGGAGGTCTTTGTGTGTCGCTTCTTGGCCGTTTTCAGGCCGACACAAAACCTGCAAAACGATAAAGTTAGCTAGATAGCAAGCTAGCTTCTTAATAGCGCGAGATGAGGCGGTTAGCTTCACAAGAATTGCTTCCGCTTACCGTGATCATCAGAGCGGAAATCCCGCCTACTGGCCAATGTAATTGGTTTAATTTCTTGTCAATCCATTCTTCAAACCAATCATATTCTACTATATGTACACTATAAATTCGATATAGTTATTCCTAATTTAACTGGCCACTAATGAGAAAATTCATTGAAACATCAAAACAAAAGGTTTGGAACAGAAAGCAAACCTTTTTTACTGTGTCTTTACAAACAGATTGAGAAAAAAATAAAAAAATAAACACAATCGTCTACAGTCATACAGTAAATATAGGGGACAATCGTCCACGGTCATACGGTAAAGATATGCCACCCCTAAACGCACAGAGCTGGATGATATGGCCAAAATCTATATTGTGATAAATTAACTGAATTAATGCGATAACGATAAGATTATAACAATGTGCACCACCGTTTTTAGTTATTTACTCTTCAAACTACTAGTTTGATTGTTGTAGCCATCAATTTTACCATTAACAATATTACAATAACCCATATTAGCAAATCCATTTAATTTCAAACTTCACATTTCTCTAGTATAGGCTAGTTATCGTAATGAACGATATAAGAAAAATGCTCACGATAAGTGGTCGGCCTCCATAATTTTCAGTTTATCGTTCCAGCTCTAACACACACGATTAATTGAATTTAAATTACATTTAGCAAACGTTACACTAGTATTGGAGACCATTTAATAATGTCTACCTCCATTTCATGTAGGTTTAAAATAAGCATCTAAACGTTTACAAAATACGTTTTACTTTGTGCTAAGCCAACTCTTAATACTAGTTTATTTATTTTAGGATACATCTACTTATTTTTTTGTCAATTATTAATTTAATTGGAAACACAGCAGCATGATTGTACATCCTCCAGACCACCAGAGGCTGATGTAGACAATTTACCATTATTAAATGACACACCCGTTTCCGGTCTACTTCCTCCCCTTGCATTTTGGTGTAAACAATTTACTAAGCTTTCTCAATCAGCGCACCTATTCACAGGTTATTGTACTGTGACAAACAGTAAACAATGAAGAAATTGTTCGAGGATATAAAGAAAGATTTAAAATTCAAGTCAGCTGGGCCAGGAAAGAAACTCACAGAAGACGGAAGGTAAACAAACTTTTTTTTAGTGAGCTAGCTGCTATGCTGTTGTCAGTTCTTAGTTGTTGAAAAGCTGGTAATATAATTGACACTGTTAGTTATATGGTATGTCTAATCCGTAGAGTTGCCTTCACCGGGCCATAGCCTCGCCCGTGACTTGGATGGGCTCCGTTATGTTTGCTTTTCTAATATTCAGGACAGGGTGAACCTAACTCTCAAACTCTAGTCGGCTATTCTGCCTTCTACCTAGTTTTCAGCATTAGCTTCGCCCACGACTGGTGAACTACAGTCCCGACACTGTGTTTCAACGTTTAGGTCAATAATCATCGCTTTCGAAACATATGGCCCTTATCTTTCATCAGCGAGAAAGAATCTTAATAAAATAAAAACTTACTGTAGGAGTTTTACAGAAATCAATACAGCTATGGGTGCCTCCATCCAACGAAACTACACCGAGTTACGCTTACACACAGGTGTCGGAGCACGCTAGATAGCTAATTAGCTATGGGTGCCTCTTGTCTTCTGTCGGTTTTCCGTTAACATGCGCTGTAACATGGAGATATGGCTGTGTGGGAACATTAACCCTATCAAATGTGTATCAATTAAACCCAGATATTCCCAAAGTCAGTGCACGTTTTGGTTTTTGCCCTAACACTACACAGCTGATTCAAATTATCAAAGCTTCATGATTAGTTGATTATTTGAATCAGTTCTGTAGTGTTAGGGCAAAAACCAAAACGTGCACCCCTTGGGGTCCCGATGAACGAGTTGGGGAAACCCTGATTTAACCTTTTTTTATTTCTCGTTGATATGAAATATAAGGTCTCTTATGTAACCAAAACCTTACCGCAAGCAACGCGTGTTAATGTTCAGAATGAGCGTCGGGGCTCTTAACAAAACACCCCCAATACAGAATACATCTTCTTCCAATTACTCTTATGTCTAATGTAATGGAACTGAGAGTCATGATCAAGGGCTAGGGTGCATCATCATAGCCTGTTGTATTAAATACAAACCCCTCGTGATTGTAGATAGCTATATAACTTTATACATCACATCTTGCAGTCAAATGTTGAATGTGTCCCCTGCAGCTCCAAGCCCCACGTGGTGCAGAGCAGTGGCCCTGCCAAGCCCTGTCATGCTGCTCCAACTGAAGGAGCTCAGAAGGCAGGGGCTGCAGCCTTGGCCAGGATCGAGGGGCAGCCACGCCCACGGGTACAAACCTCACAGGATGTCATCCGACTCCAGGGTGAACTAGATTCCTATGCATCCAAGAACTGCTGCTTAAAAAACTGATGATGTTGTCAAGACTGTGCAGGTGTTTCATAGCAGTAGTCAGAAATAAATAATTGGGTTGTGGGTAATGGTCTTTAATTATTTTTCACAGTGAAAAGAGAGCTTGAGGAAGAAGCTGTAGCAGCGGCTGAGAAGGAAAACACAACAGCTGTTGAGGCAAGGAATACATTAAATCAATGAGCTTTCCCTTACTGTTGCTCACATATAAATTATTTGCGCTACTACTGCCATTGAGTTGTCTGTCATTTATCGCTAGTATGTGTCATCTTTTACAGGGCTCCAATGTTAAGGATCTGGCATTTCTCTCAGTAACAGGTGTGTATTTCACCTGCCCGCTTACTGGAGCCACCTTAACTAAGAGCGAGAGAGATGTGCACATTAAAGAGGCCATTTTCATGGTAGGTCCGGAAGTGATTATCCTTTTTAAAGTCGTATGATATCATGATTGCATGATTATCATGATCTGATTTTGACTGACATGAAGTATTGATGTAAAAAGTCTTAGCACCAATTTGCCACAAGCCATCCTTTTTGATTAGTATGGTCCTGACTACACATGATAAACCTTGTCTTGTCCAACAGCGGTTTGAAGAGGACGTAGTGGAGGCTTCCGTTATGATGGTTCATACCTTCAACAAGGACAGGGAGAAAGTCAAGGCTGCAGTGGACATCATAAGCAAGTGAGAAACATGGAGGGGGATGGAACTGTCCTATAATGTGTGATATACTCAGTGGCCAGTTTATTAGGACACCCATCTAGTACTGGGTCGGACCCCCCTTTGCTTCCAGAACAGCCTGAATTTTTCGGGGCATGGAAACGTTGCTCAATTGGTAGTAAGGGACCTAACGTGTGCCAGGAAAACATTCCCCACACCATTACACCATCACAAGCCTATACCGTTGATATCAGGCAGGATGGGGCCACGGACTCATGCTACTTATGCCAAATCCTGACTCTACAATCAGCATGACGCAACAGGAACCGGGATCCGTCGGACCAGGCAACGTTTTTACACTCCTCAATTGTCCAGTGTTGGTGATCGCGTACCCACTGGAGCCACTTCTTGTTTTTAGCTGATATGAGTAGAACCCGGTGTGGTTGTCTGCTGCAATAGCCCATCCGTGACAACGACCGACAAGTTGTGCATTCCTAGATGCCGTTCTGCCCACCACTGTTGTACTGCACCTTTATTTGCCTGTTTGTGGCCCGCCTGTTAGCTTGCACGATTCTTTCCATGCTCCTTTGACCTCTCATCAACGAGCTGTTTTCCGCCCACAGGATTGCTGCTGAGTGGATGTTTATTTTTTTTCCGCACCATTCTCTGTAAACCCTAGACACTGTCGTCCGTGAAAAGCCCAGGAGGCCGGATGTTTTTGAGATACTGGAACCGGCGCGCCTGGCAACGACATTCATACCACGCTCAAAGTCACTTTATATAGCAAGCCACGGCCACGTGACTTACTGTCTGTAGGAGCGAACCATTTTCGTGAACGGTGTGGTGTACTGAATAAACTGGCCACTGAGTGTACATTGTCATGTTGACAAGAATTCACGCAATGAGTGTCCTGACACCCCATAATTTACCCCATCAGGTACATTGAAAACATATGTAAGAACCCCACAGAGGAGAAGTACAGGAAGATCAAACTCAGCAACAAGGTGTTCCAGGTAAATTTGAGCAGTGGTGTAAAAATACTTTAAAGTCAACTTAAGTTTTTTTGGGGGGGTATCTGTACTTTACTATTTATATTTGTTTGCAACTTTTACTTTACTACATTCCTAAAGAAAATATTGTACTTTTTACTCCATACATTTTCCCTGACAACCAAAAGTACCTGTTACATTTTGAATGCTTAGCAGGACAGGAAAATTGTCAAATTCACGCACTTATCAAGAGAACACGTGGTCATCCCTACTGCCTCTGGTCTGGTGGACTCACTAAACACAAATGTATCTTTTGTAAATAATGTCCAAGTGTTGGATTGTGTTCCTGGCTATCCGTACATTTTAAAAACAAGAAAATGGTGCTGTCTGCTTTGCTTAAAATAAGGAATTTTAAATGATTTATACTTTTACTTTTGATACTTAAGTATTATTTAGCAATTACATTTACTTTTGATACTTAAGTATATTTAAAACCAAATACTTATAGACTTTTACTCAAGTAATATTTTACTGACTCACTTTTACTTGAGTAAGTTTCTATTAAGGTACATTATCTATACTTTTACTCAAGTATGAGAATTGGGTACTTTTTCCACCACTGTATTTGAGACATGTGGAGGGTAATGCGAGGCTCAATGTTTTCTGTGGCTTTGGTCCATTCACTGGTCTCTCTCTCCCTGTCTGATCTCTCTCTCCTTAGGAAAAGGTAAAGACTGTGGAGGGTAGTCGGGAGTTCTTGGAAGCTATGGGCTTTCAGAGCATCATGCTGGATGTGGAAGGACAAGGTAAACCCATCCAAATGCACAATCTGTGCTTCCTATTGTCCGTGTGGCCTAGTATGCTTCTGCAGAGGCATACTGTACTATCGGGGGTAGGTAGGGGTAAGTGGTTGGATTACATTTGGGGAAATTATTTGCTGATTATCTTCCTTTCCCAGAGGAGAGTGAGGAGTTCCTGGTGCTGATGGCGCATGACCCAGAATCCCTGGAGGTGATGAAGGAGAGTAGAGACCGGCTGCAGAGAGGAGAGCCAGTCAGAGCCCAGCTGGACCGCCAGCCCCAGGCCTTCAGACCCTCCCCCAACGCCATGCGCTTCGAACTACCCCCAGAGTTCTACAACCTCACTGCAGAAGAGCTCAAGAGGGAGCAGCAGCAAAAGTATGGACTCACTGATGGCACTGATACTTTAAAGCTGCAATATGTAACTTTTTGGGCAACCCGGCCAAATTCACATAGAAATGTGTGTTATAGATCTGTCATTCCCATTGAAAGCAAGTCTAAGAAGCGGTAGACCTGTTCTATGTGCGCTATTTCTTTGCTGTGGTCGGGGTCATGAAAGCTGTAGGGAGGCACGGTGATTTGAGCTATCCGATTGGCCAGCGCAGTAGGCCAACTCGATTTAGCCACAGATCTCCCGGTCCGCCGGGTAGGCAAGTTAGTATTTTCAGACAAATGGAATGGTTGAAAATGGGAACACTGCCTACCCGGTGCGCAGGGCTTCCGAATCAAGTGTACCTACCACCAACAGCACAACATGAAGAAAAAAAGAAGCGCAAGCCTTTATTGTTGGCTTTTCTACAGAAATGTTTGGGGATCGACTAGGAATGCCTTGAAGATCGTCGACTCGATCACGATCGACCAGTTGGTGACCACTGCTCTACACTACTTGTTTAGTCAGAAAACTGAAATTAGGCGAACTATAAGAATTTTAGCAACCAGGAAATGGTGAAGTGATTTCTGCATAGTGCATCTTTTAAGAGATTGCTTTATTATTGTATAAAATGATTACCGTGTTAGTAGGGTTCACTTCATTAGTGCACATGACGTGTATTATTGTTAGGGGGGTTGTTCCAGTTATGACTTTTGTGTTTATTAGGTAAAGTCTTGGTGGTTGTGTGTGGTATTCAGGAACGAGGTGGTGGATAAGAACGCCATGCTGCGTACCAAGGCCATGCGGGAGAGAGAGGAGCAGAGGGAGAGGAGGAAATACAATTACACCCTGCTGAGAGTACGACTGCCTGATGGAAACATACTGCAGGGTCTGTATCTGCCAACAAACACCTACTTTAATGTGATAAGCAGAAGTATAAACAATATATGAGCAAAGAAGCTTGTTGACACGGATATTAATGTGTATGTAAACTCAGCAAAAAAAGACACGACCCTGTCTTTCAAAGATAACTCGTAAAAATCCAAATAACTTCACATATCTTCATTGTAAAGGGTTTGAACACTGTTTCCCATGCTTGTTCAATGAACCATAAACAATTAATGAACATGCACCTGTGGAACGGTCGTTAAGACACTAACAGCTTACAGACGGTAGGCAATTAAGGTCACAGTTATGAAAACTTAGGACACTAAAGAGGCCTTTCTACTGACTCTGAAAACACCAAAAGAAAGATGCCCAGGATCCCTGCTCATCTGCGTGAACGTGCCTTAGGTATGCTGCAAGGAGGCATGAAGACTGCAGATGTGGCCAGGGCAATAAATTGCAATGTCTGTACTGTGAGACGCCTAAGACAGCGCTACAGGGAGACAGGACGGACAGCTGATTGTCCTCGTAGTGGCAGACCACGTGTAACAACACCTGCACAGGATCGGTACATCCGAACATCACACCTGCGGGACAGGTACAAGATGACAACAACAACTGCCCAAGTTACACCAGGAACGCACAATCCCTCGATCAGTGCTGAGAGAGGCTGGACTGAGGGCTTGTAGGCCTGTTGTAAGGCAGGTCCTCACCAGACATCACCGGCAACAACGTCGCCTATGGGCACAAACCCACCGTCGTTGGACCAGACAGGACTGGCAAAAAGTGCTCTTCACTGACGAGTCGCGGTTTTGTCTCACCAGGGGTAATGGTCGGATTCGCGTTTATCGTAGACGGAATGAGCATTACACCAAGGCCTGTACTCTGGAGCGGGATCGATTTGGAGGTGGAGGGTCCGTCATGGTCTGGGGCGGTGTGTCACAGCATCATCGGACTGAGCTTGTTGTCATTGCAGGCAATCTCAACGCTGTGCGTTACAGGGAAGACATCCTCCTCCCTCAAATCAAATCAAATTTTATTGGCCACATGCGCCGAATACAACAGGTGCAGACATTACAGTGAAATGCTTACTTACAGCCCTTAACCAACAGTGCATTTATTTTTAACAAAAAAGTAAAAATAAAACAACAACAAAAAAGTGTTGAGAAAAAAAGAGCAGAAGTAAAATAGAATAACAGTAGGGAGGCTATATATACAGGGGGGTACCGGTGCAGAGTCAATGTGCGGGGGCACCGGCTAGTTGAGGTAGTTGAAGTAATATGTACATGTGGGCAGAGTTAAAGTGACTATGCATAAATAATTAACAGAGTAGCAGCAGCGTAAAAGGATGGGGTGGGAGGGCAGTTCAAATAGTCCGGGTAGCCATGATTAGCTGTTCAGGAGTCTTATGGCTTGGGGGTAGAAGCTGTTGAGAAGTCTTTTGGACCTAGACTTGGCACTCCGGTACCGCTTGCCGTGCGGTAGCAGAGAGAACAGTCTATGACTAGGGTGGCTGGAGTCTTTGACAATTTTGAGGGCTTTCCTCTCTCATGTGGTACCCTTCCTGCAGGATCATCCTGACATGACCCTCCAGCATGACAATGCCACCAGCCATACTGCTCGTTCTGTGCGTGATTTCCTGCAAGACAGGAATGTCAGTGTTCTGCCATGGCCAGCGAAGAGCCCGGATCTCAATCCCATTGAGCACGTCTGGGACCTGTTGGATCGGAGGGTGAGGGCTAGGGTCATTCCCCCCAGAAATGTCTGGGAACTTGCAGGTGCCTTGGTGGAAGAGTGGGGCAACATCTCACAGCAAATCTGGTGCAGTCCACAAGGAGGTGATGCACTGCAGTACTTAATGCAGCTGGTGGCCACACCAGATACTGACTGTTACTTTTGATTTTGACCCCCCCTTTGTTTAGGGACACATTATTCAATTTCTGTTTGTCACATGTCTGTGGAACTTGTTCAGTTTATGTCTCAGTTGTTGAATCTGGTTATGTTCATACAAATATTTACACATGTTAAGTTTGCTTTAAATAAACGCAGTTGACAGTGAGAGGACGTTTTCTTTTTTTGCTGAGTTTATATTTGGCAGTAGCCACTCAATTTGATTGCGGCGTTGAAGTCTGTCTCTTAACATACATATCTTCCATCTTCTTATAGTTGTAGCCTCTTGTTACCTTTACTCCCCTTGTATTGGCTGGCTAATGGCTCTCTTATCACACATGATGCCCTTCAGGCACCTTCCTGGCCTGGGACAAGGTGTCTGTGCTCTTCCAGTTTGTGCGGGACTCCCTGGTGGATGGCTGGCAGCCCTTTGAGCTGGTGGCGCCTGGAGGACACAAACTCCAGGAGGACCAAGAGGTGGCCCTGAATGAATGTAGCCTGGTAAGCAGAGACACACATAGTATTGTCGTAAATGTCTGGCAAAATAAATAATCCCAACCATTTACTTTTGTTGTAGAAAGGGAAGGTTCTGACTAATGTCTCTCTCTTGGAGGTCCCTGCGGTTCTGCTGACGTTTTCCTGGGACGCCGCAGTGCAAGCGGACATTGTGGCTGCCGGTGGAAAGAGCCCTGCACTCCTCAAGCCAGAGCTACTGGAGAATATTCAGACCCTTAGCTGAGCAGAAGCTCTGTTTGTCGCTGTGTCTCCTACCCCTCCCAGGTTGGAGATGACACCTTCATCCCCAAACCACATTTAAGGCTGTAGAAATAACTACTAATCCATTAAAGGACGAGAGACAGGGAGAAGAGACAAATGCCATGCAGTGTTTTTTATATTGTAACCTGAATGTATGATGACTATGTGAAACAGCTCCCTTACACCTATGGTTAGGCATTGTCACCTCAGCATGGTATGAGACCCCATTCTGCACTGCTCCAACATAAATCCTGCTTTTACAACAAATATTCACAAAGATATACAGTCCTAGCTTTACGTGTGAGTGAGTGGTGGAGACCACACTGGTTGTCTACTGGGTAGGATTCAGTAGCTGTTTTTATGTGAGCCTGACCAGCTGTGGACTACACTATATATTTATTAGTTAAGCGATTTTATTCAAGACGGAGCCTGTAATATTATATTTTAGAGATCACTAGCACTTTTAAAGGTTGCAGCAGCAAACGTGAAATTATATACCTTAAAAGTGAAGGTTACTGGACAGAGCTCCTGATGTTAGAAGCTCCCTTTGTTATTGAATAGGAGGGCAAAAAAGGGTTTTGTCAAAGCAGTCATTACTGGACTAATTTCATATTTTGATTAGATTCCTCTAAATTATCAATAATTTATTTGATGTCAGCAGTATAGAAATGTGTTAGATAGTCGCGGTTTGTTTTTGTTTGGTTTGTACTGTATGTAACCAACACCAAAGACCAACAATGAGCTGAGGTTTATCCCCAAGTCTTGATCCAGTGGTGGTTGGGATGACAACAACCTACCTCTCCTCACAGCATCTGTGTAACCTGTGCACTGCACGCAGTCAGCCATAACTTCTCCAATGTTTAGGTTCAGACATGAACAGCAGCAATTAGCAAAGCGGTTGGCTTGTTTGTGTATGTACCAAGATGTAAATGTTTTGTTTTCCAAACCTTGTTTAGGAATGACTTGAAAATGAAGGTAATGCTCTGTCTAGGTATCAAAGCTGAGTCATGTGTTTTGCTTTTTAACCTGCCTGAAATAAAGATGGTTGCATTAAGATTTTGCTTCACCCCCCCCCAAAAAACTTTCCTCAGTGTATATGCACATAAAAGAATGTTAACGTTTAAATAATGCTTTTATTTAAAGACACATTGTGAGACCTTTAATCATCCCTGAAAACTAACAGTTGGGACAGAAAAGCATTCTGAATGTCTCTGCCACTGAAAAAAGAAAGGCAAACGGCAACGTTTTTAATAATGGACAGCCATTCACTATTCCACCTCTAAACCATTATTAAGAAGAACACAACATTGAGGTTTAGAATAGTACAATAAGCACTGTTTAGCAGCCTGAGAAACAGCAGCACCTGCCATATTGAAACCCATTAACAAAACATACATTTCTCAATAGAAAGGATGAGTGGTGGCATGTTGATAAAGGTATCCAGATAAACGGGGGGAACAAGGAGGAAGGCATAAAAGTGCAGTACAATTAAATCATAATTTTTTAATTAATTCAACCAGTTCAAGTATTATTATGTTCTTTAACAACAAATGTGTATATATATATATATATAAAAAAGGAGGACACTGGGCCTATGGTCTAGCAGACGGCAACTACTAGAGTGGGCACTGGTCCACCCAATCTACCATAGTAGCAGAGCCTTGACTGTCTGAGCCACCTTCCACTCCTCACCAAGCAAAGCCACCCATTTAAACATGTCTGACACTCCAACTGAACCAAGTAATAAATGGTTGAGCATTGGAACAAAATATACCATGTCCTAATAAGTTTCTCGGTCAGACATTTTCATTTTTACAGGCAATTGTCTGGTACTTAGAGAGGAGGGGGGGGGGGAGAAATACTGTGTGGGTGGCATGTGTGCCACTACAGAATGTTATCTTGAGCGAAGACCTGATTCTATCTGACACAAATACACACCCCCAGAGTCAGGGGGCAGTTCTTAGGCGGTGGCCGGGGTGGGAATGGGCCGGTGCAGGGGGAGAGCAGCTGTATCAGAGGGGGTCACCTCCATTTTTTCTGTGGAGGAGGTATCCTTTCTGGAAGATCCTGCAGGGAAAGACATATTTAGTGTCACTGTCAATACCTCCCTTCTTCCTTATATCTAGGGAAAACAAATACTATGCGTCCATCAGGGCCAAACAATCTGCTTCATGAAAGTTATTTTGAGGTCTCACCTTTCTGTGTGCTGATTATGACACAGTCTGCTTCATCCTCATCCTCCTCTGTGTCTGCCTGGAAGCCATCCATCTCCATCGCATTAGCCTGGAACAAAGGAGTGCTCATGAAAATCTGATGCACAGCGGTCTTAGCAATAGGATCTGAGCAAAAGTACTTCATATACATACTTTATCAGACTGTCCTACCTGCTCAGAGTCAGAAGCCTTCTTCATGAACTTGGTGATGGACATGCTGCCGGCACTCTTCCTCTTGTTGGAGGACGAGAGTGTGGCGGAGGTCTGTGGGGTGGTTGGGAAGTTGCCCTGTGAGCCCATGGCCGCCGAGGCCTCTTCCCGGGACACATGGGCCCCAGAGGTGAGGTAGTTCCACTGGCAGGGTACAGGGAGAGCCTCCTGGCTGAAGCAAGCCAGGACCTCTGTGTGTACGTACCAGCAGCAGCGTCTGTAGGCCGAGCGCTTCTCATACACGGCATTTCCCTTGATAAGGCGCTTCAGGCGGATCCTAGAGTAAAAGGAAAAAGGAGACCATCTCAGTTATGAAGAAAACAAAACAAAAACGCTTTAATATAGCATTTGCACCTGTACATGATTTACTTATGCAATAAGGCCCGAGGGGGTGTGGTACAGCGCATTCGGAAAGTATTCAGACTGCTTGACTCTTTCCACATTTTGTTACGCCCCATAATGACAAAGCAAAAACAGGGTTTTAGAAACTGAAAGAGTACATTTACATAAGTATTCAGACCCTTTACTTTGTTGAAGCATCTTTGGCAGCGATTACAGCCTTGAGTCTTCTTGGGTATGACGCTACAAGCTTGGCACACCTGTATTTGGGGAGTTTCTCCCATTCTTCTCTGCAGATCCTCTCAAGCTCTGTCAGGTTGGATGGGGAGCGTCGCTGCACAGCTATTTTCAGTTCTCGCCAGAGATGTTCGATCTCGTTCAAGTCCGGCTCTGGCTGGACCACTCAAGGACATTCAGAGACTTGTCCCAAAGCCACTCCTGCATTGTCTTGGCTGTGTGCTTAGGGTCGTTGTCCTGTTGAAAGGTGAACCTTCGCCCCAGTCTGAGGTCCTGAGCGCTCTGGAGCAGGTTTTCATCAAGGATCTCTCTGTATTTTGCTCCGATCATATTTCCCTCGATCCTGACTAGTCTCCCAGTCCCTGCCGTAGAAACATATCCCCACAGCATGATGCTGCCACCACCATGCCTCACCATTGGGATGGTGCCAGGTTTCCTCTAGACGTGACACTTGGCATTCAGGCCAAATAGTTCAATCTTGGTTTCATCAGAACAGAGAATTTTGTTTCTCATGGTCTGAGAGTCCTTTAGGTGGTTTTTGGCAAACTCCAAGCGGGCTGTCATGTGCCTTTTACTGAGGAGTGGCTTCCGTCTGGCCACTCTACCATAAAGGCCTGATTCGTGGAGTGCTGCAGAGATGGTTGTCCTTCTGGAAGGTTCTCCCATCTCCACAGGAGAACTCTGGAGCTCTGTCAGAGTGACCATCGGGTTCTTGGTCACCTCCCTGACCAAGGCCCTTCTCCCCCGATTGCTCAGTTTGGCCGAGCGGCCAGTCTTGGTGGTTCCAAACTTCTTCCATTTAAGAATGATGGAGGCCACTGTGTTCTTGGGGAACTTCAATGCTACAGACATTTTTGGTACCTGAGCTCAATTTCGAGTCTCATAGCAAAGGGTCTGAATACTTATGTAAATAAGGTAATTCCGTTTTTTATTTTAAAATACATTTGCCAAATACTATAAATACCTATTTTTGATTTGTCATTAAGGGGTATTGTGTGTAGATTGATGAGGGAAAAAAACAACTTAATGTTAGAATAAGGCTGTAACCTAACAAAATGTGGAAAAAGTCAAGGGATCTGAATACTTTCCGAAGACACTGTATATGGCCAATATACCACAGCTAAGGGCTGTTCTTAGGAACGACGCAACGTGGAGTGCTTGGATACAGCCCTTAGCCGTGGTATATTGGCCATATACCACAAAGGTGCCTTATTGCGATTATAAACTGGTTACCAACATAATTAGAGAAATGTTGTCATACCCATGGTATGTGGTCTGATATTCCACGGCAGTTAGCCAATCATCATTCAGGGCTCGAACAACCCAGTTTATAATATACGTTTAATAGTGACTATATATAATTTACTCATCATGTAAAATAGCAAATGTTTAGAGTTACCTGGTGGGGATGTCTCCCGAGTTCTGGGGGCTGGAGATAGACAAGGTCAATTTCTGGCGACAAAACTCCTGGAACTCTGTGATGATCACCTTATTGCTGTTCACATTTCCATGGAGCAGTGGCAGCAACTGGGACAGCACTGAAGATATGGTATGGGAAATGGGAAGGTGTTTGAAAACACATTCTACATCTAGGCCTATTCATGTCAGGTTTGGGCAAAAGGCTGCATCCAATATGATCATATACAGTATCTCACAAAAGTTAGTACACCCCTCACATTTTTGCAAATATTTGAGTATATCTTTTCATGTGACAACACTGAAGAAATGACACTTTGCTACAATGTAAAGTAGTGAGTGTACAGCTTGTATAACAGTGTAAATTTGCTGTCCCCTCAAAATAACTCAACACACAGCCATTAATGTCTAAACCGCTGGCAACAAAAGTGAGTACACCCCTAAGTGAAAATGTCCAAATTGGGCCCAATTAGCCATTTTCCCTCCCCGGTGTCATGTGACTCGTTAGTGTTACAAGGTCTCAGGTGTGAATGGGGAGCAGGTGTGTTAAATTTGGTGTCATCGCTCTCACACTCCCTCATACTGGTCACTGGAAGTTCAACATGGCACCTCATGGCAAAGAACCTCCTGGGGCAGTCCTGTATTTCAGCCCCTTTTCAAGATTCCTGACACATTTACAAAAAAAAAAAAAACGTATACCATATTTCAGACTTCCCATTCATTTGATCAGATTTGACATTCATTGCATTCCAACACATATTTTTTGCGGTCATAATGATAAGATCTGATGAGGTTAAACACTACTCCAACTGGATGAAAGCTCTGATATTCTGCACAATGCAACTGAAAAAAGACGTAGGCCAATGTGTCATATCGTCAACCAATCACCAATTTGGTTCAATTCTGCCAGGCTCAATTCCAGCATAATTTTGTCAGAAAGGACAGTCAATTGTTCACAAAAAGCACACTTCTAACAGAGAGCTACAAATTCAAAAGTAAGTAAATAGACTAACTATTAGACGAAAATGTATACAGTACTTTAGCAAACTTGTGTAGGGCTCCATGCTCTTGTTTTAGGCCTAAGTAATTGCGTACGGGTGACAGACAGAGCTCATAATCATTAAGCACATTTGTTGCTACTTCACTCAATCCAGTTTTGAAAGTCTCCCTTCGTAACTGTTTACATGATTCTTGGCGAAACATTACCAGATTTTTATAAAAACAACCACATCTGCGTATGTTCTCTCTTTTCTTCATCTCCACGCGTGATGTGAAATAGTTGGTGTGCTCGATTTAGCTCGCTCGATGCAGCATGATGAGTGCAGATGAATCACATGTTGGTCTTGGGTGTTAAGTCAATCTCCACAATCAAAACGTAGATTTTAGTGTAAATATACTCTATTAGTCAAAAGTTTGGACACACCTACTCATTCAAGGGTTTTTCTTTATTTTTTTACATTGTAGAATAATAGTGAAGACATCAAAACTATGAAATAACACATATGGAATCATGTAGTAACCAAAAACAGTGTTAAACTCAAAATATATATATATTTCAAATAGCCACCCTTTGCCTTGATGACAGCTTTGCACACTCTTGTTATTCTCTCAACCAGCTTCACCTGGAATGCTTTTCCAACAGTCTTGAAGGAGTTCCCACATATGCTGAGCACTTGTTGGCTGGTGTGCCTTGTTAAAAGTTAATTTGTGGAATTTCTTTCCTTCTTAATGCGTTTCAGCCAATCAGTTGTGTTGTGACAAGGTAGGGGTGGTATACAGAAGATAGCCCTATTTGGCAAAAGACCAAGTCCATATTGTGGCAAGAACAGCTCAAATAAGCAAAGAGAAAGGACAGTCCTTCATTACTTTAAGACATGAAGGTCCGTCAATACGGAAAATTTCAAGAACTTTGAAAGCTTCTTCAAGTGCAGTTGCAAAAACCATCAAGCACTATGATGAAACTGGCTCTCATGAGGACCACCACAGGAAAGGAAGACCCAGAGTTACCTCTGCTACAGAGGATAAGTTCATTAGAGTTACCAGACTCAGAAATTGCAGCCCAAATAAATGCTTCAGAGTTCAAGTCACAGACACATCTCAACGTCAACTGTTCAGAGGGGACTGTGTGGATCAGGCCTTCATGGTCAAATTGCTGCAAAGAAACCACTACTAAAGGTCACCAATAAGAAGAAGAGACCTGCTTGGGGGAAAAATACAAGAGCAATGGACTCTATCCTCCTGATTCCTGCTTATAAGCAAAAACTAAAGCAGGAAGCACCAGTGACTCGGTTAATTAAAAAAGTGGTCAGATGACGCAGATGCTAAGCTACAGGACTGTTTTGCTAGCACAGACTGGAACATGTTCCGGGATTCTTCAGACAGCATTGAGGAGTACACCACATCAGTCACTGGCTTCATCAATAAGTGCATCGATGATGTCGTCCCCACAGTGACCGTACGTACATACCCCAACCAGAAGCCATGGATTACAGGAAACATCCGCACTGAGCTAAAGGGTAGAGCTGCCGCTTTCAAGGAACGGGACTCTAACCCGGACGCTTATAAGAAATCCCACTATGCCCTCCGACGAACCATCAAACAGGCAAAGAGTCAATACAGAACTAAGATTGAATCGTACTACACTGGCTCTGACGCTCGTCGGATGTGGCAGGGCTTGAAAACTATTACAGACTACAAAGGGAAGCACAGCCGCGAGCTGCCCAGTGACACAAGCCTACCAGACGAGCTAAACCACTTCTATGCTCGCGTCGAGGCAAGCAACACTGAAGCATGCATGAGAGCACCAGCTGTTCCGGATGACTATGTGATCACGCTCTCCGTAGCTGATATGAGTAAGACTTTTAAGCAGGTCAACATTCACAAGGCCGCAGGGCCAGACGGATTACCAGGACGTGTACTCCGAGCATGTGCTGACCAACTGGCAAGTGTCTTCACTGACATTTTCAACATGTCCCTGACTGAGTCTGTAATACCAACATGTTTCAAGCAGACCACCCTAGTCCCCGTGCCCAAGGACTCTAAGATAACCTGCCTAAATGACTACCGACCCGTAGCACTGACGTCTTTAGCCATGAAGTGCTTTGAAAGGCTGGTCATGGCTCACATCAACAGCATTATCACAGAAACCCTAGACCCACTCCAATTTGCATACCGCCCCAACAGATCCACAGATGATGCAATCTCTATTACACTCCACACTGCCCTTTCCCACCTGGACAAGAGGAACACCTACGTGAGAATGCTATTCATTGACTACAGCTCAGCATTCAACACCATAGTGCCCTCTAACCTCATCACTAAGCTAAGGATCCTGGGACTAAACACCTCCCTCTGCAACTGGATCCTGGACTTCCTGATGGGCCGCCCCCAGGTGGTACGGGTAGGTAACAACACATCTGCCACACTGATCCTCAACACGGGGGCCCCTCAGGGGTGCGTGCGCAGTCCCCTCCTGTACTCTCTGTTCACCCATGACTGCATTGCCAGGCACGACTCCAACACCATCATTAAGTTTGCCGACGACACAACAGTGGTAGGCCTGATCACCGACAACGATGAGACAGCCTATAGGGAGGAGGTCCGAGACCTGGCCGTGTGGTGCCAGAATAACAACCTCTCCCTCAATGTGACCAAGACAAAGGAGATGATTGTGGACTACAGGAAAAAAAAGAGGACAGAGCACGCCCCCATTCTCATCGACGGGGCTGTAGTGGAACAGGTTGAGAGCTTCATGTTCCTTGGTGTCCACATCACCAACGAACTATCATGGTCCAAACACACCAAGACAGTCGTGAAGAGGGCACGACAAAGCCTATTCCCCCTCAGGAGACTGAAAATATTTGGCATGGGTCCTCAGATCCTCAAAAACTTCTACAGCTGCACCATCGAGAGCATCCTGACTGGTTGCATCACCGCCTGGTATGGCAACTGCTTGGCCTCCGACCGCAAGGCACTACAGAGGGTAGTGAGTACGGCCCAGTACATCACTGGGGCCAAGCTTCCTGCCATCCAGGACCTCTATACCAGGCGGTGTCAGAGGAAGGCCCTCAAAATTGTCAAAGACTCCAGCCACCCTAGTCATAGACTGTTCTCCCTGCTACCGCACGGCAAGCGGTACCGGAGTGCCAAGTCTAGGTCCAAAAGACTTCTCAACAGCTTCTACCCCCAAGCCATAAGACTCCTGAACAGCTAATCATGGCTACCCGGACTATTTGCACTGCCCCCCCACCCCATCCTTTTTACGCTGCTGCTACTCTGTTAATTATTTATGCATAGTCACTTTAACTCTACCAACATGTACATATTACTTCAACTATCTCAACTAGCCGGTGCCCCCGCACATTGACTCTGCACCGGTACCCCCCTGTATATATAGCCTCCCTACTGTTATTTTATTTTACTTCTGCTCTTTTTTTCTCAACACTTTTTTTGTTGTTGTTTTATTTTTTGTTAAAAATAAATGCACTGTTGGTTAAGGGCTGTAAGTAAGCATTTCACTGCACCTGTTGTATTCGGCGCATGTGACCAATACAATTTGATTTAATTTTGGCCCATTCCTCCATGCAGATCTCCTCTAGAGCAGTGATGTTTTGGGGCTGTCGCTGGGCAACACGGACTTTCAACTCCCTCCAAAGATTTTCTATGGGGTTGAGATCTGGAGACTGGCTAGGCCACTCCAGGACCTTGAAATGTTTCTTACGAAGCCACTCCTTCGTTGCCCGGGCGGTGTGTTTGGGATCATTGTCATGCTGAAAGACCCAGCCACGTTTCATCTTCAATGCCCTTGCTGATGGAAGGAGGTTTTCACTCAAAATCTCACGATACATGGCCCCATTCATTCTTTCCTTTACACGGATCAGTCGTCCTGGTCCCTTTGCAGAAAAACAGCCCCAAAGCATGATGTTTCCACCCCCATGCTTCACAGTAGGTATGGTGTTCTTTGGATGCAACTCAGCATTCTTTGTCCTCCAAACACAACGAGTTGAGTTTTTACCAAAAAGTTATATTTTGGTTTCATCTGACCATATGACATTCTCCCAATCCTCTTCTGGATCATCCAAATGCACTCTAGCAAACTTCAGACGGGCCTGGACATGTACTGGCTTAAGCAGGGGGACACGTCTGGCACTGCAGGATTTGAGTCCCTGGCGGCGTAGTGTGTTACTGATGGTAGGCTTTGTTACTTTGGTCCCAGCTCTCTGCAGGTCATTCACTAGGTCCCCCCGTGTGGTTCTGGGATTTTTTCTCACCGTTCTTGTGATCATTTTGACCCCACGGGGTGAGATCTTGCGTGGAGCCCCAGATCGAGGGAGATTATCAGTGTTCTTGTATGTCTTCCATTTCCTAATAATTGTTCCCATAGTTGATTTCTTCAAACCAAGCTGCTTACCTATTTCAGATTCAGTCTTCCCAGCCTGGTGCAGGTCTACAATTTTGTTTCTGGTGTCCTTTGACAGCTCTTTGGTCTTGGCCATAGTGGAGTTTGGAGTGTGACTGTTTGAGGTTGTGGACAGGTGTCTTTTATACTGATAACAAGTTCAAACAGGTGCCATTAATACAGGTAACGAGTGGAGGACAGAGGAGCCTCTTAAAGAAGAAGTTACAGGTCTGTGAGAGCCAGAAATCTTGCTTGTTTGTAGGTGACCATATACTTATTTTCCACCATAATTTGCAAATAAATTCATAAAAAATCCTACAATGTGATTTTCTGGATTTCTTTCCCCTCATTTTGTCTGTCATAGTTGACGTGTACCTATGATGAAAATTACAGGCCTCTCATCTTTTTAAGTGGGAGAACTTGCACAATTGGTGGCTGACTAAATACTTTTTTCCCCCACTGTATATGTATGTATATACAGTGGGGAAAACAAGTATTTGATACACTGCCGATTTTGCAGGTTTTCCTACTTACAAAGCATGTAGAGGTCTGTAATTTTTATCATAGGTACACTTCAACTGTGAGAGACGGAATCTAAAACAAAAATCCAGAAAATCACATTGTATGATTTTTAAGTAATTAATTTGCATTTTATTGCATGACAAAAGTATTTGATACATCAGAAAAGCAGAACTTAATATTTGGTACAGAAACCTTTGTTTGCAATTACAGAGATCATACGTTTCCCGTAGGTCTTGACCAGGTTTGCACACACTACAGCAGGGATTTTGGCCCACTCCTCCATACAGACCTTCTCCAGATCCTTCAGGTTTCGGGGCTGTCGCTGGGCAATACGGACTTGCAGCTCCCTCCAAAGATTTTCTATTGGGTTCAGGTCTGGAGACTGGCTAGGCCACTCCAGGACCTTGAGATGCTTCTTACGGAGCCACTCCTTAGTTGCCCTGGCTGTGTGTTTCGGGTCGTTGTCATGCTGGAAGACCCAGCCACGACCCATCTTCAATGCTCTTACTGAGGGAAGGAGGTTGTTGGCCAAGATCTCGCGATACATGGCCCCATCCATCCTCCCCTCAATACGGTGCAGTCATCCTGTCCCCTTTGCAGAAAAGCATCCCCAAAGAATGATGTTTCCACCTCCATGCTTCACGGTTGGGATGGTGTTCTTGGGGTTGTACTCATCCTTCTTCTTCCTCCAAACACAGCGAGTTGAGTTTAGACCAAAAAGCTATATTCTTGTCTCATCAGACCACATTACCTTCTCCCATTCCTCCTCTGGATCATCCAGATGGTCACTGGCAAACTTCAGACGGGCCTGGACATGCGCTGGCTTGAGCAGCGGGACCTTGCGTGCGCTGCAGGATTTTAATCCATGACGGCGTAGTGTGTTACTAATGGTTTTCTTTGAGACTGTGGACCCAGCTCTCTTCAGGTCATTGACCAGGTCCTGCCGTGTAGTTCTGGGCTGATCCCTCACCTTCCTCATGATCATTGATTCCCCACGAGGTGAGATCTTGCATGGAGCCCCAGACCGAGGTCACCCTGCTCAAGAAAGCACATATACAGGCCCGTCTGTATATGAATCTGAACGATTCAGAGGAGAACTGGGTGAAAGTGTTGTGGTCAGATGAGACCAAAATGGAGCTCTTTGGCATCAACTCAACTCGCCGTGTTTGGAGGAGGAGGAATGCTGCCTACGACCCCAAGAACACCATCCCCACCGTCAAACATGGAGGTTGAAAAATTATGCTTTGGGGGTGTTTTTCTGCTAAGGGGACAGGACAACTTCACCGCATCAAAGGGACGATGGATGGGGCCATGTACCGTCAAATCTTGGGTGAGAACCTCCTTCCCTCAGCCAGGGGGACCAGGCAAGGAGGGCATTAATCAGAGAGGCAACAAAGAGACCAAAGGTAACCCTGAAGGAGCTGCAAAGCTCCACAGCGGAGATTGGAGTATCTGTCCATAGGACCACTTTAAGCCGTACACTCCACAGAGCTGGGCTTTACAGAAGAGTGGCCAGAAAAAAGCCATTGCTTAAAGAAAAAAAAAAGCAAACACATTTGGTGTTTGCAAAAGGCATGTGGGAGACTCCCCAAACATATGGAAGAAGATACTCTGGTCAGGTGAGACTGAAATTGAGCTTTTTGGCAATCAAGGAAAACGCTGTGTCTGGCGCAAACCCAACACCTCTCATCACCCCGAGAACACCATCCCCACAGTGAAGCATGGTGGTGGCAGCATCATGCTGTGGGGATGTTTTTCCCCATCGGCAGGGACTGGGAAACTGGTCAGAATAGAAGGAATGATGGATGGCGCTAAATACAGGGAAATTATTGAGGGAAACCTGTTTCAGTCTTCCAGAGATTTGAGACTGGGACGGAGGTTCACCTTCCAGCAGGACAATGACCCTAAGCATACTGCTAAAGCAACACTCGAATGGTTTAAGGGGAAACATTTAAATGTCTTGGAATGGCCTAGTCAAAGCCCAGACCTCAATCCAATTGAGAATATGTAGTATGACTTAAAGATTGCTGTACACCAACGGAACCCATCCAACTTGAAGGAGCTGGAGCAGTTTTGCCTTGAAGAATGGCCAAAAATCCCAGTAGCTAGATATGCCAAGCTTATAGAGACATACCACAAGAGACTTGCAGCTGTAATTGCTGCAAAAGGTGGCTCTAAAAGTATTGACTTTGGATGGGGTGAATAGTTATGCACGCTGAAGTTCTGTTTTTTAAATCGTATTTCTTGTTTGTTTCACACAAAAAAATATTTTACATCTTCAAAGTGGTAGGCATGTTGTGTTAATCAAATGATACAAACCCACAAAAAATCCACTTTCATTCCAGATTGTAAGGCAACAAAATAGGAAAAATGCCAAGGGGGGTGAATACTTTCGCAAGCCACTGTATCTGCATTATATTCCCCCAGACATAAGAATGTACTCACGCTGCTCATCTTCTTGTAGTTTCTGTTGTAGTTTCTGTACGTTGTCCTCTGGGGTGGTGGGCTGCGGCTTTGGCAGGGGTTCTACCAGGCACACAGCAAATTGCTGGAAGAGTTCCAGAGGGGGACCCTCTCCCTCCCACACACAGCCTCTCACCACCGCCTCCAGCACCTTCACCTTCTTCTTGGCCATCAGCTCGTCCCACTCCCGGGCCTTCAGCTTCTGACGAACCTTCTGCTTCTCTGGGTCGCCACCCTCCTTGAATCACGTCACAGAGATAGGAGCAATTAAGGTGAGTGCTCAACATTGGTAGTAGATAAGGTATCCACCCCTTATAATGTAAAGCACTTTAAGAACTTAAATTATATATCCATTATTAGTCAAACCAGTCCACCGGAAAAGAACAGTAAAGAAAATGAATGAGGCATGCATACGGATTGTAGGGCAATTGAATGTACCTCTTCCTCCTCCAATGCCCCCTCCCCGTCTGATAAGTAACCATGTGGTACAAAGAAACCATCCTCATCGTCGTCGTCATTTTCACCTCCCTCATCATTATCCTCCTGCAAAAACAACAAAAGAGTCAGTTTAGTCAGGGATGGGCAACATTGATTGGGGTGGGGGCCACAAATAAATTGAATTCATGAAGGGCCGCAGTGGGTCTGCCTACCCACATCCATCCCCCAACCTTGCGGCCCACCTATTGACAGCCAAGATAATTTTATATGATAACTGATGATCAATGGGCCCCAACCCCGGTCGGTAATTCGACCATGCTTACTACAAGTTTAGATAGCTGGCCACTCGACTAACGTACCAATAAATAAATAAAAATAGCTGACATGGGCTAATTAAGTGACTGCTGATGCACAACCAAATTTCGAAATTGCACATCGTGTATTCTATTATTCTAACTCTGAACAGTAAGTTGAGACCCCGACCGAGCCCCCCCCCCCCAAAAAAAAGATGAGCAAATCTTAATATCAAACAGAACAGCAGAGCATCAGAAGCTGTGACAGAAGAGTATTTAAGAGAGACCTACCCCTTCACTGTGTGACAGGGACTCTCCTGGCTCCTCCTCCTCCCACTCCTCATCACTGTCCACCTCATAATCCAACAGGTCCTAGCGAGAACACAAACTTTTGTCATACATAGAAAACTCAAACATGGAAGTCACAGTGCAACTGATGTCACCACCAGAACACATTCTTCACTCACTTGACAATTGGATATGGCAGGGATAGTGAGAGCAATATGGCAGAAACTAAGACATAAAGAAGTGAAAGGCTTGAAAAGGATCATGGTCAGAGAATGAGGGAAGCCTTACCTTGTCCTGTCTGAGAGGGTAACGTGGGGAGATGTGGGGGCTCTTTTTGCTCCACGTGCCCCAGTAGGCAGGCCGGTAGTTCTCACGGAACTGAAGGAGCTTCATGCGGCCGTATCGCTGACGGTCAGGCACACCGTCCGGTTTAGGCCCTTTAACTATAACTATACACTCCCTATGCAGAGAACAGAGAGAGGGGCCAAAAAGACTATAGGAGGATACATACACTGAACAAAAATGTAATCGCAACAATTTCAAAGACTATATTGAGTTCATATAAGGAAATCAGTCAATTGAAATACATTTATTAGACCCTAATCTATGGATTTCACATGACCGGCAATACAGATATACACCGCAATACAGATATGCATCTGTTGGTCACAGATACCTTAAAAGGGTAAGGGTGTGGATCAGAAAACCTGTCCGCATCTGGTGTGACCACCATTTGCCTCATGCAGCGCAACATCTCCTTTGCATAAAGTTGATCAGGCTGATTGTAGCCTGTGAAATGTTGTCCCACTCCTCTTCAATGGCTGTGCGAAGTTGCTGGATATTGGGTGGAACTGGAACACGCTGTCATAAACGTCCATCCAGAGCATCCCAAACTTGCTCAATGGGTGACATTATTTATTTTATTTTTATTTAGTCATTTAGCAGACGCTCTTATCCAGAGCGACTTACAGACATGTCTGGTGAGTATGCAGGCCATGGAAGAACTGGGACATTCAGCTTCCAGGAATTGTGCACAGATCCTTGTGACATGGGGCCGTGCATTATCATGCTGAAAAATGAGGTGATGGCAGTGGATGAATGGCATGACAATGGGCCTCAGGATCTAGTCACGGTATCTCTGTGCATTCAAATTGCCATCGATAAAATACAATTGTGTTTGTTGTCCATAGTTAATGCCTACCCATACCATATAACCCCATCATTGGGCATTCTGTTCACAACGTTGACATCAGCAAACCGCTCGCCCACACGACGCCATACACACCGTCTGCCCGGTACAGTTGAAACCAGGATTCATCCGTGAAGAGCACACTTCTCCAGCGTACCAGTGGCCATCGAAGGTGAGCCCACTGAAGTCGGTTACGACGCCGAACTGCAGTCAGGTCAAGACCCTGGAGCGCGCAGATGAGCATCCCCGAGATGGTTTCTGACAGTTTGTGCAGAAATTCTTTGGTTGTGTAAATCCACAGCTTCCTCAGCTGTCCGGGTGGCTGGTCTCAGACGATCCCACAGGTGACTCCCTCAAAACTTGAGACATCTGTGGCATTGTGTTGTGTGACAAAACTGCACATTTTAGAGTGGTCTTTTATTGTCCCCAGCACAAGGTGCACCTGTGTAATGATCATGCTGTTTAATCAGCTTCTTGATATGCCACACCTGTCAGGTGGATGGATTATCTGATCTTGCTCACTAACAGGGAGGTAAACATTTGTGCACACAATTTGAGAGAAATAAGCTTTTTGTGCGTATGGAAAATTTCTGGGATCTTTTATTTCAGCTCATGAAACCTACACTTTACATGTTGCGTTTATATATCTTTTTCAGTGTAGAAACAGCCTCTTTACAGTAGGAATCGCGCATTCTTTGTAGTTTCACAAAATGTCAAGCGTTCAGTCATTCAAGTCACCTATTGTTGCCATCACGGCCACCCAACAATTGTGATTTTTAGGGTGTGATGCTCACCTCATAGAGTCTGTGATTCTGGGCTTGGTTGGGCCTGATCTGCGGGGCTTATTTCTGGTCCAGTCCCTCAGGCCATCCAGGCTTCCATCAGGTTTAGCCAGGTACCGGTCCAGTTCCTCCAGGACTGCCTCCTCACACTGGACCCGGGTTAGTGGTGCCAGACACATGTGCTCCTTTATCTCAAACGGAGCAAACTTTCCACAGGCAGACACAAGGGTCTGAGGTGTGAGAGACAGAAGGAAGGAAAGTTATAGATTAAATTCACATGCCACTATTTTGTGATTGAGATGTTGTTTTCTTTTTCAATCCAGTCAGAGGTGTCTTGCCTTAGTGACCTGCTGAGTAGTCTTCGGTTTCTGTAGGAATCGTGTGATCTCTGCTTTCTCTGCTTTGAGCCTCTGAATATAACATTTTCAGATGTATTATCAGGTCTATTACAATGACATGGCAATTGTCAAGCGTCAAATGTCAGTGTCAGACATTACATTTAGGTTTAAAGAATAGAAAAATCCCTCAGCAAAAAATGATCAACTCACATCCTTTTCTTCTTTCAACCGTTTCTCCTCCTCTTTCTTTCTCTTGTCTTCAAGTTTTGCCCTGGGGGAAATTATATCACGTTTGTCAATTGCAAGGATTACATTTGCATTAATAAAAAAAAATTCAATCAAATGTTTCCAGTCAAGTCAATATAAAAGTAACAAGACATTTCAGATCTGTAGCTCTAGGGGGTTTTTGATCAAGCAACACTCACTCTTGCTTCGATTTGCGTTGCTCCTCTTTCGCTCTTAATTTCTCTGCTTTTTCCATTTCCTCTTTTCCTTTTTTCTCTCTTTTTTCATGCTCTTCTTTCTCCCTTTTCTCCTTTCTTTCCTTCTCCCTCTCCTCTTTCAGTTTGCGAGCCTCCTCTTTCTTCTTCTCTTTAACGGCTTTAGCCTCCTCCCGCTGCCGCTCTCTCTCTTGGCGCTGGCGTAGCCTCTCCTCTTGCTCCTGCAAACTCTATGAAGAGAGGAAATAACAAATTCAGCTTCAGATAAGTATTTAGATGTAGATATTTAAATAGGCATTGGGATGCAAAATTTTGCCAATTAGTAGTGAAATACAGAAGTGATCTATTGCAGCTCATTATACCTTTATAGAGCATCTTTTCACTGTTTTCTGCTCTATTTTAGGGGTGGTATTTGGCTCCTGGAAAGAGAAGAAAGGTAACATAGCTTTCTGATGTGTACATTTACACAAAGATCACTGATGACAGACATTGAATGTTTATTGAATCTGATTGCGAGTCGGTACTCACCGTGACAGTAGGATTGTTCTCCGTCTTGGCAGCCTCTGGGGAGCTCTCGGCCGCTGACAGAGAGCTGGTGGATGAAGGAGACAGCATGGACCCATTTCCATGACTGGACATATCAGCCTTGACCGACTCTTCTTCTTCCTCCTCCGCTTCATCTTCCTCCTCCTCTGTGTCAGATCCCTGTGTGGTATCTAGCTGTGAGACGGATGCAGTGTCCTCCCCGTCCTTCTCCCCATCCTGTTCACCCCCCAGTTTGCCATCCTGTTCACCCCCCACCTTGCAGTCTAAGGGCCCTGTTGTGGCAGTGTGATCTGTTTTGGTGGCCGTTACAGCACTCAGAGTTTTGCTCAGGTGGTTGTTTTGTGTGGGAGGACACAAGGCAGAAATGGGTGTCGCAGGTTGCTGCTTTAGAGGGTCTGTTGAATTAGAGCCCTCAGTGAGATCAACAACTATTATTTTGGCAGGGGAAGTTTGGCTGCTGTGACTCATGAATCCATCCAGGGGTCCGCGGCCGTTAACCAGTGCTGGTCCGTGACGCATGGGTAGCGGGGAACTCTCAGATTCATTCTCCCCATCTGAGAGCCCAGGCTGTGGGCGGGGAAGGGCACAAGTTCTTTTGGGTTCACTGGTCTCTTTGGGCTCTGGGTTCAGACGCTTAAATGGAAGGCGAGCTGAGGAGAAAATACTTTTTATTATCACTGATTTTAAGTTGGACTAAATCCATTTATCTTTTAAGTATTTGGGAAAACAATGAAAGCAAAGACAATTAATTAAAGAATTTGATTCATTGTAATATAATTTACTAAATGAGAATCTCTGAATTATTTATAATAGTTTGATAGCATTATGTTATTATGTATCATCAGTCTCCTTTAGCAAAATAAAAGCATCTAATTGTTTATTTTACCAGGTTAGTCTCATTGAGATTAGAAATCTATTATAGAAGAGAGACCTGGCCAAAATAGCAGCACACAATATTTCAGCCATAATTACAATTTAACACAAAGCACTACAGTTTAAAAACATACATTTAGGAGATTTTGCATCACCTTTGACCTTTAACATGTTGGCTGGAGTTTTACTGTTATCTATTGCCAGGTAAGGGGAGTTGTGACATAGGTCGAGTGGAAATCCAGCAAATAGTATACGGAGGTAATATGCATTCAAAACACCCGAGGTTCACTTACCCTGAACAAGCTTCTTGTTGGCATTGCTGGGTTTGACTTTGCCATCCATACCTGTAACCAAAATGTGAGGAGATAAGATAACAATCACACAACCAACCACACAACTGTTTTTCAATGCAGCAATAGTTCCAGTTGCAAACAAGTTGCGTCACTTTAATTGCTGCACAACTCTGTCACTAAAACAAATAATTATGTGCAGTACCTTCATATGTTCAAAATCAAAGGACTACCACAAAAAGAGTCACAACACTGTATGACTTAAACACTAATTGCTTTATCCCCCACTCAATTGTATTCAAGCTATAGGCTAGTCCTTAGTTTACTCATATGGTTAGTTTAACAAATGCATCCAGGTTATTTAAGGAATGATCTGTAATAATAAATACATGTCAGTCAACTAGGAAGCGAGTAAGTTATCTAGACTTGCCACTTAACAAGTAAATGGGACTATCACTGCAAATCAAATATGTTTAATCAAATTGTAAAAGCTACGAGACGATGGCACAACTGATTGGGCTAAGTATATGGAGGTTTTTGCTTTTCTCTCCCGCCATTCGGTGAATCAATCGAAGCCCAGTGCAAAGACCCGGCTGTGGCTACACTCACACCTCTAGTGGTGGAGAGAAATTGGTTAGCCTCAAAGTAAAATAAACAAATTCCGTTTGTTAAAGTTACCCTGAACAAGCTTCTTGTTGGCATTGCTGGGTTTGACTTTGCCATCCATACCTGTAACCAAAACAAAGCGAGGGAGATAAGATAACAATCCTACAACCATCCTCCCCTCATCACTCAGTTACCGTTTGATGGACTTAGTTTTTCAATGCACTTTTACTTTATCAGTAAATGCAGCAGTACAATGGTTATAGCTGTCGAGCCGGCAATGTTGTGACTCATGTCTAACGGAAATGATATTTTCCGACTATCAACAAACTGGTCAGCAAAACCACTGTTTAATCATTTCGGTGCATATTAGCTTACTAGCTAACGTCAGTTAGCTGAAGGCCATGGGGGTGTCTAGCTAGAAGCAGGCTGGCAAGGTTAACACCAATTCTAACTAGCTAGCTAAGTTAGCTAGTTAACTAGCTAGAATTGGTGTTAACCTTACAAGCTAAGTTAGCTAGCTGACGAATAGTTAACTATAAAGAAGAACGTTAGCTAACTACAGTAACGTTAGATTGATCTTCTAGCTATACAAGCTAGCTTGAACTTCAAGTGTACATAAACGCTAATTTTACACTTCACTACTTGCTTGGAAATGTTATGAGGGGCTGGATAATAAAAACGTAAATTCGCTAACGTTAGCTATCTAACAGTTACTGTAGTTAACCTTACTTTGACGTGTTAGCTAACGTTAGCTAGTTATAGTAGCTAGCTAACGTATTAAGACAGAAGTTGGTGTTGACTATGTGGCCATAGGCAAACTGAAAGGTAAATAAAAAAAAATACTAAATTCCATAAACATTTGAAAGGTTAAAATAGAACATATCGTCGCTACCTCTCCTCCGTGGAGTGGATGCTAAATGCCCGTCCACGGATTGATCTTCCGCCGCCAGCATAACAGCCACCATCCGAGAGACTTCCCTCACTTTTGATATCCTTGTGCGGAAAAAAGTTGCAATATAACAACACCATATGATGTAGCAATATTGACAGGTCTTCCAGAGTAACACTGTTATTCTGCAAAATATACTATAAAGTTGACTGGATTTTACTATTTTTAAGACTAAGTAGCTAAATGTTATTCTTTCCCCACCCCACACACACACTCCCTTTGGATCACGTTGCAGCCTCCCGCCCGGCGCCCGTCGTCAGTCAGATTTGGCGGGAGTATGTCGCTCTCCTCAGAATCATTTGCTGATTGGCCAGAACTCTTCTTCGACGCTGGGGTTTCACGGCGATTGGGATCCAATATTTATGGAGCATTATCGCCACCAACTGTACTGGGGGTGACAAAAGGAAACCATACGATTAGTGGCGTAAAACTAAAACAAAACAAAAATAACTTCACGAAAACTAACTCCTTCATTTCTTCAAACTTCCATAACTCCCTCCCACCAATGTGTCGTGAACACATTAGCATGAGCAAAAATTGTGGAATCTACTTAATTTTGTTTGGAGTAATAAATCACATTATTTAAAAATAGTGTATTATGTAATACTCAAGATCAGGGAGGTAGCTGCCAATTACTTCACACTGAAAGAAGTTAAGCTACACTAACGCTACCATTAAGAAACATGTAGTTTAAATAACTAAAGTTACTTTGAAAAAGTAGTTCACTACATCCAAACTACTTTTTGTGAGAAATTATCATACCTAAATCTGAAATGTCAGACTACAAATTGCGAGAACAGTTCACTCTGGAATGTGTAGTTAGCTTACTAAACACTATAACTATGTTTCAAGTGAGAATTAGGCAGTTCTGATGCCGAAAACGAAAGGAAATTCTTGCCAACTTTAACCATATTCTATATTATTTTAGCAAAATAAGTAGTGTGTAGTTCCAGTTGTTAGCTGGAAGAAATTAAGGAGTTCGTTTTTGTTAAGTTCTTTTTGTTTTGTTTTAGTTTTCCTCCTCTAATCGTATGGAGTTTCCTTTTGTCACCCCTGTACAGTTGGTGGCGATAATGCTCCATAAATATTGGATCCCAATCGCACGTGAAACCCCACTGACGAAGAAGAGTTCTGGCCAATCAGCAAAGGATTCTGAGGAGAGCGACATACTCCCGCCAAATCTGACTGACGACAGGCGGGAGGCAGCAACGGGATCCAAAGGGAGCGTGTGTGGGGTGGGGAAAGAATTACATTTAGCTACTTAGTCTTAAAAATAGTAAAAACCAGTCAACTTTATAGTATATTTTGCAGAATAACCGATTGAATCGTACTACACCGGCTATGACACTCATCGGATGTGGCAGGGCTTGAAAACGATTACAGACTACAAAAGGAAGCACAGCCGCGAGCTGCCCAGTGACACAAGCCTACCAGACGAGCTAAATCACTTCTATGCTCGCTTCGAGGCAAGCAACACTGAAGCATGCATGAGAGCACCAGCTGTTCCGGATGACAATGTGATCACGCTCTCCGTAGCCGATGTGAGTAAGACTTTTAAGCAGGTCAACATTCACAAGGCCGCAGGGCCAGACGGATTACCAGGACGTGTACTCAGAGCATGTGCTGACCAACTGGCAAGTGTCTTCACTGACATTTTCAACATGTCCCTGACTGAGTCTGTAATACCAACATGTTTCAAGCAGACCACCATAGTCCCTGTGCCCAAGGACACTAAGATAACCTGCCTAAATGACTAACAACCCGTAGCACTCATGACTGTAGCCATGAAGTGCTTTGAAAGGCTGGTCATGGCTCACATCAACACCATTATCCCAGAAACCCTAGACCCACTCCAATTTGCATACCGCCCCAACAGATCCACAGATGATGCAATCTCTATTGCACTCCACACTGCCCTTTCCCACCTGGACAAGAGGAACACCTACGTGAGAATGCTGTTCATTGACTACAGCTCAGCGTTCAACACCATAGTACCCTCAGAGCTCATCACTAAACTAAGGATCCTGGGACTAAACACCTCCCTCTGCAACTGGATCCTGGACTTCCTGACGGGCCGCCCCCAGGTGTTAAGGGTAGGTAACAACACATCTGCCACGCTGATCCTCAACACGGGGGCCCCTCAGGGGTGCGTGCTCAGTCCCCTCCTGTACTCCCTGTTCTTGACTGCATGGCCAGGCACGACTCCAACACCATCATTAAGTTTGCTGACGACACAACAGTGGTAGGCCTGATCACCGACAACGATGAGACAGCCTATAGGGAGGAGGTCCGAGACCTGGCCGTGTGGTGCCAGAATAACAACCTCTCCCTCAATGTGACCAAGACAAAGGAGATGATTGTGGACTACAGGACAAAAAAGAGGACTGAGCACGCCCCCATTCTCATCGACGGGGCTGTAGTGGAACAGGTTTAGAGCTTGAAGTTCCTTGGTGTGCACATCACCAACAAACTATCATGGTCCAAACACATCAAGACAGTCGTGAAGAGGGCACGACAAAGCCTATTCCCCTCAGGAGACTGAAAAGATTTGGCATGGGTCCTCAGATCCTCAAAAAGTTATACAGCTGCACCATCGAAAGCATCCTGACTGGTTGCATCACTGCCTGGTATGGCAACTGCTCGGCCTCTGACCGCAAGGCACTACAGAGGGTACATCAGTACATCACCGGGGCCGAGCTTCCTGCCATCCAGGACCTCTATACCAGGCGGTGTCAGAGGAAGGCCCTCAAAATTGTCAAAGACTCCAGCCACCCTAGTCATAGACTGTTCTCTCTGCTACCGCACGGCAAGCGGTACCGGAGCGCCAAGTCTAGGTCCAAAAGGCTTCTCAACAGCTTCTACCCCCAAGCCATAAGACTCCTGAACAGCTAATCATGGCTACCCAGACTACTTGCACTGCCCTCCCACCCCTACCCCATCTTTTTACGCTGCTGCTACTCTGTTAATTATTTATGCATAGTCACTTTAACACTACCCACATGTACATATTACCTCAATTACCTCGACTAGCCGGTGCCCCCGCACATTGACTCTGCACTGGTACCCCCCCTGTATATAGCCTCCCTACTGTTCTTTTATTTTACTGCTGCTCTTTAGTTATTTGCTTTTTTTGTTGTTGTTGTACTTAACACTTTTAAAAAAAACATTTCTTTAAAAAATGCATTGTTGGTTAAGGGCTTGTAAGTAAGCATTTCACCGAAATGTCTACACTTTTTTTTATTTTTTTTATTTTTTTAGTCATTTAGCAGACGCTCTTATCCAGAGCGACTTACAGTTAGTGAATACATATTTTTTTATACTGATCCCCGTGGGAATCGAACCCACAACCATGGCATTGCAAACACCATGCACTATCAACTGAGCTACATCCCTGCCGGCCATTCCCTCCCCTACCCTGGACGACGCTGCGCCGTCCATGAGTCTCCCGGTCACGGCCGGCTGCGACAGAGCCTGGATTGTACTACACCTATTGTACTCTGCGCATGTGGCAAATACAATTTTATTTTATTTGATTAGCTACACCACTACATAGCAAAAAAGTTATTAACTACTGAAAACACTACCAAGATTTGAATGAAGTTCAGCTACCACCAAGCTAAAGCAAAATTTAATTCAATTACTTGTTGAACTACATGTCACTACTTCTCAACAACTGCAACTGCTACCAACAGAACACAATTTTCAAGTGTTTACACAACTATTATCTTCTTAGCTCTTATTGTGGGACTTTGACTGTGGGAAATCACCATCCCAGTCAGTCAATTGTGCGTATTGGACATTAATATTGCACTCTCAGTGTTGCCATCTTAGCGACTTTGTCGCGATATTTAGCGAGTATTCAGACCCCTCTAGCGACACATTTTCAAAAAAGCAACTAGCGACAAATCTAGCGACTTTTTCTGGTGTTATTGGAGACTTTTGGAGACTCTAACGTGAAAGCACGTATCATTCTTACTCTTCTCAACGAGCAGCGGGTGCTGCTGTGCTGCCGTGGGCACCACCCCCGTCCCAAAGCACTCATAGGCGGCCCAGCCCTTGCGCAGCAGTCCCTCCCAGCTGCAGTCAGAGCAGGAGATGTACACCCCTCCGCGTCCAGACTGCAAATGAAACGCGCATGCGGGAAGCCGCCGCTGGCTGATCCGGCCCTGGCTTACATTCAGGGCGGGATGTAAATGTAAAATATTTTAAAAAAACAAGAATCGACAAAAGAAAGTTCATTTGTAGTTCTAAACATATTTAGGGTGTTTTTTTACTCACTTTTTGTCTCTCCCACAATGTTATTCCTCTTTCCTACAGCTCCTTCAGAATTACATGCACATGGCCAATTATGCAAATTGGGTGATGACGTCATTTAGCGACTTTTAGGACAGCCAATAGCTACTTTCCTTACTGAGGAGTTGGCAACACTGCACTCTACAGCCTGACCTATGGATTGTGCACCCGTGAAATGGAGTATCAGCCTACTCACTGACAGCCACAGAACATAACTATGTGGAGTTTACACAAATATTAGTGTCTTAGCTATTATTGCAGGACTTTGACTGTGGGAAATCACCTTTACAGTCAGTCTATTGTGTGTATTAAAAATAATATTGCACTGCACAGCCTGACAAGATAATTATTTGCCATAAAATAGCTGTTTTCTTGTGTATGACAATAATCATTCTTCTCTGAAGCATAGATTGGTCAGTCATTGTAGTCACACATCTCCTGTTTACGCCCTCTATAGTTTACGGGATCTGTAGTTTAACAGTCGAATAATTGTATTGCAAAATCCCTTTCTGCTACCTTTGTAGAACTACCACTCCCTCAATGCATTGTTGTGGCTTCTGCAGGATTTGAGTGTGGTCGACGACGCATCCCGAACCGAACTGGAGTAAGCGGTTTTCAGTTAGGTGCTAGCAGAACATTGAATTACAAGAAACTACGTGATTATATTTATTTATTTATTTAACATTGAATCTGCTAACAACTCATCAGCTGACCCTTTTGTGACAATTCGCTTGAAATCCACTAACAAACCATCACCAAAGATTTGTATAACTGTCTGTGCCATCAATGTACTAGCCATTAGCTAAATGGGGGTAGCTATCTAGCTACTGTAATCGGGCATTTTATTTCACGCGGGGTCTTATTTTTTCCGAAAAACATAGCTAGCTTTCTTCTGTTTTACAAAATTGTTAATTAAGGGTAGGTTTATCTTTTAAACTGGTTTTATCTCATATACAGTGATGGTTTATCTCGAGTTTACTAGAAAATGACCTGTACCTCCTAGTATACCCAGATCTCATTTATTGCATGTCAACTTTGTCATCATCTTGATATGAGTATTTTGTTGTTGATTAGTTGTGAATGATAATGCAAGTTCCCAGATAAATATTGCTACTTTCTCTTTGAATGTTTATGTGAGTTGTAAAGAATGCCAATTCTTTGTGTTATGTTGCAGGAAAGGACACAAACAGGATTTCATAATGACAGGTTTGTATCAATGTTTTGCAATTGAAGTCTTGAAGTAAACAATTCAATTCAGTTCTTAATGAAACATAACATGTACCTGCAAAAAGTAATGCATGCGCATGACAGATTCTAAGTGACACACTCAATATTTTTTTATTGAATTAGCTGTGACATAGTCTTAGTTCAATTGTGAACTGTAGACATAAGGATCAACTAATAACACTGAACACTTTCACTATTGTGTATTACCATTTGTTATATGTTCCTTAAAATCCTAAAATGTCACCGTATTCAAGTTTTTCCGTGCCATTTCTGCACTGACATCCCGTTCTCCCACATGTAATAATCTGTTTCCTGTTTTCAGAGCGGGTCAACAACTTTCCCCCACTGCCTCAGTTCCTGAGAATCAAGCCCTGCTTTTATCAGAATGTGGAGGAGGAGATCCCAGCCCCGCACCGACAGCTGGTGCGCCGGGTCTACAACCTCTGGATGTGTGAGTTACACCAAATACATTTCTTGAGTTACATAGTCCTACTGTGGGAACTGGGCTGTAATTTCATTCCATGCTGAGAGAATGGCCGGGTTTGAGAGGATCAAACCCGCAATGTACACTACATGTCCAAAGGTATGTGGACACATGCTTGTTGAACGTCTCATTCCAGAATCATAGGCATTAATATGGAGTTGGTCCCCCCTTTGCTGCTATAACAGCCTCCACTCTTTTGGGAAGGCTTTCCACTAGATATTGAAACATTGCTGCGGGGACTTGCTTCCATTCAGCCACAAGAGCATTAGTGAGGTTAGGCACTGATGATGGGCGATTTGGCCAGGTTCGCAGTCGGCGTTCCAATTCATCCCAAAGGTGTTCGATGGGGTTGAGGTCAGGGCTCTGTGCTGTATGGACCTCGCTTTGTGCACAGGAGGGGCATTGTCATGCTGAAACAGGAAAGGGCCTTCCCCAAACTGTTGCCACAAAGTTGGAAGCACAGAATCATCTAGAATGTCAATGTATGCTGTAGCGTTAAGATTTCCCTTCACTGGAACTAAGGGGCCTAGCCCGATCCATGAAAAACAGCCCCAGACCATTATTCCTCCTCCACCAAACTTTATAGTTGGCACTATGCATTCGGGCAGGTACCGTTATCCTGGCATCCGCCAAACCCAGATTCGTCCGTCGGACTGCCAGATGGTGAAGCGTGATTCATCACTCCAAAGAACGCGTTTACACTTCTCCATTGTCCAATGGCGACGAGCTTTACAACACTCCAGCCGACGCTTGGCATTGCACATGGTGATCTTAGGCTTGTGTGTGGCTGCTCGGCCATGGAAACCCATTTCATGAAGCTCATGAACAGTTCTTGTGCGCCTCCCGAGTGGCGCAGCGGTCTAAGGCACTGCAGTGCTTGAGGCGTCACTACAGATCCGGGTTCGATCCCGGGCTGTGTCGCAGCCGGCCGCGACCGGGAGACCCATGAGGCAACGCACAATTGGCCCAGCGTCGTCTGGGTTAGGGGAGGGTTTGGCCAGCCGGGATGTCCTTGTCCCATCGCGCTCTAGCGACTCCTGTGGCGGGCCGGGCACATGCACACTGACATGGTCGCCAGTTGTACGGTGTTTCCTCCGACACATTGGTGCGGCTGGCTTCCAGGTTAAGCGAGCAGTGTGTCAAGAAGCAGTGCGGCTTGGCAGGTACATGTTTTGGAGGACGCATGGCTCTCGACCTTCGCATCTCCCAAGTCCGTACGGGAGTTGCAGCGTTGGGACAAGACTGTAACTACCAATTGGATATCACGAAAAAGGGCTAACAATTACAGTTCTTGTGCTAATTTGTGACTGACTGACTGATCTACAAATAATAATGAGTCGTTATTTATGATGACGGGTGATTTTGTAGATCATCAGTCAGTCGGCAGTTGCCTGCATTCAGTTTGATGCTCTCGAGCGAGGCCAATTTGTTGACATTTTTCTTCCTGTGTCTCTCATTCTGCAGTGTATACAGTCACACTGTGTGTGAATGTGGTGTCATGCATAGCTTGGTGGGCAGGAGGGGGAAGTGGAGCCAATTTCGGCCTTTCCCTGCTCTGGCTTGTTCTCTTCAGTCCGTGCAGCTACACCTGCTGGTTTAGACCTCTCTACAAGGCCTTCCGGTAAGATCTCCTCAACAAACATCAAGCCAAACATCCATCATTTTGCACTCCAAATATATTTTATTGACTGACTCCATATATCTCCCTTTCTCTTTCCTAGGGCTGACAGTTCTTTCAACTTCATGGCCTTCTTCTTCATCTTCTTTCTCCAGTGTGTTCTCGCTCTCATTCAGACTGTGGGCATCTCTGGTTGGGGTGCTTGGTGAGTAGAAATATTTTATTTCATCAGTCTGAAAAGCAGACAAAGTCCTAAACAGTGCCATCTGAATGGCTTGTCACTTATTTCACCTCAATAATATAGAAACATCTTCACAGTTTAGCAATAAAGATCACCTGTAGATTTGTATCAATCACCTTCATTTTACTCACTGTGTCATGCTATGATTGGTGAAAAACTGTAAAGTTTGTAATTCAGTGTTCATGCCATTAACAAATACTAACCCCACTGCTCCACCACTCTGAGGAACCCCTAAAGTGGTTGGATCGCGACAGTGCTGTTTTTCAGCTACAACGTGGGTTCTGCTGTAGTCATGCTATTCTCAGCTCTGCTCTTCACTCTAGTGACTGTGTTAATGGGACTGGTTCTCATCAGGGTGAGTCCAACAAACACACACCTGAAAAATGCACGAGCACATGGAAACACACACAAACCAGAAAAATACACAGCCATTTTGACAATACACTCATTGTAGGCAGAGAAAGAGAATAAACTAGCATGACTGTATGACTGGTTGGTTTGTCTGCTCTGTTCCCATCAGGTTCACAGGCTGTACCGTGGTGGAGGGGGCAGCTTTGAGCGTGCACAGGAAGAGTGGACCACTGGACTCTGGAAGAGCGCTCCTGTGAGAGAGGCCGGTTTCAATGCTGTCACTGAAACTGGCCCAAGCCTACCCCAATACCCTGCTGCTGTGCCAAGTTACCCAGACAATGGCTCCTGGTGATACCCTAAGTGGACTCTAGATGGAAACTGAGCACTCTCTCCATGGCAGGCAGGCTGGATAATACTATGAAATGCAAAGCTGGAATTTTAGTAAGAATGTTATAAGAGAATAATCAGCTGATTTTATTCAGCAGTACTTTAAGATTGAAAGAGGCCACTATTATAGATACTGTTTATCTGATAGGGAAAAGCATATAAGCCTTATATTGTTGAAAAGATTTGATGGATAGCCAAAATATGATCCATTCCATTGCACCCGTTTACATTTAGTATGTTCCACAATATGAATCTGATCCTTCATATTTGGAATAGTGACTGAAAGAACATGATTTTTATTTACATTTTACATTGACATTTTAGTAATTTAGCAGACACTCTTATCCAGAGTGACTTACATGAGCAATTAGGGTTAAGTGCCTTGCTCAAGGGCACAATCGGCAGATTTTTCACCTAGTCGGCTCGGGGATTAGAACCAGCGACCTTTCGATTACTGGCACAACGCTCTTAACCACCAAGTTACCTGCCACCCCGCAGCTCAATTATGAGCTAGTAAAGGTATATTCTAAAATTGTTTGTTACAGTAGCAACAATGAGACTAAGAAAATTGACATGTCAATAAGGCTTGTGCCTTATCTTAAAATATGAGACAGAAAAGAAGCAAGGTGATTCCAAAGTTGTCTTTGGATTAATTTTGGCGGCCATATTCAGTGATCAATTCTTGCCAATTCAAGTTAAGACTGTACTCCATGAAATCAACTTAGCCTTGACGCTACTGGACGTGACTGAAGGATCAGGGTTCTCCTCTTGCAGCTGGAGATACCGTTTTAATTTAGTAACAAAATGTATTTAGTTTATATTATCACTGCACCTGAAGTGTTTGTGGTTTTGATACCTTCTCTTGATCTGCTTTTGCCTTGTTTCTGAAAACTAAACCCGCCTTAATTGTACTTGCAGTACTTGCATGTAGAAAATATTTTGCTTGACTATCGCCTTAATTACTGCTACATGTTTCAGTGTAACTGAGCCAATGAGACAAAACATTTGTCACTGTATTGCTTGAAGACTTCTAAAAGGAATACTGTATCCTTCTCATTCAACCGGAGCCTTTTTTTCCTAACTCATCCTGTGCAGTGCACTGAGCTATTTTTTTCTTGTTTGCTTTTGGTGGTCAGAGCCCTATCGTGGAAGCACTCTTAGTGCTGCATCACAACTCCTCTCAGTGCGTTCCAGACTGGAGCCTTGTTTACAATGTGGCTGGGAGAGCGGCAGCCACTCATCGAGTATACAACTTATTTTAATTTTCTATTTAAGTTTCCCTCTCCAGGGTTAACTGCCATAAGATTGATTCTGAATGTTTTTTTTTAGCTAGTCTCTAATGCTTGTCATTCTATAGTTAATATTGAGAAGACATTCTTGAAAATGCATCAAATGTGTTGCTGCAATGACTCACCAACTTTTAAAAAACATTTCAGTAAATATTCTTATTCAGTCCTGACTGGTGTTATTCAGCTTTCTCATCATTGACAATTATCATGTTTTAGTGTATACTTAATACTTTAAAGTATGCATTTATTTTCCAATAAAATACAGTACAAAACTCCATACCAATACTGTATTAACTGCTTTCAAAGATGACAATGGCTGGCTGGGACAACACAGACCACCTCATCTGTCCGTCATTGTGTAATACAAAAACAAACTCCCAGTAGAAAAACAAATTCCAGTGAAATAAGTGACATTCTGTCAGTTGCTAGGGTATCGAACACTTAAATATACCCCTTGGGCAGGTAAACCCCTTGATAAGAGACCGCTCTCGTGGATATTGTTGTTACATGAAGATGACAGCAGAATTCCCGCTAGTCAGGATAACTAATGTGTTTGAATCCAATGCCAATAAAAAGCGAAAAAACAACTTGTGAAATAATTATAAAATTCCTAATAGCAATGACCAAAATGGAAGTTATGGTTGTGACAACATGACAACTTTGATCCCTTGATTGAGTTTAATCTAGAACTAAGAGTTACAATCATGATAGAAGGCAGCTAACTCCAAACACTGATCTCTAAATTACTTATTTTACATCAAATGTGAAGCAACACTGAGTGTAATGACAAAGTGCTGCTGGTGAAAAGGAGAAGAGAGAAACAATGTTCCTATTATTCAGTTGGTTCTGAGAGACATTTAAACAAGACGTAAGTCAAGAGAATGTGCAGTCAAAGTTATGTCCAAGTTCAATTATTTGTATTTGGTCCATGGCTGTTTTGTCTTGATCTACTTAAAAAGGTTTGGAATAATCATTACTGGTCCGTAGAATGAAATGCTTAGGATATTTGTAGATCTTAACAAGTATGTACGACAAAAATATTAGTATTATGGTCTTATTTACTTCAGATATCACATCCTGATTATGAGGTAATTACATATCTTACATTAATACAAATAAATATTTGCAATATATATGACTGTACAAAATATTTAACACAGGGATGTACAATGTATTCGCCTTATGCAATGACTAAACAAAATACATTCAATCTAGGGAGATGTAGTGGTGGGCAAATGTTAAGGACAATTCCTAGAAAAATAACACAAACGTGCCCAACACAAGTCCAATGTCCAGAGCTTGACACTGCGCTAGTGTCTTAAATCAGCTGCCTGGTGAGAGAGCGCAAACCCCAGAGAGTGGTGAACACTGAGGGTCAGATCTCTGACTCATCATCAATGTACCCCAAACCATCCACAGTGGAAATGTTGATTCCAGGAGAGAAGTGGTGTTCCCCATTCCCTTTGAAGGCTATGATAGCATGGTGATTCTTGTCAGCACTGTGACTGGGTGTAGGTCCCAGCAGCTTGAACTCTGAAGTTATATTGTTTTGAATGTCAACCGACAGCCTTTTCACCTGGCCAGAGCCTGAGTTCTCGGAGAATCTGTTTCTAAAGCATCCTTTATACAGATTCCAGGCTACTAGACCAACCAGCATCAGAGAGAGGATCACCACCACCACCTGCAGCCCTACCACCCTGCTGTCTTCACACTGTGACTCAGGGGGGAGAGGGGTATCCAAAGTTTTTGGCTCCTCCGGGAGCTCTGGTAATGGGGTACTGTGACTATGGGGGGACTCTGTCGTCGTCTCACTCTGCTCCTCCTCTATGTTAGTGTGGGGCCACAGTTGATAGACTGCCATTGTCCTGGTGTACGGTCGGCTGTTCACCTGCTCAACAGACTCACAGGTGTACTGGCCGGCATCGGTGGCAGAGGCATTGAGGATGAGGATGCCCTCGTTGTAGATGTAGTACTTGGTGTCAGAGAGCAGCGGTTGCCCTGAGAAGAGCCACTGTACCTGTGCCAGGTTGGAGTCAGGCTGGCACGGCAGCTTGATGTTGTTGCCAGGAACTAAGGTGTAGTTCTCTGGCTTCATGGTCTCTGCAATACACACACAAACAAAGTAAGTAGTAACTACAGTTGGTCTATACTCTGTCATTTGTTGATAGTGTGCTGGGATCTGAACAATTAAATATTGTGAAATCCATTTACCTGATTTCGGACATTGTGAGTTGTCACCATCTTTTAGACTTTGAATCATGTTCCTGAAAAATAAAAAAATACTATAAATATGGTATACTGAAATTCTAAATCACATTACTCGAAAAGCAGGTGTGTGTTGGATCGTACGTGGTGTCTGAGGCAGAGAGTGAGCTGGCCACAGCAGAGCAGAGGCCAGTGGAAAGGTCCCAGCCACAGTAAGGGTCTCTGGCCAAGACACAGTCCAGACACGACTCATAACGGCCACAGTCACTCAGAGGCATCTGCACAGCTCCATACTCAGAGCCTGCATACAGCTGACCCTGGGGAAACAAGAACACAAACCAATACCACATGAGAATCAGCAGCTCGATGAGCCTACTTCACCCGCTGTTAGTAACAGCAATGACCGGGTGCCATTCTCCTTGAATGCACTATTGTACTAAGGAAATAAATAGTAAATGAGTAACCATCTGTCTACAGAAATGCCAGGAGACAACAAACTGACATTGATCCAGTTAAATCCTTATGTTGATATTATGTGAATGACCATATGGATGTCAATACAAAGTTGGTGCTGCACCTTGCTTGGGGGTTTAAACCCGAGTTGCCGATAAATACTTAGTAACAAATGTATTTGTTTAAAACGCTATTTAAAATCAAGTTTTAATTGATTGACTGGGTGATTGTTACCGTGCTAGAGAGACGCAGGGTCCTGATAGCCTCTGGGGTCTGGTACAGTTGTATTTCTTCAATGATGAACATCTCCCTAGCGTAGTTCACTGCCTTCTGCACATAGCCGTTCTCTGTGGGGAGAGAACGACGCCCATGTCATTGTCTGAGATCCACTGCCAGAAGAAGTCTGTTTTGGGGCTGTGTGTGTCCTATTCAGTACCTGTGCCGATGAACATGACTGCGTATCTCTCCCCGTCCAGAGCTAGCACGCTGTCCACCACCAGGCGTGTGAACATGGCTCCCCTTTTGACCAGCAGCGGACGGCCGGTCAGCGGGTGCACGGCCTCGTCCATGAGGGGCCGGTCCCTGATGAACTGCAGGGTCTTGTCTGGCAGGTCCAGGGAGCGCTCCATCCCAAGGGCCCTTGCTGCGTTGTTAATGCACTGAAAAAACAGAGGATTGATGAGTGGTAATAATAATACATTTATTACTGAGTTAGTAGCTGATCTGTAGAAAAAGTAGATAATTTCCTTTTGTGGCCGTAAACCATTTCGATCTTCACAATTATATTAAAATGGGACTTACAGCTCCAGGTCTTGGGGTGGGCACCTCTCCACTGTACATGACCCACTTCACATGGGACGTCTCCACAGTCACTGGCGTCTTAAACTTCCCCTTATCAAACACGTCTCCGATGGCTGACACACTATACGCACACACTGCAGACATGTCGGACGAGCTCCTAGTGCAAACAGTCAGAAAAACATGTTTGATGTTTTCAAACCTCAAGTATATCATGGTTAGGGCCCTACGTTAACCTCCTGGCCCTATGATTATGGTAAACATGCGCTTAAAGCAACAGAGTCAGAATATCGCAAAGATTAGAAACAGTCCACTTCCCACTGAAACAATGTTCTCAAGTCTAAAATCACTGGATTCTACAGACTACTCACGACTGGGGAGTGAACACTGCGTAGAAAACACTTTTGCGCCAGTCATCATTTTTGAGCAGGAAGACATCCTGTACAATGGATGGCAGGCTGGGCTCTGGCAGAGAGCAGTCCAGACGAGCCTTCAGGAACGACGTCCACTTCCTCTGGAGTGTCCGCTGGCCGCCCATATCCCCCTACACACAGTGTGAGAGACAACATTGGTTCTAGTTAAACAAGTTCATACTTTTGGAGAGAAGACACATGCACACCATCACTAGGCGGCTTCCACCAGGTTTCGTAACCCTGCACCTTAGAGGCTGCTGCCCCATATACATTGACTTTAATAATGAAACACTAGTCACTAAAAATGTTGGCCACTTTAATAATGGAACACTAGTCACTAATAATGTTTACATATTTTTGCTTTACTCATCTCATATGTATATACTGTATTCTATTCTACTGTATCTTAGTCTATGCCACCGACATTCCTCATCCTAATATTTCTATATTCCTTAATAACTTTATTTTACTTTTAGGTTGTGTGAATTGTTAGATATACTGCACTGTTGGAGCTAGAAACACAAGCATTTCACTACATCCGCAAAAACATCTGCTAAACATGTGTATGTGACAAATAAAATTTGATTTGACACATTATACCCTTGCACTGTTTAAACAGTATACACATACTGTCCTTTCTTTATATTTAAAATACCATGTATGGGCCAATGAAACTTCTTGCAGCTGAAAGTAAATTTGGAGCAAGTTGCTACCTTGCAGACACGAGCCACTCGTGACACCATGAGCTTGTTGTAGAAGTCATACTCCATGGCGTTCTCGCTGAAGAACAGGTAGACCTTATCGTCATCACCCTCTGGGTTGTTATTGCTCTCGGGGACAAGGTCCATGTATACAAAGTTTGGCTCTGAAATCACAATGAGCACTTATTACGCTACCTGTCAGGACCTGTTTAACAGGAGCAGTTGAAGTTCAGTTTTATCATTAAAACCACAGAGACCTATAGGATCTAGGCTATTACTCAAGGCACAGAAGTATGTAAAATGCTTTGGATACATTTTGCCATTCTAACTTAATCTTCAAGTGTTAGGAGATATATACTATTCACGTGTGCACCATAAGGCATGGTGTATAGTAGTATACAAGTTTATAACACAAGTATGAACAGAGTGGGAGAGCTGACCGTTGAGCCAGGAGCTCTTGAACTCAGTGCGGAGCACAGAGGAGGAGCTGCGGAGAACCACAGGCTCTGAGCCCAGGAAGTTGATGGAGGTAGCAGAGTACAGGTCATTTCCTGGCAGACCAGAGACATGACAAGAATCACAACAGAGGAAAATGGATCTTCTAGCAAAGTAAATAATATTGTAAATATTAGTCAAACAAAACTAATTTGGAGAATTACAGGTGCAATCTCTTTCATTGTGCCACTGGTAACTCAAGCTACTATGAACACATTCAGCCAAAAAGCAAAAAAACTGTTCAATTCACAAAGACCCACCCCCTTCACTTTACAAACAAGTGCAGCAGCAGCACTTTTAACAGAAAATGAAAGCTAGAGATTGCACCTTTGATAGCACAACCCTACTTTGCAGTTGGTTAACTTTGAACTTCACTGGGTGCACTGTTCTGTCCTTGTGTGAGAGCAGATAACTAAAGACAGACAGTCACAGTACATACCGACCATGATGGAGGAGTATTTCTGGAAGGGATCAAAGGGGCATTTCCCTTTTCCCTCCTCCTGCACTTCTTCTAGTCTCAGCTGTCCTTCAGAGTAGGTCTGTCAGGGTCACAAACAAAGCAACTATTCGTTTTATTCATTCACAGTTGCTTCAGTGAGAGAGCGGTAGGAATATATTTTATACTAAACTCCAGAGGGCAAAATGAGTTACACTCAGTAGCCACTAACAGTAGAGATACAGAGGGCAGGTGTCTGTAGTATGCATACATTTCCCACTCACAGTAAATATTCAGTGTGACAACTGTCTTCCTACAGCAGTCACATGATCGCTTCAAACAGAGCTATTCTTACAGGGAGATGTCCTAGCTGTCCTGTTCAGGCCAAGCTATACTTACGCAATAATGCACGAGGGGGTGTGGTATATGGCCAATATACCACGGCTAAGGGCTGTTTTTAGCCACGATGCCACACGGAATGCCTGGATACAGCCCTTAGCCGTGGTATATTGGCAATATACCACAAACCCTGAGGTGCCTTATTGCAATTATAAACTGGTTACCAACATAATTAGAGCAGTAAAAATAATGTTTTTGTCATACCCGTGGTATACGGTCTGATATACCACGGCTGTCAGCCAATCAGCATTCAGGGCTCGAACCACCCAGTTTATAATTACCATGTAATCACAAGTGGGGCTGAAAGCATTTGTCCCGCACACATACATTCTGCTGTCATCCGCTTTATGCAGCGTCCGGATGTAGTTACGGCATTCGATCTGCAACAGGACAGGGATGAGAAATGTCAAGGGTGGTATAGTAATGTACAGATTTCAATGTTTGTATCTGTTTGTTTGTTATGTCTTCATTGGGTGTCTTCATAAACAACTGGCAGCATACCACTTCACAGCTGTCTGTGTGGAGAATTGTTTTGTGATTGATGGAGCCACTTACTTCAGCGCGTTTCCCTTTGTATGTGCACTCCCTCTGTTTCTCCTCAGTGACCCGCCAATACACCTGACACAACAGAGAGCTGCACGTTAAAGTATGTTCTAGGTAATGATTTTATGGTTCGAAGGCATTGGTATTAGGTCATCGCAAAGAAGGTATAGCAGACCTTTTTATTGCAGTCCATTTGTGATGTATTCAAATCATGTAGGCAAATGATACAGGATAACTGATAAGTAAACAAGATAACTGAATAGCCGTAATAAACAGAGGTTCCTACCCCAGACTTCTTGATGGAGATATCATTGATGTCCAGGGCATAGACTGCCTCTCGAGCCCCGAGCAGCAGCAGGCCCAGATCCTCTCGAACCAACATGGTGGAGTAGTTCCAAATCCCTTCCTCTCTGAACAGTTTCATATTGCCTAAAACAGGAAAGCATTAGACAACTCAATGAAAACTAAGTATCACAAACTATGTGTGCGTGTTCATTCACTAGTTATAAATTAAGCAAAACGGACATGTCATTTAGCTAACTTTTTAGTATTTGAGGAAACAGATGCAGTTCACTGCACCGTTATGTGAAAACAGGGCAGAGGAGACAGTGAAGGGTTTACCCTGGTAGAGGACACTCTTCCGTGGGATACAACTGTGAGTGTTGTATTTACTGAGACATATATGAAGGAACAATCCACAGAAAACACCCAGGGCAGAGAGAGGAGACATGGCTTGGTGCCCGGGTGGGAGGGGATGTGTGGGAGCGCTGCTTAGTCCTGCTCACACCATAACGCACTGTGGATCAAGGACAGCAGTTCATGTCTCTATAGAGACTCCAGCCTTAGTATTCCGATGGTCGATGGCTATGTCGGGGTCAGCCTCCAACATCAAAATGTTTGTCGCTGCTGCTACCTCTTCTGTAGCTCAGGAGAGAATCCATGCTGTCCCAGCCAGGTACTGTTGTAGAATGAGGCCGCTCAACCTTCCCGATTCAGGGGATCTTTATGCTGGTCCAGAGGCTCTCATCTAGGGAGAACGTAATACATGAGTGAGAGAGAAAACATAGAATACTTCATGCCCTCTAAAGACAAAAGATAGATAATGCTGATTTTATGATCCAACTAAATGAAAGGGAGAAAAACAACTGTCTGTATGAAATTCATATGAAAAAGTCTCCACCTCCCTTACTCTCCCTTCCTGTCTGTCCATCCCCACTGATAAGGACCTGGGTGTGTGCTGCTTCCTTTTGATTAGCAGGACACAAGCAGCTGGGAATATGCTCAGGTTGGGGCATGCATGCAGATCACAATGATAATCTAATATAACACTCGGAATTCCCTGTGATTCACTGGTTTTAATTAGCTAGCTCCTTCTGCTGCTATGACTAGAGCACTGAGTTTTTCCAAACCATAAGACCTGACTAGGACAAACACAGGGACCTGTTAGACTAAACAAGGGCCTGTGCAGTTTTGCCCAGCCAGGTCAGGTGCACAATAAAAACCCAGTGCCTTTTCTATGACAGGCAACACAAAACACTGAGGGTTTCTTTCTTTCAAAGGCTATAATTAAGCACGACAGTTGGTTAGAATGACTACATGTTGTTATTCTCTGTGTTTGACAGTTATTTCCAAGCAGTGAAGACAAGCAGGTATGCCAAGAATAATAGTACAGAACACTGTAGTTGCCCGTCTTCCCATGTTTTCATGTGATGGTGGGAGGGTGAAACAAAGATCTAGTCTAAAACTACAATCTAGTCTACCAAGCGCAACAATGTAGCCTATTTCTTCCTTTTAAAGGCATACTCCTTCTAACGGTTCTATAATAATAGATACTTAGTTTGTTATTTGAGGGTTGAAAATATATGAACTCCCAAAGAAAGACCACTTGGAATAATGTGCTGGAATCACTGCAGTGCCCTGAGATGTTTGCAATGATTTAACATCCACCCTCCAGAACGGAAAGAGGAACACAGTGCACCAGCCTCCCCCCACCACACGTTGAGAGAGTCAATACAAAACACATGTCGTCAAATGATGTCACTGGCCCTCGAGTGAAGTTTCACTATTCACAGTCTTTAGATTCGTAAAGCTTTGTATGACACCTAAGCCACATCCATTCACATGATTAATCACCCTCACCTTAAGTTGCACTTTCAAATGGCATGAAGTATGTGAGAAACACAGTGGTGTGAAATCCAATGATGCATTATTTTTATATTGGGATGAAGCAATGCTACTTTTTCCAGTACAGCCAGCAAAACTAGCTTGAAGATCTATACAACAAACGAGAACTACGCAAAGCCGAAGTTATATAATTTGTACAATTGAACAAACCTAATTTTGAATACATTTTCTCATACATTTACTGATCGCATCATGCATGAAAGAGTCAAAAACAATCTACAGCTCCACAATTGATGCAATTCACCTACATAAATAGCATGTTTTGAGAGTAGGCTACAGGGCGTAACACTAACTTTGTCTACCAGCCACTATGGCAGGTAGAATTTTTACAAAAAAATCTACCAGCCACTCAGATTTTTAACCAGCCCAAATATGTTTTTCGCATTAATTACACACAAAAAACACAAAACAAAATGGATGAGCATGCTTAGTAATGTTTCTAAAACAAGGAATGTATTATTAGTAAGAAGTAATGTGGTATATTGCTCAATTGAATGTAATATTTTGTGACCCGAGTCTTTTACTAAAATATCACAGATCAGACAAACTCTCCGCTGCCCCTTTAAGGTTACCGTGGTAACGGGGCCACTCGTGTACTCACGTGTGCCTGTGAGAATCTGACTAGACTAGTACAGGCTGACCACCAGGGTTGCCATGTCCGTGCATTTCTCGCAAATTGGGCCACTTTGATAGCGATGTTGCGGGTGAAAATGTATTGGTCGCGGGTTGCAGGTTTTTGGGCTACTTCTAAATTCCACCGCGGCCGCCATGGCATTTATCTTAAAACATATATTTCACATTCCCAGTGCGCCTCTCCAGGGTGCTGTTGGAGAGACGCATCTCTGCAGCGCTCCACCAACATTCCGTCAAAAAAATTATCTAACATAAATCATGTAGCAGATATAGGATATGGTAGAAAGAGTATGTGACCTTTTCTGTAGCCTACAGGCTGCAGATAAAATGTATGACAGTGTAATGAGACGGACACTTTTTACATCATGCAGGTTTCAAATAGCCTAACCTAAATGGTGCTCAATCAAATAAAAAAATTAGCTCTCATGTTAACAAACATATCCTAAAAATCTAATCACATTTTATTTGTCACATACACATGTTTAGCAGATGTTATTGCGGGTGTAGCGAAATGCTTGTGTTTCTAGCTCCAACAGTGCAGTATATCTAACAATTCACACAACCTAAAAGTAAAATAATGTTATTAAGGAATATAGAAATATTAGAAATATTAGGATGAGCAATGTCGGAGTGGCATAGACTAAAATACAGTAGAATAGAATACAGTATATACATATGAGATGAGTAAAGCAAAAATATGTCAACATTATTAGAGTGACTAGTGTTCCATTATTAAAAAGTGGCCAGTGATTTAAAGTCTATATATATATATGGGGCAGCAGCCTCTAACGTGCAGGGTTACGTAACCGGGTATAAGCCGCCTAGTGATGGCTATTTAGCAGTCTGATGGCCTTGAGATAGAAGGTATTTTAAACATATAGAAAATACCTTTTCACCTTTCATTCAGAACCTAAATTGAACCTAACTTCAATGTCTTTTAAACATAATTTTGCTTACTGGGACTATTCTAGTTTTGCGGGGGGCAGCATTTTTTGGTCTCATCTATGGCAGCAGAATGGCAAGGACCTGCCCTGCGTTTAGCCATGTGGTTTAACCAAAGCTGCTCTCTATTATTGGTTAGAAAGATGGTTCTATTCTGAATGTATGTGAGTGTCATTGCTAAAGAATATGAGTAGTGTAGGTAAGGGATGAAGTGAACCTATAGGAGGATGGCCCTCCATGAGGTGGGTTGGGCATGCTGTCCTATACTGTGCCACGCTGACTGGCATGGATTGGTACAGGGCAGTTCCAAGGTAACGGAGTGATGCTGAGACTCAGATTTTTCACTTTAAAATGTGGTGTTGTTTAGTCCTCAGTCCTCCTTTGAATGCTGTGTGTACTGATTCAGTTCTAAATGACCATCATTTACATTTACATTTTAGTCATTTAGCAGACGCTCTTATCCAGAGCGACTTACAGTTAGTGAGTGCATACATTTTCATATTGGCCCCCGTGGGAAACGAACCCACAAACCTGGCGTTGCAAGCGCCATGCTCTACCAACTGAGCTACATCCTCATCTCCTCCATCACTGCAATGGATTGTCCGCTCTTATGAGCGGGTCATTGGCTGCCACCTGCCCTCCATTGAGGTCCTGCACGACTCCAGGGCAAGGAAGCGTGCAGGAAAGGTCATCGCCGACCCCTTCCACCCCCTCTTCCAAAGATTCCCCTCTCGCAAACGGTTCATGTCAATCGCGACCAAAACATCCCGCCACCTGAACAGTTTCTTCCGAGTGCCATGACCCTCACCAACCGTCCACTTGGTCCTCTCATCCATGGACTTTGCACTCTGCATCCAACCGTCCACTTGGTCCTCTCATCCATGGACTTTGCACTCTGCATCCACAGACTATGCACCCTGCACTATCATCCCAAAACTGCAAATTTCTCTCTCAAAACTGCACATTTCTCCAGAGTGACTTACAGGAGCAATTAGTGCCTAGCTCAAGGACAGACAGATTTTGCACATAGTCGGCTCGGGATTCGAACCAGCGACCTTTCGGTTACTGGTCCAACGCGCTTAACCACTAGGCTACCTGCCGCTTATAGTGTTCATAGTGTACATACTATATGTGGATCTGTGAAAATGTATTTTTTTGTCTGTATATTCTGTTTGTGGCAGCACCATTTCAGTCATTCCTGTACCAGCAAATGTATTTGGTCAATAAAGCTGATTCTGACATGTTAACCTGAGTTTAGCTGGTTTGTCATATGTCAGTTTACATTTTATTATTTGGGTTATGTACTGGATGAACGGTAGCAGGTTCTCTCCTTTGTGTCTTCATATAATTCAAAATCCCCAATGTGCTGTGTGTGTCCTTCCTTGGGCTTAATCCCCTAAATATTGGCTCCTGCCTGCAATTAATGGACTTGTTTTATGGTGTTTGCAAGAGTTGACTGTCTGCTTTCCGCTTTTCTGGCTAACAAGTAAGAAGCTAGCTAAATTTTACCTATTAGTATTTATTTCCCTATTCATTTGGTTATCAAGCTGCTGGGTTTCCCAAGTCGTTCGGCGCTTACTGCTCAACCCAGCTAGCTAGCTAAACAGACAGCTCTGCAGTGCATCGCAAATAGAAGGCTCATAATAGCCAATCACAACACTGGACAATGGCAGGAATTTGATAGTTTATCCATCACTCCAGTGAAAGTGACCAATCAAAGGTTTCTAGACACGCACCCGCCTGTAAGCCCGCCCCCCCCCCATCAGCCTGATATCCAAACCCAAAAGGTGCCAAGACTTGGGAGAAAACTTGACAATGACTATTGCTGGTGGACAATTCAATGCGTTCAAATAAATGATGAATCACGTTTCTTTGCTTACAGTTCTGTGTACTGTTTAAGACATTTTTCTTTTTGATCTGTGACAATGATGTTCTGCTCGCTCAAAGTCACACTTGCAAGCTCTCAAATTTAATTTGTGCTCTTGACTGGCCTGTGCACTCGCGGGACCGGTCCTCTGCTTGCTCGACCATTTTCTTCTCTCGACTCAGTGTTTGCTCGCGCAATGATGTTTCATCTTGCTCACGCGCGCCATCTAGTGCTCGCTCGACTTTCGGATCAGATTTGACACAGTAACATTCTACCCGCATTTGGTGGGTGTTAAAGGGATACTATGGGATTTTGGCAAGGATGCCCTTTATCTACTTCCCCAGAGTCAGATGTATTTTTTTTTAAAGTCTCTGTGTCCAGTATGAAGGAAGTTAGAGGTAG